TTGAATCTGACTGAATTAGTTCGTTTTTGTTTTTGCATTTGATACGTTAACTAGTTTAAAAATAAAGAAGATATTACTTATGATTATATATATTAGATTGCGTAGAAAACTGAACAACCGCACAGTATGGCGTCATCACCTCATCAATGAAGCTGTCGCAACATCGCGCGCTTGGTCAATTGTAGGTGAGTCACAGACCCTCACATTATCTGCGTAGTGGCGACAACATGGTAAGATAAAAGATATTTTTCTAGCTACATAGGCTGAAAAAATACTACATCCAGTACCCTAGAAAGAAATTATCGTTTTTTCATCAGGAAAAGTTCAGAAAAAAATTAATGTTTTTGCATAGGCACCATGTTTCATTCTGACTATACGCCTGCTTGTAGACACGATGAAGCTCGAATATCCGACCTATAGAACATAATGAGCGCCACAGTAAAAAATATTTCGGTTATCTAATGAAATTCATTGTCACTACGAAACAAATAGCAACAGAAAAAACATGTAATGGGTGAAAGTCACATTACCTACAAACATTTTGAAGCAAGTTTTATTTCAATTAAGTAAATTCATTTTCGCTAGATTATATGCACCTTAAAGTTATTCTATCCAACATAATTTAAACAATAGCCGGCTGAACAGAATCTTTTTCAGACTTGATACAAAACTTGATGTCGTGCGCTAATGAAATCAACAATTCGGCGGAACCGAACCCAAGGTAGTCCACGGCCCACGCAGAGAGCAATTGAAAGAGAAAACGTTAAGTAGCGACAGCGCCAAGCTTCAGATCATGTCCGAACTTCAATTTGAAATGCAAGTGACAAAACTTTGTTCAATAGATAGCGAAACTTGATGTAATATTACAAATCGTGGTTACAAAAGCTGACGAAGGTTCTACCGAGACTCGAACTCGGATTGTTGGATTCAGAGTCCAAAGTGCTAACCATTACACCATAGAACCGCTGCTCACGAAATGCAAAATTTCAAGTTCACTTTTTCGAATAACGCGTCAAAGAATTAACAACAAAAGAAACTCCTTTTCTTGCAATGAGGATCAGTCTAACTTCGTTTCCGCAAAATATCGCGTCAAAAATTCAATAAATAAATAAGACATCCTATGCATTGAAAAATTTCATTTCGGTCGGTATTATTTGACAAATACAAAACTGAACGAGTAAAATATGGCTACTCACAACTACAACAATAGTTATTCAATCTTGGCATTGCCCATATTGTGAACGTCCGTAGATAAGTTCTTATCAATACACGACTAATGCACTATAAATAAGTATTACAACATAAGCGAAAATTAAAAATCGTGTTCATCAGCAGTTTGTCGTCAAAACTACCCGGCCGAGAGAACGTAACTTTGCATAAAATTCTTTTACAAAATATACAGGTTGCAAAAACACGGTTGAAAGATTGATTTGAAGTACCGAACAATAGGTATTGTACTTAGCGCGACAGAAGAATAAAGCATTTAAATTACCCAAAGAATTAAAAATGCGCAGCAAAAACGCCAAAACGATCACATTCAATCAACATTTACTAAAATTTAATCGGGAAAATCTAGCATGAAACCTGATATTAGCGCATTGATTTCAGAATAATTTTCACAATGCGTAATAACATACAAGTTTGTAAAGTAACAGAAAGATTAGTCAGCCGTTTAACTTTACAGTGAAATATACATAATGGGAAAATTAATTAATTTACGGTAACAATGGTACTCGAAAAATGTTAAGGTATGGCAAATGTTACTGTATAGCTGGACGATTTTGCGACGTATCGGGTTGAATAGCACACTGTAACAGTCGAGCATGGTTAACATACATCAAGATAACGTGCTGATAAGATTCTTCAGGACTATGAATCTCTTTAGCTCAAAACCGCATTTTATCGAATGTGTCAATTTTATGAACCAAAGAAATCTAGACCGGCAGCTCTAAATGCTAGACAAATATATATAAAACGCCGTGAGAGCTTACCTATAGGCAGATATCTCAATAACAGTCGCTCACAGAAAGCTATGTTTTTAATGAATACCTGCGGCTTCTGTGCGTGGCCGAGAAACGGAAGCACCTCTCACACAGGAATAATTATAGATTCTATGTAATATAAATATGCCTTTATGAATTATTCAGCAATATATGGAAGATTTTCTATTGGTAAAGCGATAAAATCTTACCACCGTCATCCAAGAATAAGAAGCATAATTTTTAAGGGATTACATAACAAAGAATTAGAAGTATTTTGAGACAATTGAATTCACATTTGATAAACGTGATGATGGTCAACAATAAATTCCTAACTATCTACGGGATATTAACCTCAACCTCCAATCTCGAATTTGGATTCAGTATAATTTAATAAATTTTTCGACATTTCATTTTTTACAATCAATAGCTGCAAGTCTGCTCATTAATCACAGTCAAAATCAGGATTAGAACAAAATTTTACATCTCAACATTTTACATTTCTCCATCTCAATCTTAAATATTTAGAGGTGTCCAAAATTAGTAAACTTGCAAACTTAGGCCCTCTAGCCGTTATCACCAGAACTCGCTTAAAAACGCTTAACTTCTACTTATCTATTATATAATTATAATACAGTGCCACACTACGTGAATGAAAGAGGCTGTTTTCGTTGGGAGCCATTAATTGTGAATGGCTTCATCGCAACAAGCGCCAAGCTCTCTGCAGAAGAAATACTGCCATGAAGTACTGCGATGCCAGGCGAACCTAACAATTAATGAAGATTTAATAATATATACTAGTTTTTCAAGGTAAACTACAAATTATGTATCTACCGTATCAGGACCTCTACGGGCTTCGGGATCCCATCGATTCAGAAATAAATAGCTTCTTGCCAAACCCCGAAAATTGACTCGCCAGATAACGATATAGTTAAACGTAAATATATCCTACATTATGTTTACAATTTGTTATTTCAAAACCAGCCGAAGCACTAAACAGAGTTGGGGGTGTAGCTCAGTGGTAGAGTGTTCGCTTCGCATGCGAAAAGCCCCGGGTTCGATCCCCGGCACCTCCAGATATTTTTGAAGACACGGTAACATTGATGCATAGATAATGAATGACATTGACACAACAAAGTAAATCCTAGAAACATTGCTCTTTATTTGATCGAATCGACTGTTCGAAGAGCGTGCACTACGCAACAAAGTAAAAAAAAAAAAAACCAACGCAGCTCAATATTTCCAGTGTCAATTATAGATATATATTGATGTAGGTACCATATTAAATTTTGAAAGACGGTACTTACTATTATGTTTTAAATTACTGTAAAGTTTATTTCATCTTCATAATAGCGAAATTATTTATATCGGTATAGTATCACTTAAAAACCTTTGCTGTCAACTGAAGAGCCTTGACGAGATCGTAAATTTAAAATTCTCACAGGTCAAGAGACTAACTTAAAATGCTAAACGAACATGAAACGAAGTTCAAACTCTTAAACTCTGTTACATTGCAGTTGTCGACAACGCCGAACAGGACAAAGCAATACTAGGCCTACTGCACCTATTTTACCAGACAGAACCATTTACTTGTATTTAGTTATTAATGAAACAAATAGTTTACAGCCGGTCGAATATTTCTCATCAAATTTACTTGACAATATTTATTACTAATTGTGCAAGAGCTCGGTGTCTTGTATGATGTGGCGAGTGGCGACTCAAGTGACACTGACAATAGCCGTTACTGATTAGGTAGTGGATAGGAAACGGAAAACGATCGATCATCATACAAGCTAACAAGGCTTTCTACAAAATCAGTGATTCCGTTACTTTTAGAACTATTTTAGAGTATTCTTATTTATTATTTAGCCTTATTATTAAGAGGCAAAGGTTATATTAGGTTTTCACCAGAGGCGAATCTCAAATTCATCACACTAAGAATGGCGTTCAAACTGCGAACATGGAAATAAGGTATAAGATGTACAGTATAACCGTACATTTTGAAATTTGAATCAGTCTGACGTTTCCCAATTCCGAGTACAGAAAATACTATTAACTAAAACAAATCGGATGCCCTAAATTGGTCGAAAATATGAGCTGAATGAAAATTCATTTACATTGCAGTTAAGTATCTAAATTTCAAATACAGGCACTTCGACGCACTAAGGCCATTACCACGGTCATTCCACATACACTCACGGCAGTACGGCACAACTTCCCAGCCCACACTAACGGATAGCATGAAATGAAACGTTGACAGGACTGCTTGGAAATAAGTTCCTGCCTAAGTAATTACTAATATTATTAATTGTAGCAATGCACTTAGAGAGTATTTATGTTTACATTCAACTTCGTTCGGGAAATCACTTTTGTTTAATTAATAATATAACAAAAGTTTGTTTTATCATTAGAGCTTTGGTAGTAGCGATTTTTCTAACAAGACCAAATCTAACTACGTTCTTCATTTTTCAAAGTAGCAAGGAACGAAATAATAATACAGTGCAAATTCCATTTATATTGTAAATTTTTACTATCTTATTTAGCAACGAAACTAATGTTATGGATAGAACCGTTCATCAATACTGCTAGGAAGATAATAAATTTCAGTATTTATTCTTACTCATTCTAATTTTTACATAGTTGAACTTCAGGAAACTGCGTCTTTTATATGGCCAAACCAAACAGAACCCTGGCACAATCCTAATGTTCTGTTTACATAGTTCACGTTTGAGCATCGATGTTCCCAAGCACCTTTCCCCCTAACCCTCGCTCGAGGGACTGGTGGCGCCGGGGGGATGCGTCTTACTTATCGAAATTCATGAAATTAGGAATCAGCTCCTTTCTAATTCCAGTTTGAACAATTTATGAACCCAAACTATCTCACCTTCAACTCAACGTTTAAACACTGATAATGGGTTTCATTTTGATAGTAAAACGAATATTAATTTTTCACAATTTTATAATTTTATGAGTTACATTACAATTAGTTAATATAGTGGTAATAAACTGCAAACAATTGAGGCAAATATACACCACCTAAAATACTAGCATTCATGTCTTTGGTAAATTAATACTAAATTTTTTAAAAATTTATTTAAAATAAAAAGCTATGGAATTATCGCAGATCCGGAGCAAGATATCAACTATCCAAACTTCCTTCACTCTTAACGCTAAGTTCCTCTTTAGTCCTGAGGACGGCGAGGCTGCCTATACTGAGATGGTGTAAAGGCGACTGGTGGATGCTGTGCATCGACTCGTCCAGGTCATCAGAAATATCCTGGCCGTCCATCTCGTCCTTGATGCTCGATGAAGGAAGCGAAAGAGAAGCAGAAAACGAAGATGAAGGATGAGATAAAAGTTTATATGGCGGGGGTGAAGGGCTACACGAAGGGGAGTGATCCTGTATATTGTGGTGGGACAACGTGTCGCCAACGCCAATTTCTAGAATACCGTCGCCGTCATCGCTTGAGGGCTCCCCTGCGATGACAATAACTCCTTCCGAAGTGTCATCTTCCAGCGACGCGGCTCCTGATAATTCGTCTGTCGTGTGCTCGACGTCACACTCCGATAACGATAACGAAGGACATGACAATGGTGTCGGGCATGACTGAAGCTCAGATGTCACGACACGACAACCATCAAGCTCTGTAGACACTACACGGCAACCGTCAAGTTCTGTTGTGACGCGGCATCCACCCAGTTCTGTAGTGACCACACGACAACCGTCTAATTCTGTAGTGACTACGCGACAACCATCAAGTTCTGATGACACTTCATGGGCTTCAAGTCTACAACTTTGAGGCACACTTGACATAAGAGGTGACTGCAGCACAGAGCATTGAGACGCGTTCCTTCCTACCGAGTGTCGTTCATGATGCTGGTTCCTGTGAATGGTGGGCGCACAAGCTGCAAGGGGCGAGGCTACAAAGGACGTGTTCATGCCTGTTGGTTGATGTACGATGGATGTTGCCAACACGGGATTGTGATGTAAGTTACCACCAGACAATGTGATAGAGTCTGTCGTCATCGTGATAGGGGACAAGTTGATGCTATGTCCCGCATCACGGCGACTGCTCATTATCAGTCCGTTGCTACTCTTTCCGTCCTGCAACAGTAAAGTCAAGTATTAATGTTACAAAAGCTCGACATGCCTTGCTAGACTCATCCTATGCGCCAATTAAATTTTCGAAAATAAAATACAAATATCGTCTCAAGCAGCTATGGTTATCTCAATTTTTTTTTATTTTTATCGTCCAGCATTAATTTAAAATCAATATCACTCCATAAATTAAATGGCGAATAAAGGAATAATTCAGGCTATTTCAATGAAGATCTTCCTAAAACCAGGTTCGCCAATTCTAGGTTATCAGCACGCGCATAAAAATTATTACGCTAAAAGATCCAAGTATAAACTAAAACTTAAATTATAATAAAGAAGTAAAAAGTATAAAGCTGCTAACGAAATAGGCTATTGATAATCCACTGACAATATGAGCTCAAGGCGTTACTCTAGATAGGTTTCTAGCTTCAAATACTATTGGATTCTGAAATTTTTTACGTTGCAGCAACCAGAGTAAGATAATTAAAATCAATTCCAGTGATCGGGATTGTTATGCGTGAATGCGTACTGCTGAATATGAATGGAATTCGATAAAAAAATTACAAAATTATTAGTAGAGAGTTGATTACAAGGACTATAAAAACATCTTCTCTATACGTTTTTTTAAAAAGGACTATAACCACATCTTCTCTTCAACGTTTTGTCACGATGATATCATTATGATAGTATTTTTGATTTCTCAATCAGATTGCTTGAAATTGGCAGTAAATAAGGGCTTCCACTCAATATCAATAGTAAAAAATTTGGTCCCGGTTCATATGACTGAAATACATAAACATACCAGTTTTAACCTGGCTTTAGAACTACACTTGGTCAACAAAAAGCTCACTACAGCAGAAGACAACATGCCGTCCTCGGCAAGGACGATCTCGTGCGAGTCTGGCAGAGCATCCAGGCTGCCAGGGCTCGGGTGCAGAATGCGAAGCTCACACGGGCTGTCGGTCATTACCTTTAACAAACATACAATAACAAATATACTTACGTTGTAAAAAGTTTCAAATCATAAGGAAATATAAATAACGTTCAGAAATATTCAAGCAATGCTCAAGTTTAATTTATGCAAAAAACTGTTATTTCATTTTAGTTGAGCATAATTTTACCATTGATAATGATCTTCTAATATACTAACGTTGTAAAAAGTTTCAAATCATAGGGATATATAACTAACGTTTAGAAATATTCAAGCAATGCTCAAGATTTGCTTTATGCAAAAACTGTTATTTCCCATAGTTGAGCATAATTTTATCATTGATAATGATTTACTTATTTCCGGATACCAATTGCTGAAAATTATACTGATAACATATAGTTCTTATACTAGCACTCACTCGTACCTTGACACAACTGAGATCCAAGTTTGCAGAATGTAGCTGGTCAAAATCGAAGCCAATGTCATCCGAGAGGGAGGGTTCTTTGGAGCGTATAGGCGTGTGGCACACCTACAAGAAATCAACTGAAGTTCAATAACAACCGAGACTAAATGAATGGCAGCACGCATTGTGACATTGAGTGGTTCAAGCTTGGTAGACTAGAGATTCATGAAAAACTCAAATCTATATCAAATATTTCTCAAGAAAAATTTTCCATTATCATGTAGGTTAACATGTCATTTTAAACATATCAAAGAAACTAAGGTTCATAGATTAAATTTAAGATGACACAGCTTAAAGATTGCAAACACATGAAAGCTCACTTCTCCTTTGCTAACTAGTAACATGATCAAGATGTCAGCTAGTTCAAAAACCGCAACCTAAAAGAAGTGTTCACAATTTACAGATTAAATGAGCATGAATTGGAATGAATTATGATACTACATAGTATATTTCTGCTCAAGTAATTGGACTACAAACTCAAGATTAATTTGTCAATCATTTTATTTATTATGTACAAGGCTGTATTACTTATTTTGAGCATCGCATAGTCATCTTAAAATAAAATAAAGTGACAACTAATGAACATGGATCAGACATGGAATCGTTAATTTTTTGTTAGGTAAATCAGATGACAGGTACATGATAATTCATGTTAAAATCGTTCATGGTAAATGACAGTGATGACATACAAGTTTTTAGCGCATTTTCTCATTTATGGAAAAAATGCACTACAGTGCTCGCCATGTCCGTCTGTCTGTCTGTCCGTCCGTCTGTCCGTGACCTCAAGTTTTCGTCGACGAGAAAATGCGCTCTCTGTCACTCAGTGCTGTGAGTACTGAGTTATATTTTTTTCCTCTATAAGAATGGGGACTCACGTACTCTTGCGCAGCACACTACCGGCACGAGTGTAGCAACGACTTTCTTCACACGCGAAATTTGTTAAAATGATTTTTATCTCTATTGAGCAGCGGTCATTTTACTCAGGGTGGATTATGATAATCTTCTTTCTATCACAGTCTTCATACGTGCAATTATTGAAGGCTCAAAAACAACCATAACAAATAATATAATGAAGCTATTGGGTGTTATGCTAAGGCTTAGAAATATCTACAGGAAAATCTCCACGGCGAATCTTGACAGATAATTGATATTTTGATTAAGGATTAAAATGGAAAGAATGTTGACATGTCTGAAAATTATTAAATTTGAACTGGAAATACAAGTTTTTTGCTTGGCAGAGGCCAGTTTATCACAGCACACGCTTACGCAAATGCAGAGCAAAAATTTATATACCACTTTTGCAAAATAAAGAACTTGAACACTCATGGACAGTACGAATTAACAAATATAATTTTAACTAACCAGATATTGGAACCACAAGTAAATTTTAGGCTAGAAATATCATGACAGACAAGCCAGGCATATTTGTTGTTGTTGTTGAAAATTGACGAAATATTTTCCTATTAAAGATTAACAAGTTTTGATTAAAATGTTATGCCTACCTTGATAACCTTAGTTGGATTTTGAGATCCAAGATTGTGCTGGAGCTTCTGCTTCCTCTTAAAAGCCGACCGGCATTTGGAGTCCATGTTTTGACATATGCGGTTCCATTCCTTGGTGGTAATTTCAAATTTGTACTGCAGGTGACAACGAATTCCATACACCATCATTGGATCCAGCTGCTTTTTGTTGTTCCGGCCTGGCTAAATCACAGAAAATTTTAGTTTTTCTTCACAGCGGTTAAAAATTGCACTCATGCACGTGGGTTTCATACCTCAAAACCCTGGCCTTACAGAAACAAAGCACAATTAAATTTATTTTCATTTTTATACTAGTAAGAAAATAGTAGCACGACTTTCATCTCGGAATATTAGTTAATTACTGAAAAATGCTGAAAATTTATCCTTAAAATGTTGGGGTAGAATTAATCTCACTTCGCCCTGAGATGTTGGATGACGCCAGCTCGTCTCTACTGAAGAGGTAATCCAGGAGTGTGAGCGCCATCTTCTCTGCCGTCATGCACGTCGAGTTGATGTGAAGAAGATTCCTGTACATGTGCAATCAACATGTTACAAAAATGAAGTGAAAAAAATATAACTCACTACTCACTGCAGCAAGTCATAGAGAGCGCATTTTCTCGTCGACGAAAATTTGAGGTCACGGACGGACGGACGGACGGACAGACAGACAGACAGACGGACATGGCAAGCACAATAGTGCATTTTTTCCATAAACGAGAAAATGCGCTAAAAAGGAAAATACATGTTCAAAAGATGACAGCTATAAAACCATGAGCATAAACATTGATATTTTACTGTGATCGACTACTCAAATATTATGATTACAAACACTGATATCAAATTTAAAAACTTCAAAACAATGTTTCATGCTTGATAATCCCAGAAACAGAAAGATTGTTTTTCTCTTCTATTATTGTAATAGGAAATGTTACATCATAAATTTAATATGAATTCGATACAATTATTAGGAGAGTGAGTACAGAAAGACATTTCTACATGATTTTCCTAACAGCTCAAACAAGATACTAAATTGAAAATGTTTATAACAGTTTGGCAAATTTAATTTTAGTCACGGTAATGGCAGCAATTTCCATGAGTGTGGCAAAGAAATCTAGTTACCCATAACATGACAAAGCCAAAAATTCCTCCCGTATTCGATAAAATTTCTACCTCACACAGCACACATTTTTAGGCAAAACTCAAGTACAATTTCTGCCTCAACTGTACATATTTCCTAGCAAAAAATATGTAATATTGAATGTAGTTCTCACTGAGGTGTAATGGGGCTCCTGACTCTCCTGCTGGCGACGTCAGGATCACCAAGCCATGTGCCATCAGGGTATTGTTCGACGCCAGGCAGTCGCAGTACACCAGTTGATGTGGCCAATACACCACTCCCGGCGTCCTTAGTTTCTGGGGTAACATCAGGGCAGTTGAAGACGTTGTTCTTCTCTGAGCTGTGCAACAAAATGATACAATTATTTGTTAATACAATACAAATATAGATACAAAATACAATAAAATGCAATATAAAATGATGCAATTATTTGTTAATACAATACAAATATAGATACAAAATATAATAAAATGCAATATAAAATGATACAATTATTTGTTAATACTATACAAATATAGATACAAAATGCAATCATTTGTTAATACAATACAAATATAGATACAAGATACAATACAATACGAAATCATACAATCATTGTGTTAAAATTTAAGATATAGCACATAAAAAGTATTTCTGGTCTGGTTTTCAATACATTTTTATTATATCAGATTATTTTGCATATAGTTGCATTTGCAGAGAAAAAAAATACAGCAATATTTCCATCCAAATATTTTATTAAACTTTCATAAACAAGTTTATCATTAAAAATATAATGTGAACAAGAACTTTGGAACCAAATTGGATAAATGGGAATTAAGCCTGAACTAAGTATATATACATTAAATTTGTCAGAATAAAAACCAAACTTATCCAACTTTTAATGGAGAACCAAGCACTTTGCAGGAACTATTTTTTTCTGAAATGAGCTTTGTATATGAATTTACTTGATTGCATATTGAATGGAAAGAAACATATTTTAAGCAGCAAGTTATTTGGTTTAGTAAAACAAATAATTGCCTGAAACATGACTCAAGTTCACCTTATAGGCACAAGGATCAAACAAAAACTTATGAAAATCTTACCTAGTGGCAAGACCAGCTTCTTTGCCAAGCAGAGTATCGTTTGTGAGTTGGACAAGTCCCTCCACAGTCTCTAATTTGGCAGCCATTCCATTGCAGGTGTCACTCAGCATGCACACATTGTTTTCCAAGCTGCCAAGACGACCATTGAGGATGAGTCGTAACTGGTGAACCTGCAAAAAAAATTTTAATTATCTTTAACAAACTCATGACAAGATTTTTTTATTTATTAAAAGAGATTAGACATGAGATAAATACTGGTATATTTCTTTAATGTTAGGCTTAATTTCAAGAAAATACACAAAAAATCCATGTTGAGCAATTTTATTAAGGAATTATTTATCTGAATATCTTAGAAAGTATTCTAGTATAAATTATTTGGCTAACCTAGCATACCAAAATGTTTCAATTTAAATTTTGTCTACAGCAAATTGAGATACAACCTAGAGATGATTATAGATAAAATAAAATCAATGAAACACAGTTGTCCTCATTCCTCAATACAGACTGAGCCAGTAATATCATGAGAACTTACCTCATCTAACAGCTGGTCAAGTAAACCTAAAGAATCTGTAGGAATACTGTCACCCATTTTGTTATTATCACTCTGAAAAAATGTAAATTTTTGTTAATATAAACTTGCAATAATTTATGACAGATAGGTGTCAACTTTTTTCAACCCTTTTGTGACTGACAGGACATCTTATTCTCAAACTGCTAGGTATGAATACCATTGACAATGGTAAATGTCTAAGATGGAAGGGTTAAAGATTACATAAATGAATATAGCCTCATACATCTAAATATTTATAGAAACCTTTCCATCCTTATTGCAACTATAACAGAACGATTGTTTAGGAAATTTGATTATTTCTAGCACTAAGTAGAATATTATACAGCTCAACCATTTGACAAATACTGATTCTGCAGATGAGCCTAATATCTAGTAAAAGCAAACTTGTATAAGATATGATTACCATCAAGCGGGGTAATAAGGTACAGTTCTTCATAATGGCAGTGGCATAGGGTAAACGCGGTATATTCCGACACCTCTCTAGTTTTTCCTTTATATTAGGCTTTGTTTTAGTCCCATGCGTTTGTTGATGGTTGAAATAGTGACGTCATACATTTGCATGTCAAACTACTGCCAAAACACTAGGCCTGGGCCATCTAGCAGGAAAATGTTGAGATCCAAAGAGAGACAATGCACGCTACCCAATGAGATCATCGAAAATGAGTCAAAGTTGACAGTTGACCTTGCTCTACCAAATAGTGATAAACTGTTTGTGTAGAAAGAATATTATGGTTTGAGACTTTTAAATATGTCTGTGAATATATTAGGAATCCTTTAAGTATACTTGTATTTGCTGATTTCAAGTGGTAAATAAATTAATAGATGATTAAGTTGAGAAACGCATTTAGACACATAAAAACTAATTCCAACACAACTTGAAATGGACACACACAGCTCGTTCCAAGCTGTGTGCAAAAATTAAAATTTTCTTAATTAAAAGCTTAATAACTGTTAATTAAAAGCCTAATTAAGTAGTGCTCAATATTCAATAATGTTCTAATTCAAAGCCGTGTTGTATTCCAATACAGCTCACACAGCGATCGGAATTTGAACACGTGGATGTTGGAATTACGTATTAGTACAATTTGAAGCACGGTTGGAATACATCTCACCACGTGCCAAATTCCTATATTCTGACACACAGTGTCGGAATACAGGGATTTGGTAGGTTTGCATTCTAAAGGCTTTTAAATAAATATGGCAACATTTTGTGACGTTTCATCGTTGCTGGCGCATAGTACGGTGTTTTGAGAGTCACGTAAAGCAAACAGAACTCGAGTAACGCATACGGTTATTTTTTTTATAGTTTTCCATTTCTCGATGCGTCCTTAATGTGTCGGAATATACCGCGTTTACCCTATGCATAAGACGTGCTGTGGCCTGTGGCAAGTTGGCAACTTTAGTGACATAAGGCATTAACAGACAATAGTAGCAGTCTAGCAGAGCTGAGCAGTAGGCAATAGCCCTCTATATGCTATAGTAGCTATTTCTGGCTTGCTGCTGCTCTGCTGCCATCTGCATGAGCATGCTACTGTATTAGGGTAAGTGGTAGCCTTGGTATACCTAGCTACTGATTCAATGAAATTAATGTTGTTGATAATTGCAAATGAAAAATATTTATCGTGTTTCAAGTTGATTTCTTGTGTAAATAGAATTAAAATTTACAAGAAAAAAGTTCCAGTATCATCGAGGGTCGATGTCAATACCATCACCACACCATGACACCATTCACCAGCCCACCTATTATGGCCAATGCCACCATCCATATACCATATGGTCCAGCCACCATAGCCTATCCATTCATCATGTCGATCAACATAATGAATGGCAGCTAAAATGTCTCTTGTTTGCTCAAATCATTGGAAAAAGAATTAAAAGTCAAATTCATTTTAATGACAGGAATTAGTGCTTTGTGCTTAATTAACATCAAAAAAGGATCTCATTCGGAAGTAGTTCTTCTTCTTCTTTGCGGGGGGTCCACGCTGGGTGGACATAAAGCCACAGGTCTGCCTGATGGGATGACCGTTGGGCCTGAGAGCTTGTTGGTTAAGTTTTTAGCTTCTTGGTACGGGAAGCTAGTAAGTTCTCTCTTAAGAGAGATCAGTTCTCAGGTAGCTCCATATAGGATTTGAGGAGTTTTAAAGGAGACAAGTATTAGTAAATGGACTTGAGAAGTTAAGACTAAATGCTCATTTGAAGCAAAGCATAAAAGGTAAATGAATGCTGGTACAGCCTCCCTACCTACTTCAAACACCTAAAAGACACGCCTAGATTTTGATAAATACGCCAACAACAGTAGATATATATTTTTTTTAATTGAATTATTAGGCTTCGGCCACACTCAGGAAGATGTATATAAACGGGGAAATTTCTCGCGTAAATCAATCTAATTATATTTTTTTCGCGCAGGCGTTTGTGCAAATCACGGTCATCGATTCCGCGCCGCGCAGCACTCGGCGCGGGCCGCGGAGCCGTCCGACACAGTTTTCATCTGAATGGAATGGAAACATCGTCTGTAGATGATTTCAAGTAACGCTGAACCAGCATTGCCAGATGGCAGATGGTATATTTCTATACCAGATTTCACAAATCTGGTATTTTCAAAAGGTGTCTGGTATGAATATTTTAGATCTGGTATACATGCCTAAATCTGGTATTTTTCTGGTATTTTCTTAATCTCAGGCTGTCCTTTCTTTCCATTCCTTGCTTCCATACTCTTAGACCACACAATTTCACTCTCTTTTCTATTACTTTCTTCCATTCTTTGACATCCCATTCAATACCTGTTGCACATTTACCTCAACAATTTCCGGCAATTGGCAACCGGCCATCCGCAAAACTTGACGTGTGATATTATTTACTGATATACTTATACCTAGCCTACTTGCCGTCTGCCGAGTGCCGAGGTCGTCCGTTCCTTATTTGATTAGGCTATTCGATAGAGGGCGAAAGTCAGTTGCGTTGACGGCGAAAGCATGTGTGTGGATTGCGATCTCTAAAGTAACCGGTAAATTTGTAATTCGAAGACTCTTAGTTCCTGAAAGTAATTACCATCTTATTTGTTTCCTCTTTTAGCTCTTTAACCCGACTGGCTTTCTCCCTCAGAGGTTAAGGTTTGCAAGTCCGGATTGTGTTTTTTCCCGATTTTTTTAATTATTATTTTTTCTTGTTTACCTTTTTTTGTTTATTTTGAGTCTTGACTTGTTTCGTCTGTTCCCCATCGACCCCATGGAAGTTTCTAGCTGCCTTACTTACGCCTTACGGGGTCGACCTATGGTATGGTCACTATGGTGATTGGCATTTGGTCCACCTATGGTGATTGGAGCAGCAGAGGGAGAGGCTTGTTTTTTTTATAATTGATTTGTAGGCTTCGGCCCTTCGGGTATGCCGGTAGCACACCTCCCAGCCTGAGAGGCTGAGCAGTGAGCACAACTGTGTTAGGCTAGGTCATAGTGGCAAACCAGAGCTTTTTTGGAATCAGTTCATTTTTAATTTCCTCAAAAACTCAAGATTTAAACCAATTTCTTAAGTATGATAATGCTGGTATCCATGATACTTTACTGGTCTGCTTATAGGACTCAAAAATGAACTTGAGGGAGAGTCTAAAAAATTCTCTGCTTTGTCACTATGGGCTAGGTAGGTACTGGGGCTTAACTGGGGGGTAAAATTAAGGTCCTCCTACAAAATTTCAATCCATTAAAATAGAAACATTTTATTTACATCAATGTATTTGACCCTCTTCAACTCATACACTTATAAACATAGCCAATATTTCTTTCATAAAAATAACATTCATATGACATAATAAAAGAGGTTTGATTTCATGGAATTACTGATCAGACTGTTTTTTGCTTATATCAATGAGGTGCGTGAATCAGTCTTGGGCAATTCTACAGAAAAACTTATATTATGAAAAAATTTAATTCGGTACCGGTACTCAGTACTCACTGCAGTGAGTGACAAAGCGCGCATTTTCTCGTTGATGAAAACTTGAGGCTCAGGTCACGGACGGACGGACAGACAAATGGACATGATGAGCACAATAGCACCTTTTTTCATAAATGAGAAAATGTGCTAAAAACTGGCACAAGAATACAACAGAAGTAGGTACTCCATAGATACCAGCAGCTAGCATAGCTGAGCATGATGGGTGTGTAGAATGATGATGGTACAGAGATGATGAACAAAGATCATAGATGATACTTATTACTAGGCACAAGCACATTTTATCTGGAGAGCCCTTAGTTACCCTACTGGTGACTGGTAAGGCTCTGCCAGCAATATCATAGAATGAGAAAAACTTCTTATAACATGAAAACCAAGACATTAGTAATGCAAGTAGTAAACCTTACAAAAACATAAAGATAAACATAATAAGAAATAAGTTCAGATTAAATACAATAAATCAGTTCAGTTCTGATTAAATACAATAAATCAGTTCAGTTCTGATTAAATGTACAATAAAGTGCAATGAAATCATAATCTACATTTTAAATAAAAGTTCAAGTGCATTACGTGTATTAGTTCAAAGTTCAAGTGCTTTCTCATGTATTAATGTGGGTTTAAGTAGGGCCTCACAGGGAAAAGCATCACATCTGGAAGACTTTAACTGACACTTGGATGTACAATTATGATTATGTAACATACATACCTATACATAAAAGAGAAGACTGCATGGTGCAGCAACACACCATTAAAACAACAAGCTCACTATAACTGGATAAGAGTAATCAATTAATAATAAAAATTGAATACAAACAATTGTGATGAACATTAATTCAGTCACAGTATGTAATTATACAGATATATTCAATTCCTTACATTATTCATTAACTAGAAAGAAATATTTTTTCTATAAATGGTAATTTAAAGTTTATGTATAATGTTTTTTTCAGTTTTTAATAAATGCTATGTTTATATATTAATTCAATTTAAATGAATGAAAATATATTAATTTAATGTATAATAAATGTATTGAATTATTTGTTTAAAAAATGACAAAAAATTCTCTTGTGTAATTACACAATTTAATTACATAATGTGCCAGAGATATTACAGTTAAAAATTAGCATGTACCAGTATTTCACTAAAAATGAATAATAGTTAATGTATGCAAATGGTGATTTTATGATTATTATTTTTTTCAGTTCCTATAGGCAATATTAGCATTAAATTTCAAGATGTGGTTTGAAATCATCCCAAGTTTTTCTATCTGCGTAGTCTGCCTGACAATTCCTCACATGATTAATCCTTGGCTCAACAAGTTACTTTTGGGCAATGTAAGTATATTTATGCTATCTCTCTATATCTATAAATTTTATCACACTAAATACTTTTGGGCAATGTAAGTATACACTTAACACCTTGCGCAAGCTACACCGTTCACCCCTGAAAAGATGAGTGTCACGGTCGTTTGTATATTCATGCTATCTATTTATATCTATGAAATTTACCACACTAAACATTTTGCTTTTTGATATATTTTCTATGTAATTAATTATGTAGATGCTACCTATCTCTCTATATCTATAAATTTTACCACACTAAACATTTTGCTTTTTGATATATTTTCTATGTAATTAATTATGTAGGATTTTGATTGATTCTTATGATTATCACGGACATGAAATAGTTAGCTGCACTTTATTTTAGTGATGTTATATATAATGATGTTTAATACTAATAATTTATCTGTAAGGTAACACCATCCTGAACCATGCAATAACTCAAGAATTCCTCCATTAAAATTTACAACATGTTCTACCATTAACAGCTATATAATGATATAATACATACTTTGCAATAAGTGTATGAATCTTATTAAAACTATGAGCTAGTCAAATAATTATAGGTAGATATATTTAATGTTAGGTCCTACTACAATTCTTGAAAGTTATCAGGTAATTAACTATTAAAACTAAAACAGTAAAGTAATAATATTTTTGTATCAGTGGTACCAGCGCAGTCTGAGGTTCGGGCGTGAGCGACACTACGTGCTACGAGATGAGCGTCTCAACGGTAGCACCTACAAGCCACTGGTAAGTGGCCTGTAGAAGGACAAGATATTTACAAATTACATTATTGTTATTATTATTACAATTCTACGCAGCATTTATCATGGTGTCTGGTTCAAACAAACTTCAAGGGCACTTAACATGTAAGAGTAATTAAGGTTCCCCTTAAAATATCTTCACAGGGAACCTTATTTCTAACAGTTATTTCCAGAGGAACCTATGGGAACCATATTTTATTGCACGTATTTCTACTGGGAGCCTTTTTTTTAGCAACAAATTTTCAATAAAATATGGTTCCCCTAGGTTCCCCTGGAAATAACTGTTAGAAATAAGGTTCCCCTTAGTAGCAAGTGAAAAATAAATGGACACAAGAAAGGATGTAATGGATGTATCATATATCCATTCATATATCCAAATTCATATCATTTATCCAAATGCATATCATATATCTGAACGCATACCTATATCAACAACAGAAAGAGTAAATATTAAAAAAACTCCCTCTACTAATATCTGACTGTTTTTATTGTATTGTGTTTCAATGAAGCCCTCACTAGTACAATGTGTCCATAAAAACTGTAATTTGGTATAAAATGATGAGAATTTATTTTTGTCATGGTTTTAGACTCTCTTGAGTTGTGCACAAAGTTTCTTTTGGTACTCAGTCCGTCCATTGTATAAATCAACAAAGGTCCACCTTCTATTCAGCTGAATTATTTTGTAATTATTAACAATTTAATGAATGGTCCTAGGCACCAAACTGACTGTCTACTGTTATGAAGAACTGAACCTTGTCAGAAATTAGGAGAGGTGCTCTATAGGAGTCGTTCTTCTCAAACCAATCCCCTATTCCACAGCTCCAAAATATCATATTTTATTGCATTTATTGCAGAAACACTAAACCAAATGTCTCGTTAACTAAATGTTCATGTATTTCTAAACATTTTTGAAATATCATAGTGTTGATTGAGTGCACTTGTTAGGTTTGTTCATTATTTTCAAGAGGATTTAGGCATTAGGTTGTTCATGAACTCCTTGATTTTTTAGCGCATTTTCTCATTTATGGAAAAAATGCACTATTGTGCTCGCCATGTCCGTCCATCCGTCTGTCTGTCTGTCCGTCCGTCTGTCCGTGACCTCAAGTTTTTGTCGATGAGAAAATGCGCTCTCTGTCACTCAGAGAGCGCATTTGATACACTAAGCTAGAGCAACACTCTGCAACATGCTATGCTAGAGCAACACTCTGCAACATGCTATGCTAGAGCAACACTCTGCAACACGCTATGCTAGAGCAACACTCTGCAACACGCTACGCTGCTGCACCACGCTGAATGTTGCAGAGTGTTGCCCCTGAATTGCTACACTCAAATATTGCGTTCAATTTACAAATGTGTTGCGTATAAATATAGCGTATTAATTAGAGTTAAATATTGTTGTTAACGACCGCCAGTGGCTGAGATCGAACAAACTTTATGCTCCCGCCCGAACTAAGCTTCTCTTAAGTAGCGCAAGTACAGAGTTATAATCAACTATACACAAAGATGTTATTCATTTCATAAACATAATTATTTTTAAACTGCTCCTTATGAGCTTCTTCTCACGACCCACGCACCCCTGGCGTGAATTATTATTTTGATGTGAATATTTCGAGCCAAACGCTAACAACTTAGATTTGCACATAAATTTGTTCAATGAAAGAATTGTAAATTCTTCCAAGATTTTCTTGAATGTTGGTGGAAATTTTTTCCTTGGTTACTTAATAAATTTATATTAAAATCATTATTAAATATGATTGTTTCGCGTAAATATTGTATCTGGAGCCACCCAACTTGATCGCCCTTAGTATAATGGTTATGAAATAGTTTTGTAATGGTTTACAGTTACACGATATCGTTAGCTATGCTCCTTAATGAGAACCTCTTAATATTCGCATGTATTTCAAATATTTATTGGCTTACACGATATCGTTAGCCGTGTTCACTAGTAGTAACATCATAATATTAGCATGTATTTCAAATATTTATTGGCTTAAGCCATCTTCCTTAATGAGAACTTCTTAATATTCGCATGTATTTCAAATATTTATTGGCTTAAGCCATCTTCCATAATGATAACATCATAATATTCGCATGTATTCAAATATTTATTGCTCATGAATTAATCGTTTGTATTTTTCAGGGACTCAAAGACCTCCCAGACGAGCCCGCCGCGAAGTAGGCGTCCCGCCTCCTGCGCTTACACTTACAAAAATGGATGGCTCATGCTGTCCAAATACTGACGCACTTTCTGCACCTTGCTCTGACACACTTCTATTTTGGGCTAAATTAGTTTAGGATGGCCCACACTAGAGTAAAAAGTGCATTGCTATTTGGGGAAAGTGTCTCTAATTTATCTGAGTGTGCTTAAAAGTCCCCACCAACATTTTTCAACATCTGTGTTGCATGTAGCGGGGATTTTCTGTTTAATGCATTGATTTGTCGTGAAATTTCATAGTGTTATTGGAGAAAATAGTTTGACTCTAAGATACAATTACGCGTTTAATTAGCAACATCAATGAAGCATCATTGTAATCCCTCCCTTGATGCTCTCGCCTTGGTTGGCGTAATAACGGTTCATAAACTGTACAGATATACGAGCTCTCGTACTTGCTGATGTTTCAGTATCCTCTGAATTTGAATTACGACTTTAAATTAGATTATTTTCCCCTTTGCCCATGCGCTACCGGATTTAGAAGTAATCATTTATTCTTTATATCTAGCCGGGCAGGATGGCCCTGTGGCTACATTCCCAGTCTCATGATAGGAGCAGTGAGTTGTGGGTTCGAGCCCAGCTACCTGTGATACTTCTTGTTCAAAATCGGCGTGATAACAGACTAGTTTAGCGCAGAAAAATTGGAACAGTAAGTTGCATGTTCTAAACTCGCAACGAGCTGGGAAAATTTTGCCATATTCAGAATCGGCAGCAGGTCTCAAGGTCTAATCAACGTTGACACCGCTATTATTATTTATTATAGACCCTGCCAAATTTTATACTGTTCGGCTCGCAGCCTCCTGGACTTCTTGTCAACCTAGGTACGTGAAATGATTCCATTCCATTGATTAAAATGCACTTAATGGCAAGATTGTTTCGATGGATGGCTACTTGAACCGATCAGGGAATAGATCAGATAGTTTAGAATATACATAAAATATAATAGCATTGACATGAAAGATTAAGCTTTGTTTGGCCTTTCTTCGATATTGGAATGTTTGAAGCTTGTTTCCACACGATTTATCATGGACCTTGCGCACGATCTGTCCAAATTTGCCTTTGGAGCTAAGAAAGTACGAACTATAATTATCTAAATGGTTTCTGTTGACTTTTTCTTTTACTCAAATTGAGATGTCCTTATCACAACGATATTAAGTAAAAGTACCTAGTTGACAGTCAAAAGGGTAGGTATATATTACACTTTACCACTATTTTATATTCGTCTGGGACTATGTCAAGTGAAGTGAAATATTTTCCGAATCTTAGCTGCCTTGTACCGTGTGTCGATAATATGGTTTTATTTCCTTCTGCGGGCATATAGATATTCTTCCTTTTTAGATCCAGTCCTTACTGATTTACGATTGCATTTATGCGCATTAAGAAACGTAGTTATGACGTCGCGTAGCTGGGCATGGAGTCAGTTTGGCCAGAGAATGCAGCATGAGTCATCGTTCAGGGAACCTACTTGCGAAGCCACCTCATTCAGGTGCTTAAGCAGCCTTCGGCTGCGGAGCGGGCCGAGCCTGCTGGTCCCCAGCTCTGCCTCGTTGCTGGGAGGTGACACTGCCGGCTGCCCGGACTGGCCTCAGATCTGCAGAAAGGTGGAGCAGTTCATCAGTAAAACCCGCCGCTTTGATCCATGAGCTGCAGCAAAGAACAGCTTGCGGTGTGAATCGTTGAAACGCGCAGCACACCGATAACTCACCAAAAAAGACTAGAAGTCATTCAGCTGAGCGCTTCCACACCGAAAAGCTGTCGCTTCCATTGGCTTGTGTGCTAAAAAGATTCTAAAATTTGGATTACAATGCATGGTTTCTCATTTGAGGTTACTGAAACCCTGATATATTTTTAATGAAAAATATTGTCGAAGCAACGCTCATTGCTTTAATCCCTTTGTAGCTGTCGAAGGATTGACTATCAAGTAAATATCCTTACAAGAGATAACATTAACTTGTAGCATTACGGACCGTTATTTTTTGTTGAACTTCGAATATATTGTTCGACTTCCCGGCACTTCATCTTTTTTTTTTTGTGCTACGCGTGTCAAGGTTATTTGGCATTTTTTCCAACTTGTAATATACATTGCTCTCATTGTTACTTTTTTTCTACATGGAACGTATGCAGGGTTGACTATCAATTGAGCTGCAGGCCTTATGTGTTCGATAAGTAAATGTCTGCTTCTTGGCGCCTTGAATGACAGTCGTGTGTTTAAACATAGTTAAAGTAACCTAAAAATTTTTCGGGCGCTTCGTGTATCTAATGGCGTGATACTCTTTTAGAGTCACCATGCTACAATTTTATTTATTTTGAAATCTAAGCTTGGACTGATCAGACGCTCTTTCGAGTTCCTAGATTTAGAAACGATGAAGCAGTTGTTTGTTGCTGTCGTGCGCCCGAACCTGGAGTTTGGAAACGTCGTGTGGTCACCGAAATTTGAAAAGGACAAAAATTTAGTAGAGAGTGTTCAAAGACGCGCAACAAGTAGAATCGGCAACAGGCCATGGGCCTATGTCTTCAACGCCGACACTTCTATTCTATTCTTGTCTAATTTCCAATCTTAACGGCTACTTTCTACGAAATACGGACGGAAGCAAGGAACTGCATTGACTGCTAGTCCGAAATGCTTCTTCCTTCGCAGCTTTGCATTTACCGCACGTACGTTGTGTTCAAGAAATTCTCGTGGCTGTTGCTGACGAGTGTCCACTGCACAACTCTAACTCAAACCTCACCGTTCTTCACTAGAATTCGTATTATACTGGAACACGGGTCAGAAGTTCAAAACTGTGATTTGTAATTTTGTGCATCACAAGTTCACAGTGGCGACGGACAGTGCTATCACTGCTAATAAAAGTCTGCTATGAGTATGAGCCTATCATCCTATGAGTGGGTACTATGACTATGAGGGGTTAGATACCTAACCACATGGCACATGATGACTTTGAGCTTTGACTAATAATTAATTATGAAGTATGAAGCAGTTTAATAATGCTGATCATTTTCAGTTTTGTTAATAAAAGAGATACCTAATATTAATGAATGCTGGCAAATTTAGTGCTTTCTATTTGTACCTAGCTAATTGGTAGGCAGGTAGGGTAAACGTGGTATATTCCGACATCGTAGCCGTAGGTAATTCCGTCACCTCTCCAGCTTTTCCTTTATATTAAGCTTTGTTTTAGTTCCATGCGTTCATTGATGGTTGAAATGGTGACATCATACATTTGCGACCATAGTGGCAAAGCAGAGAGTTTTTTAGACTCTCCCTCAAGTTCATTTTTGAGTCCTACAGGTAGACCAGTAAAGTATCCTGGATACCAGCATTATCATACTTAAGAAATTGGTTCAAATCTTGAGTAAATGAGGAAATTAAAAATGAACTGATTCTAAAAAATCTCTGGTTTGCCACTATGTTTGCGACTGCGTGTCAAAATACTGCAAAAAACACTAGGTCTTGGCCATCTAGTGGGAAAATATTGAGATCCAAAGAGAGACAATGCATGCCACGTGGTGAGATCATCGAAAAATGTTTTAACCAAAAAATAAAAAAATTGGAGGGGGTACTCTGACAGGCTTTAAATAATAGCTTTTTTTTGTGGGTCACATTTTTAATTTTTTTACCTATTAGATATGCAAACTTTTCAAACCTTTCTATTGTGTAATGTAGCCTCAGTATTAGGCCTTTAATGCCCATTGACAAAATTTTTCTATGTCAAATAGTTTTTGAGTTGTGGGGGTTTTTGTTAAAAAAACTAAAAGTGGTCTAAGTTACCCCGCCGGTCTAAGTTACCCCATTTTACAGAATCTCTTTTTATCAGAGTGAATTCACTTGACCCTATTAAAATGGTGCAAAATTACAAGCCCATTAGCCCAGTTCTGTAAGCTTATGCCTTACAGATGCAGAATAAATGCTATATGGCTGCTGATATGAAGCTTGCAGTACACAAGGTTGTCAATGTTCAATGGCATGTCCATGGATAAGTTAATATCACATCAATAATACAGTAATGTATGGTTATAGTAATAAATCAATAAAGGAAAAACAGGTATAAATTGCTGAAAATTTCATTTGTTCTTCATCTACAGCATCTCCAAAGGAAGAGTAGGACATTGGAGAATGGAGTATTTTAGTAATAGATGAGTACAATCTGCATGCTTCAAATGTTAAAATCAAGTTTTATTTTAAGTGTCCCATATTACCTGTTCCCAGGGGTAATTTGAGATACTTTTTTGTGTCAGGCACCTTACAAATAGCATATACATTTTTTTGGAGATGCCATATGATAGCTTTTGCAAAGACCTCCAGAATGAGCCCAGACTCTTTCCTGAAATTAAAAAGTCACTAGATTGCTGTAATCGCAGATTCACTAAAAATTTAAAAATAAAGAAAACGCCACAAAAGTTTAGCATATCTCTATTGAAAACGTTTTGGAGACCAGCTCCATCGTCAGTTCGATAAATCTAGAACACAGATAAAAGAAGAAAATTAGTTTGGAGTTAATAAAAAACCACAAAAGTTAAAAACCTAAATTTACCGACAAAGGGCAAAATAATAAAGTAACTACCTATCTATTCACAATTTCTAATGGATAAGAACTATAGGCAGCATTTAAACTAGGCTTCTCTTTAAAAATATACAAAGATTCCAAAATACGCAGATCGGAAGCACCAGAACTATAAGCTAAAACCTCAAAGTCTGTGTCCGACACTGGAACGTTGCACTGTTCGGCATGAGTGCGCACAGTCGAAATGAGGAGGGCACGATAGTAACTGCCCAGTCCTATAACTCCTCCCTCTATGCTCAGCAACCCTAGTGTAAAAGTTGCGTGCCGTCATCCCAACGTACGCAGATACACATCGTGCACAACTAAATTTATAAACTAGGGACGATTGCATATGAAAAGGAAGGATATCTTTGTACCTAAAAAACGAACCTATTTTGAAATTATTCACCAGTAAGATACGAAGATCAATGTCCGGGAAGTATTTCATAAACAAAACTTTTAATTCTCTTGACATAACTTTGGACGCATGGCCGAAGTATGGAAAAGAACAGTAAACAACGCTTCTACTATCAGGCTCTGGAACAACTTCACTGTATTGCTTAGACATGAATTTCTTAATCTGGGTAAACACCAAGCTAGAAGGAAATCCATTAAGCGAGAAGATATTGAGCAAAAATTCAAATTCAGAATGCATGGAATGGAAAGTCGAGCATATACGAAAGCCGCGGTGTAATAGCATTTGAAGCCCATTTAACTTGAATCTAAAAGAACAAAAACTAAAAAAGCTGGTGCTTAGGCTGGTGAAAGTTGGTTTTCTGTAAACAGATGTTTGAAAACGGCCATTAAATTTAGTAATATTGCAGTCTAGAAAGGACAAGCTATTGTTCACTTCGAGTTCCATGGTAAATTTAATAGAATTCCATGGTAGAATTTAATATTAGATAATATTTAATAGAATTCCATGGTTCCATGGTAGAATTTAATAGAAAATAAGAAAGGTGTCATTGACGTATCTGTAATAAAAAATTGGCTTGAAATCAGGAGGACAATTGGCCAGCCATGAAACCTTGTGAAAACACATAAAAATATTCGCAAAGGTTGGGCCAAGGGGAAGAAGACCCATGCCCAAACCGTTAATCTGTTTGTAAAATTTACCAGCAATATGAAAATCGAATTTAGAACTGATAATTCTAGCAGGGATTTAAAATAATTGCGGTTCAAACCAATAACAGTATCAATGTATCATGAATATCCTTAAACAGAGTATTTAGACAGATCTCTATAGTTTCAAAAAGCGGTATATTTGTGAATAAATTTTCTACGTCAAAAGAGGCCATTGTTAAGCCCTGAACATCAGTAAAATCTTTCAAGCGGTCAACAAAAGTATAAGAATTGTCTACTGTATGTTGGTTAGTTGTAAGACAGTTTAAGACTGGAGCTAAACATTTAGTCAGTTTAAAACTAGGGGTATTATCTGCGGCAAAGATTGGTCGGAATTGAAACTTTGTGGCAAAATCAGACTTATGAATTTTAGGTAAGCCATATAAAATCCCAGGGCATGAATCCGAGGCGTAAAGTTTAGAGTACGTATCAGATGAGAAGGCAGGCTTGAACTTCTGTGTTTTTTTTTATTAACTCCAAACAAATTTTCTACCTTTATCTGTGTTCTAGATTTATCGAACTGACGATGGAGCTGGTCTCCGAAATGTTTTCAATAGAGATATGCTAAACTTTTGTGGTGTTTTCTTTGCTTTTAAATTTCTTTCCTGAAATGTTTCATGGCAAGAAGTTAATAACAAAAAAATGCTCAAAATTATCCCTTATTACTCCTTATGAAGGTATATTATTTTGATTTTTGATCCACCCCACCTTGGCTGGTTTTTTGATCCAAAATATAAGATAGAAAAAAAGAAAAAAAGCAGGAATTAAAGTTGCACTTTGAAAGTTGAACTGTAGAAGCACTTAGATTTCAATTAGACTAAATAATAAATATTAATTCAGTAATAATTTGTCTCTAATTTGAACACAACAAAGTAACATCCTGTAATAACATCCTGTAGTAACATCCAGTAATAACAAATCCTGCCACCAATAATAGTTCAATGCTATGCACACATTGCAGAGGCCGTTTGAGGAAGTAGAATCATGAGAATACAGTGAAAGTGATTAAGTTATATACAGATCCCAGTTGCCAATGCAGCAGTGCATATCAATTCGCTATTGCCAAATGCAAGTGTTTTATAGTAAAAATATTACATGTAAATTTAATCCAAAATATTGGTTAAAATAATTAATAACTGAGAGGAGCCAATTCAAGAAGCCTCATCTGATGATCACCTCATTTAATTGCTTGAAGTCTTAATAGACTAAAACTGTTGTTTTTTAATGATATATTCCTTTCAAGTTAATTAACATTTGCATAAATATTGATGCAGGTTTCAAATATTTTTAGCGCATTTTCTCATTTATGGAAAAAATGCACTAGTATTGTGCTCGCCATGTCCGTCTGTCTGTCCGTCCATGACCTGCGCGCTCTGTCACTCACTGCATTGAGTACTGAGTTATATTTTTTGACTTTGGAGGCAAACACTTATGTTGACTCAGCCTTAGTTCAGTAGCAGTGTAGATGTGCATGATTTTGTGGGATTCCTATTTTTTTCCTATTTATATTGTATGTGTTTTGTGATAGGTGATGTGCTATTTCTGCTTCTGTAATATTTTAACCTGTATATGCAGTTGATGCCTGTAAATATTTTATCTGTGGGTGAGTTTCTTGGAACATGTCTTTTGAGTATTATTAACATGTTGTATGCAATGTGACATGATAAATGGTATCATGGTACTCTCATTTGGGATTGAGTTAAGTGGATTATTGAAAAGCTTTAAAATGTAATAAGTGAAAAATAGAGCTAGTACAAGAAGTAAGGGTTGTTGAGGTGTATGTTTTGCAATGCTGCTGCTAAAATTTGGACCCTCTAATGTGAAGTTGTTTGTGAAGGAGTGTGACATTTGTTACAGTGAGAATGACAATCTCTTGGGAAACAGTGTTGATGTTTTTTGTTGGAAAGTAAGAGGAGCACAGCTTGAGAAAATGAAGTTAATTGTTACATAATTTATCTATGTGTTTCAGGCAGCTAATTAGCTAGTGATATTTCAAACACAAAAATGTTGGATGTATCAACCAAAAAGTCCTCCAAGTCCAAAACTGTGAGGACAAAGGAAGGAGCAAAAATTCAGCAAGAACATGTGGAATTGGCTGACAAAGAGGAACGTGATTCAGATGCCAGCATTCCTGAAGAACAGCAAAATAAACGAATTAAAACAACAAGATTGGAAAAGAGGAGAGAGAGAAATGCCTCCAAGTCTAAAACTGTGAGGACTAAGGAAGAAAAAAACATTTTGAAACGAGGGGCAAAAATGCCACAGGAACTTATAGAGTTAGCTGATAAAGAGGAATCTGATTCAGATACCAGCATTCCTGATGAACAGAAAACTAAACAAATCCGAACAATGAGAATGGAAAAGAGGAGAGAGAAGCTGCACCACAAGTCTATGGAAGCTCTCAAGTATCTCCTTAAATGGAAACTTGACAGGTATGTTAATTCAACTACCAATAGACAGCAGATTAGATACATAGTAGACTATTTATATATTTCACCTGACTCTCCTTGCCCTGTTGTGCCATCATCTCTCAAGAGGCCTTTAATATCCATCTATACAACTATTTTGCTATTTTTTTTTTTTTTGCTATTGCTTGGATGCTATTTTTAACACGTTTTTCTTAGCTTAGCTTCGCGTTTGTTTGTTTGTTTGTTTGTTGTTAACATTGACAACAAAAATTAGCCCACTTCTGATTGTTCTAGAGATCTGAAATTCGGCATGCAGGCTATTTTCGCCTAACAATTTCAGATACAATCATTAAAACTAGTAATTAGAGACCTAAATTAGTTTAATTGAGTAAAGTATATATATAGTGTATATATATAGTATGACGTGCAGGTGCTCACATTATAGACGAGCAGGCACTGACGCTGCGTATCATCGATACGTACGTCAAGTCATACTTAATCAAGTCTTAATCGTTTTTCTTGTGGACTAAAAAGTAGAAAATAAAATACTTAAAAAAAAACTTTTTAAAAAACCTCGTTTTTCTTGTGGACTAAAAAGTAGAAAATAAATTTGTGTGCTTTTCGCTTTAATCATAAATCTGCCCGACACACGTTTTTTTGGGGCGAACAATAATTTATTTTCTACTTTTTAGTCCACAAGAAAAACGTGGTTTTTTAAAAAGTTTTTTTTAAGTATTTTATTTTCTACTTTTTAGTCCACAAGAAAAACGTGGTTTTTTAAAAAGTTTTTTTTAAGTATTTTTTATTATTAAAATGTTTTTCTTAGCTTAGCTTCGCGTTTGTTTGTTTGTTGTTAGAATTGACAACAAAAATTAGCCCACTTCTGATTGCTCTAGAGATCTGGAATTCGGCATGCAGGCTATTTTCGCCTAACAATTTCAGATACAATCATAAAAACTTGCAATTAGAGACCTAAATTAGCTTAATTGAGTAAAGTATATATATATATATAGTATATATATAGTATGACGTGCGGGCGCTGACGTTATAGACGAGCAGGCGCTGACGCTGCGTATCATCGATACATACGTCAAGTCATGCTTTTTAGTCCGTGTAGCAACGGACTAAAAAGGAGAAAATAAAATACCTAAAAATACTTTTTTAAAAAACACGTTTTTCTTGTGGACTAAAAAGTAGAAAATAAATTATGGCTCGCCCCAAAAACGTGGCTCGGGCTGTACGTTCACAATTAAATTTCCAAAATTCGTGTGTTGTGTGCTTTTTGCTTTAATCATAAATCTGCCCGACACACGTTTTTGGGGCGAGCCATAATTTATTTTCTACTTTTTAGTCCACAAGAAAAACGTGTTTTTTAAAAAAGTATTTTTAGGTATTTTATTATGTTTATCTTTTCTTGTTACTGAAAAAATGAGCACGTATACTTCTCCAACATTAGTACCTATTCGTATAAGTTAAAAACATCCATTTTGTTGACAGTAATGCATTGATTTCCTTCAGATCCAACTGGAAGTACAACAGGAAAATACAAGTTCATCTCATCCAGAGCTGCCTCAACCCACATGTAATGGCTAAGGACAACTTCCCTCACTTTTTGGAGTATGCTGCATCAATTAAAGGAGGTTCTTCAATCTGGCTCAAAACTTTGTGTGAAGAAAAAATCAAAGAATATGATTCCAAGCAGGCATTAGCAGACGAAGCAACAATCATTCCAAAGGATCTCAAAGCTGCATATAAGAGAGCTAAAAAAATCCTTGCTAATATGGGGTCTGTTGATGCAGACCAAAGCAGTTAAGGAGCTATAGAATGTTCTGCTACCCAAATGTTAATGAGGTTATTTGCCTTGACAGTACAAGTGTATGCAATGTCCGGTGTCTTTCTATTCATCCATCTTATTAATTCCTGATAGGACTCTTGCTTGGTACTCTAGTAATTTCATCATATGCGAATGATACTTGCATTCCTAGAACTGAAGTTTTATGGGAACTCAGAAAACCCTAGGTTTATTTTGCAAATATCTCAATTTTGACAGAAATTCGTGATGTCTCAATTTTCCCTTGATATCAGCTGAGCACAAGTGCTTAGCAGGCTGTGGTTTATGATATTGCCATGACACGAGTAGCTGGTAGGGCCTTATGACAAGATAGACTGTTAACTATTCAATATATATACTTTACTGACGGTCTGGTGGATGAAAACAAGAGAATCTGGAGGATACAGCAAGCCGCAGGAGAGAAGACCAGCCGTCTTCTTGGGGGAACTTGACCACCCCCCGGCATCTGAGTCTCCATTTGTTGCTTGTGGTGAAACATGACATTTATTATTCAAATTCATTGGCAACAAGTATTTTTCTTCATAATGAGAATTTTATCAGTGCAAAAACTTTTATTACTGAACTTTATTTTAACTGAACTGCTCCTAGATTCCATTCAGTATCGTATAGGTATGAAAAGAGGCTAACCACGATATGTAGGAGCCCAAAGGTTTAAGGAAGTTAATGTCGACATAGAAGTTTGATATGCGCTATAATCATCAGTTGCTTTACTGTACTAAAACAAGAGTTAAACACTTTTTACCTATTAATATTCATTTTGAAATCTGTCCACTTACATAAGCAGTCATTTTAATCTTTGAATTTTACTTTTATTTATGCATTTCATGATATTTAATGCAAAACTGCATTTGGATGGTGGCAGCTCTTTACAATGAATACAATAAGAACGATTTTAAATGCCATTGTTTTACTGTTAATTTCTAGTGTCAAATCACAAGGTAATTTTTTGCCTAGTAGCTCCCTGCATTTTGCTAATCAATTTGATTGATTCGTATCAATTTTTTTTACATAAAATGAAATGCTGAAAAATTCCTATGTTTCATAAATATTTTAATTTGGGATTAAATATTTTGTAATTGATATTACAATAATTTGTGTTATACTTTTTCAGATGAATGATTTGTTGGTCCATCTCTGAATTGCTGCAAAATGACTTACCAAAGTAGCGTGTTCAGTTCTAAAGTAATCTATGTAGTAGATTCAAACCCTTCTAACGTGTTGGTCCAAGGCACACCCTGCGCTGACCGTGACAGTTTGATGATCGTGCCAAGCTCTTCCATTAAATTCGGTGATGATATCAAGCCAAGTCAGGCGGGAGCTCCCACGCCCTCTCCCCACAGGACGATGAACGACGCATCTCAGCACTCGTATGATAAGAAAAAAAATACCAAATATAAGTGTTTCAACGAAGAGACGCTGCCAAGTTCTGCTCTAAGAGTCCAGAATCCTGATGTTGTTATATCGGATTATGGCGACGAAGGGGCTAAAGAATCAACTCGTCCTCACAATCTCCCTGATGCCAGTATGGATCAGGTCAACCCTACGGCAGAAATATTTTCCATTGATGGATGCGGCTCAGGGTTGTTTATAACGGATGCGTCATTGACGGGTGACGTGAGGTCCGAGGACGGAGGTCTGGTGGACGAAAAGCAAAGGATTCTGGAGGAATGTAAAAATGAATCATCGAGCTATCCTGTAGTAGAGCTAAGCATCACACGTGACGGCGCCCTGTGGTCATGTCCGTATTGCGGTGGAGAGATTGGGTCGAGCCACGACGAGGCAAAGGCTCACTTGTTACGGTGCGGGAGCTCAGACGTCAGAGGCCTGACATGTGAGATCTCAAGAGGAGTGTCGCCTACTGCCGCTGATGCAAGCAATCAAGTCAGGGATGTTTCAATGGTCGCAAATTACGATTATGGAGAACATGATGCTGCTGCAGATCCCGCGTATGGGAGCATGTCCTCGGGAGAACAATACGGCGATGGCGATAATGTGTGGAAATGTCCGGTGTGCGGCGAAGAAGTCTTCTCTCTTGCTGATCATTTATCTGTGCATGGAAAAAATGAACTCATCGGCGTCATCATGAGAACAGCGGTGCCTTACTATCGTTGCGTGGCCTCCGAAGACGACGGCGACGTTCATATCATCGGCGACTTCTGTGGCCCTGGTGAGACTGGAGTCGTGGCCGCCGCTGAAGTGGAGGCATTACAGAACGGAATACAAGAATCCAGTATGACTGATCACAATGACGTTGACGAAGACAACAAATTCTTGCCCAATCAAGATAGAAATTGGCAACGATGTTCTAAGAAAACCTATTTCACTAAGAAATCTACTGGCCAAAAAGGCCATCGCGGAAGGAGAAAGGACAATCCCAAGAACGAAGAAAGTTCCAGGAAGCCGTTGCGGCAATGGTCGAGTCGTGCTCCTCATCCTTGTGAAATTTGTGGTAAGGTATTAAGCAGCCGCGGCAACGCAGCCAAACACTTGTTGCTGCACAGCAGTTCTAAGCCCTGGAACTGTTCAGCTTGTGAGTTAGGCTTCAACTCACAACGGGACTGGCACTACCATCAGCTACAGAACCACTCGAAGCACCGACCGCACACATGTCCTGTCTGCTCCAAATCTTTTGCGGTGCTCGCTAACCTCAAGGAACACATGATCTTCCATGGACAGAAGACCAAATCCTGCGACATTTGCGGCAAGATGTTTTGGACAGCGAAGTGCGTCACGCGACACAAGAAGCGGCATTACGCTGATAAGAAGTATGTCTGCTCACTCTGCCCTAAAGCTTTTGCGATAAAATGGGATTATTCATTACATCTGAAGAAAGTTCATGAGCCAACGGTAGGTATTAGCTGATTATATATAATTTAAATGTTAATATTTGTAATGCCCTTTCCTAGTAATTGTTGCGAACACGCTTCCAAACACTAGCGAAATTTCCTATTGCTGTTAACACCAGGTCGTGCCAGGTAGAGTTTAACCTTATTCTCAATGATTATCTATAGCAATAACCTGGTTAACGCTCAAGGCTACTTTGTGTTAAATGCTCGTTTTGTATGAAGGGTTCATAATTTGTAATTTTACATGATTTATGTCTTCAAATAATATTTTTCGAACATCTTTTTCGTTTTTTCATCAAAGGGAACAACAAGCGGGCGTTTTTGAGAGGCTAAATTTGTTGTTTGAACTTTTTAACTCAAAACGATAAATTAAGTTTAGTTTGCATGTTGAATAGCAAAACTTATTACCATTCAAATAAAGTGAAGTGTCGTACTATGTCAGCGTTTGTTGAAAATAAAATCCACTTATTATTGTCTTTTGCGAATATTACCAAAGTTGACGAATGATAGGCGAATATTTGAGTTGGCGAATAATACCAGATTTAGCAATATGAAGTAAACAAGGTTGTCCAACACATATCCCAAAATAATTTATTAGTCCTTAGTATTCTAATGATTTCTAGATTCAAATAATTAAATCTACCAACACACTGATGGCAACATCACGGCACCGACTTCACGAATGCATCAGACTTAATATCTACATGGCACTTGACCTCCCGCCGTGCGGCAGAGTTACATGTGCTGACGTAGAACAGCAGCGTAAATAACTTCCAGTTCTTAACAATAACTCACACGTGAAAATAGGATTAACATTAATCAATTTTGATTTATTTTGTGAACTGAATTTGACTTATTAGTTACGGTTTCTTCTCTGGATAAAAACTCGCATAAAAACATTTGCTGTAGGTAGCAAGAACTTATTTGTATCTGATTAGCACTTATTAGCTAAAATAAAACGATTAAAGCTTTTTAGAAATGCCTAATTATAAGGAAACTAATTACTGTGGACATTATTCCCAAGAGAAGATTTAACTTACAACAGTTACGACGTTCGAAAAGACTTGCAGAATTCCGTATACCCCGAAACAGAAGTGTATTAATATAATATTATTAAATGCTTGGATATTTTGTTCTTTGATGAAGAAAGCTTACATTCGAGCCTAGATCACCCCATACAACATCTGTCGAAATTGTGATTCTGGTTGCGAGAAAGATCGCACAAGAGATTTTCTGATGAAACGGTGTGAAGAGAAGGTAAGACTAACATAAAAATAACAGCAAAATTAACCCACACATCAACACAACCGGCGCACTTAAAAGAATAGGTACTCATAAAATTGCGACTGTTTATCTATAAATATATTGCGACAGTTTCACTCACCACTCAGCTGACGAGGAAGCGTAAAAAATATCTTGAAGCGCATTACATCACATTTAAAGAGAAGACAAGTGGAGCGTGAAAATAATCCCTCGATTAGATCCCATTGACAATGCTACGCAGTTACATTTTGATATCAATTAAATAGAATAAAGAGTAAAACATTGAGTAGGATTGCACAATGGACAATATTAGGTACAGCTATTATCAATGGGTTAGTATGCGAAGGACGAACAATGCAAACGATCGACACGTCCAAAACAACACGGAAGGCATAACAATAACCATTATTTACTGGATGATGAAACTTCTATCACTCAGGAGCATGAGACTCAATTATTCGGAGGTAGAGAGCTTAAATATACGAAACCAGAACACAAGTCAGCTGAAACGTGACTATCTCACCACGTCAAATTCAAGCTAACATTAATGAGAATCTTCGGCTTGGGATTAGCAGAGCGGTTATGTACAAAGCACACGCGGCAATAAAAGATGTTTGACGAAAGAAACATAAATTTTCTAGCAATACACTCGGTAAAATGCTTTAAATAAACTTGAAGCATTTTTGTTTATCGTGTGGCAGTCTTGTCTTGAAGAGAACCGAATCGACCCTATACTGGGTGTTGAGCAGTGGGTTGTAGCCGTATACCTGTGGGAAAATCCATTATCAGTTACTTTGCTAATTAAATAAACATCATGTACATGATTTTTCAGAAAGGGCATATAGAATAGCAGAAAAAAAGTTTACTAGTGTTTTAGCATCCTTGCACCGAAATTATTCAGCAACAAAAAGTGGAAAGGTGTTCATTGCTTCAAAGGAACCTCGCGAGGAAACTGGCAAAAACACGCAGAGTTAGCATCTCAATGGGACGTAAAAGTAATAGGTGAACTGCCGGAGAAATGACGGGAAAATGTGACCAAACGGACAAGAAAACAAAGGGTCACTGACACAGCACGTCAGCCGCCTGAGACAGGAAGAAAGAGCTGGAAATATTACCTACAAGTTTGTCTCACACCAGTTACCTGCAGTCAGACACTATAGGCTCTAGGCAAATCGCTCAACAATAATACCTATGGGCGTGCCATTCTCACATTCAACTAATGCATTATAAGACCTTGATAAACGCTAGAGCGCCTTTTTAGAGCTTTTTCTCATTTATGGAAAAAATGCACTATTGTGCTCGCCATGTCCGTCCGTCTGTCACTCACTGCAGTGAGTACGGAGTTATATTTTTTAGAGCATGAGCGTCACCAATTCAAAGCCAACCAACGAAGTCAATAAATGCTATTACATAATTGAGCAGAGATGAGTCGTAATCTGCGACAGACCTGAGAGAAGAAGTTGATGCAGTGATGGCGCTCAGTGAAGTGCGAGTCATCCTCACTGAGGGACACGGGACACCCTGGGCATCTGAACGTCCACCGCGACGTCACCTAAAATACAGGCATACGAGTTCTTTTCTTAATAACAACAGTAGAAAAAAAAAACAAGTATTTCTTTTTTCTACAGACGCATGACAACTAGAGCATCCGAACTGGCAGTGAGTCTTCATATTGTATAATAAATAGAAGATGCAGCGGTATACAACTAAATTGAGAAATTCAGAACTGACAGTCGAGGTAGAACTTTGGTTAGGGTGATATTAATTTTAGTCGTACATCAACGTAACTGAGCGAGTTGCTAGTTTCAACCAAATACATCGAATGCAACTTGGACTGCTTGAATTTTCTCATTAGATGAGAAAGGAATGACGAGAAACAAGAATAGTCGTAACTCTTAAACTTCTAAGAATAGTTTGATAAGCTCTAGCCTCTATCTATAACTCAGATCAAGTAAAAAATATTGAAACAAACAGGGAATAAATAGAGTTGAAAAATAAATTTATGCGACAAGGCCGTATTTTTATACCAAGAACTACAATAACTTCCTTTGGGTTAATCCTTCAACTACTAGTACAAGACAAAATTGAATTTTTTGCACTGTAGTAAATTAAGTAGCAAATGACATACATTCGGCGCACGGATAAATAAATAACTCCTAGTCAATCAAAAGTAAAACTGAATGGACCCAAAATTAGAGTTTACGAATAAAACAGCGCGCTCAACTAGAGTAATCCTACTTGATGCATTACCTTGACGGGAGGTTTACGTGTCATGTGAGACACAAGGAAGTTCATAGCGATGTCCTCGCAGTTCATGAACTCGTCGACTTTGTCCCTGATAGCCTGAGGCATCACTTGCGAGTACAGAAACGAATAGGACTTGTGGAAGAACGCCGCGCCTGCGCATCAAACCAAAGGTCAATAATTCGTCTCTTCAATTGCGAACTTCAAGAGACAATGGCTCGGTCGAGCACACCACCGCAACACGGAAATGCTATGTAAGTTTTCTCCCTTTTACATAACACAATGAAAAAAATGCTTTTTACATTTTGAAAGAACAACACCAATCATAGTTTTGTACAGAATTGTTTCTTTTGTTAGTACATTAAAAATCGAAGAATTTATTGATAACTTTTATTGATAACTCAAGCATCATCTTAAAAAAATGAAGGTACTAGTTAATTCAATTCCATCTAACCATCATACCATCCTATGCATCATTGGTACTACCTTATGACTATTTTACTTAATAGTTTTTAACTCCGTTAGGAGTTCTATGTACAAGTTATTTCCAGTCTATTCACAATCGGCCTGTTTTAACGAGCCTTGCGAGATATGAAGCTGGTGAACTCACGATGGCTCAGCGTGTGTGTGGAACTTAACAGTGACCTATATGCTTCTGAGCCCTGATATGCTTAACAGTGACCTATATGCTTCTGAGCCCTGATATGCTTAACAGTGACCTATATGCTTCTGAGCCCTGATATGCTTAACAGTGACCTATATGCTCCTGAGCCCTGATATGCTTAACAGCGACCTATATGCTTCAGCACGGCTCACCTGTCAGCACCATGGACAGCTCGCAGGAGTAGTTGCTGTTATAAAGCCAGTTGTTGTGGGCGAGGTCCCAGGCGTGGAAGCGGCCGGGGAAGCCCACCACACGGTCGCGCTCTTCTCTCCACACTCTTCATGGACAACAAGTATATATTTAACAACAATTAATGCTGATGCATTGATTTTTTGGTTGTTGTTGTAATAGCCCATCCTGGCAGTGGCGACTAGGGAGGGGGGTGATACCGTGATAGGTCAGTTTTTCCGGGCACTCGGTACCACTGGTAGTTCCACGACCATCACTGGCTCGCTGACCCGCCAGAACCATTTGGTTGCATTACACAACACCCTGAACAAGCCAGGTACTCATTTATCAACCAGAGTTGGATGAATGGCTGAGTTGACCATGAGCTGAGCTTCCCGGTAGAACTTGTCCTCAGTGGGACTCAAACCCGGGAGCTGGGTGCGAGAGACTGAGTCTCTCACCACTGCACCACACAGCTAGATTGATTTCTTGGTCTCGACTGATGGTGCAATTTGCTTTAGACCAGAATGGAATGCCTAAGAAAAAGCTTATAACTATTTAAGCAATTTTCGTACTCTAATCAAGATTAGTGTTGTGCGTAAAAGCAGCATTCATCATTTGCTTGGAATTGAAGTGCGTGATTCATTTCAGTTTGAGTTTGATCTCATTGCTTGGCTCGGCCACAACACTACAAAACAAGTTCAAAAGTTCATGTAAGAACAATTTTAAAACTAATAAGATATATGTGGCCAATTAGAACATATGCCATACTGGTACCTTATCGAAAATTGAGTGTATCAACTCATGAACCATGGTATTGTTTCATTGTAGGCGTTACCGTCAATTTATTGACGACTATCAAACCACAGTAAAATAAATTTTCACCAAACATTATCGGAACCAAGGTCATTGAAAATTATCACCAGTAGTATTTTTTTATAACTATAACCGCACATAAAACTAAATGTCAGAATGAAATTATTAATACTAGGGAACACTGAAAGCTCTCACCTGAAGCCGAACACGATTTCATCGTGTCTGAGATGGGCGTCATCGTCGACGGAGAGAATGGCCTCGGTCTCGATCTCTGAGTACGGCAGGAACCTGTTGTTCAAGCTGTTCCGCTCGGCGCGTATCACCTGCCAACACAATACTCACTAGAAACGTGTTGTTCTACTCAATTATTGACAAGATTTTATAATTTAGTATCATTGTTAACTATACAAACATTCAGATTGTAGTATATGACTATCATGAACGCCCCGGTTCACGCCAAGGGCTTTAGTTGATGATTGCAGAAGAAGACAGAGCACAGAAAAAAATTCGTTTGAAACGTTTCAAAAAAAAATTCGGACTGTGAAACGTTTCCATCAATAAACAATATATCAGACAAAATATCAAATTTTATCTAATGTAGCAGTTCTCACTACGATGATTAGTTATTGATAGCTTTAATCTTCTTATTAGTGCCGATTTTGACTCCGGATTCTAAACAGACTAAGTCGACCTTTAGAACTCTTGAAAATAACTATTTAAACAACTAGCGGCAACATAGAACGACGAGCAAGATCACCTTGATGGGAACTTTGATGTCCGGCCACCTGAGGTCTAGCGGCGGAGGTTGGGGAGAGTTCCAGACAACGATGACTTTGTTGAGGTAAGGCAGGCCGTACAGCCGCGCCAGGGAGTTCACCAGCACCTGCAACATAAATCAAATTTAAGTTATTCTTGTTATACATGATACATTATTGCTAGTTATACATGCAAAAAATTCAACTCAGTACTCACTGTAGCGAGTGACAGAGAGCGTATTTTCTCGTCGACGAAAACGTGGTCACGGACAGACATGACGAGCACAATAGAACCTTTTCTCCATAAATGAGAAAATGCGCTAAAAAAAACTGAAAAATAAAAAACTTTGCCATGCCAGCACCATACATCAACTCTCAGGGCCAAACTAACGGAGTCTCTGCTGCACGAAACTGGTTCACCAGCACCTGCACCACACACAGCAAATCTAAGTTATTCTTGTTATACTTGATACACTATTGCTCGCTATAAACCCAAAAACTGAAAAAAAACACAAAACTTTGCATTAACCTACTGAGCTTCAAGCTACAATCTTGCTTCGAAAACTCGACATTTAATGCACAACGCGTCCTAATCTACAAAATTCTTTCTCCTGCTTTAAAACCCCTCAAGCAAAATGGTTATCTTTCTAAAAATTTGAAGATCAGATACAGGCACGAATTAATTTGTAAGCATAAAAAGCACCTCTTCTCTCTCGAAGGTTATCTTTCTACAAATTTAAAGATCAGATACAGGCACGAATTAATTCATATGCAAAAGGTTATCTTTCTAAAAATTTATATATCCGATACAGGCACGTATTAATTTATATGCATAAAAAGCACCTGTTCTCTCTCGAAGGTTATCTTCTAAAAATTTAACGATCAGATCCAGGCACGAATTAATTCACATGCAGAAAAAGCACCTGTTCTCTCTCGAAGGTTATCTTTCTAAAATTTATATATCCGATACAGGCACGTATTAATTTGTAAGCATAGAAAGCACCTGTTCTCTCTCGAAGGTGAGCATGACGATGGTGAACTGCTCCTTGGGGGAGTTGCCGCCCAGGCTGTCACTGAACTCCTTGCCGGCACCTCCAGCACCTGAACCGATCGGCCGGAACCCAATCTGTAAACATCTCATTATTGAACTCTGTGAATAATTTCCTGCTCTACAAACTTGTAAATCATCTGCTCTGATACTGAACTCTGTGAAGAATTTCTTGCTATACACACTTGTAAATCATCTACTCTGATACTGAACTCTGTGTAGAATTTCCTGCTCTACACACTTGTAAATCATCTACTCTGAGCTTAAAAAGTGAAATTAACGTTAAATTTGGGTAATTAAACTCATTATATGATTAAACACAAAGCTACGGTGTTTAATCATATCTAACACCTCGAAAAATCTCTAGCATAAGATTCAGAGGAAAACAATCTTGATAATCTTGATTGTTTTATGTTGGAAGCAATCTTGCTAATCACTCATACCTTGCAAATGAACGTTAAATTTGGTTGATTAAACTCATTATTAGATTAAACACAAAGCTACGCTGTTTAATCATATCTAACACCTCGAAAAATCTCTAGCATAAGATTCAGAGGAAAACAATCTTGATAATCTTGATTGTTTTATCTTGGAAGCAATCATGATATTCACCCGTACTTTGGAAATAAGTTAACCTTACTTGAGATCCGGCGAATTTAGCCTCAGAAGGTAGGATGGGGTCGTGGGGGAGGTTGGGAAGGAGCTGGCCTGGCACAGCCCACACGTTCCACTGGTGATGACGTGCGATGCTCGACACGGAGAAGTTGCGCTGGTACTTCAGCGAGGCGAACGGGGGCTCCATGGGGCCAAGGTTCTCATCCGTGTCAGGCTCCGGGATGATCGAGTCCGTCTTCAGTGGCTAGAGGTACAAAAAAATATAACTCAGTAGGTACTCACTGCAGTGAGTGATAGAGAGCACATTTTGTCGTCGACGAAAACATGAAGTCACGGACGGACAGACAGATGAACGGACATGGCGAGCACAATAGTGCATTTTTTTCCAAAAAATGAGAAAATGCGCTAAAAAGATTGGCTTAGTAGTCGGTAACTAGATGTAATCCAAAGTTACGAGGCTATCTAGTGTACCAACTAGACTATCTAATTTATCAAGTAGACTATCTAATTTATCAAGTAGACTATCTAATGTCTTCAACGAGAAATGAAGTATAAAGTCAAAAGCATGAATGACATTTGAACAAGAATATGTTTCTGACCTTTTACAGAAGCTCTATTAAATTTCAAATTATACAAATAAAATTCAGCGAAATAAAATTCATCACAATTACCGGTATCATTGGTGATCTCACTATGTGATATTCTTGCTGACGAGTTAGAAAATTCAAAACCACTGAGACGATATTCCTCATTCAAACATTGCGTGATTATTTGGCATCAGGGACGTACAATCGAAAATAGTTACGAGTTCTTAATTCTGTCAGCACTCAGCCAATCACAAACGGTGTTTCAATCTGAAATTCTCAAACACAGACGATAAATCGGCCTCAAAGTGTACTAGGCCTCTATGTGTACTTGGGCCGCTACGTGTACTTGGGCCGCTACGTGTACTTGGGACGCTACGTGTACTTGGGCCGCTACGTCTTGGGCCGCTACATGTACTTGGACCACTACGTGTACTTGGGCCACTACGTGTACTTGGGCCGCTACGTGTACTTGGGCCGCTACGTGTACTTTGGCCGCTACGTGTACTTGGGTCCACAACATATCATTAAGCGAGTGTTGATATCGCATCAACCAACCTCAAAATTGTCATCGAAGACGCTGGGGGAAGGTTCATGAGGGGCGGCCAGGGGCGGGATGAGGAGTCGCGTCCTGATGACCCCCAGCAGAGCATCGATGAGCACCTGAGAGGAGCCCAGGAAGCGCTCCCAGATGACGCGCCCCTGGCGGCGCAGCAGCAGCACGTCCGCGTCACTCAACGAGCGCAGCAAGAAGTGCAGCTCCGACACGCGGCTCTGCAAGCGCGTCATAAGGGCACATCAATGTAGGTGTACGTAGTATGTATTGTACAAGCATGGACACATCAATGCAGGGGTACGTAGTATGTATTGTACAAGCATGGACACANAGCATGACACATCAATGTAGGTGTACGTGTGTACAAGCATGACACATCAATGTAGGTGTACGTGTGTACAAGCATGACACATCAATGTAGGTGTACGTGTGTACAAGCATGACACATCAATGTAGGTGTACGTGTGTACAAGCATGACACATCAATGTAGGTGTACGTGTGTACAAGCATGACACATCAATGTAGGTGTACGTGTGTACAAGCATGACACATCAATGTAGGTGTACGTGTGTACAAGCATGACACATCAATGTAGGTGTACGTGTGTACAAGCATGACACATCAATGTAGGTCCATGGATTTACAAGCGTGGATACATCATGCAGGTAGCATCAGACAACGGATTTATAAGCATAGGAACTGATACGGGAAATATACTGGAAAATTTCTCTAACTCCTTCAACTTCAAGACTTCAAATGAGCGATAAAACTGAAATAGAATATACTTTTAGCTTTGGGACGACTCAAGAGAATTACTTTCAGCTGACTATAAAAATTAACTGTTCAAATTTTCAAGGCGTGTTGGAGGATGAAAAAGTAATTTTCTTCATCGTTTGAAATGAATATCCAAAAAATTTTCCCAAAATACTGCGAAACTATCAGCAACATATGACCTAACACTCCACTGGGCCTATTCCTAACACTGGAGCGTAGAAATTAACATTATAACTGCTTTGCACTACTGGCAGGAAAGCATCCTTCCCGATATCGAAACCTCAAACAAAACAACGAGACACGAAAACTTTGTGGCACGATTTCTTTGACACTTTTAATATTAATTTCAAAAGCACATGGTTTGACACGAATAGGAGTGACCTTTGCGGTGACCAAAGACTTTTTAGCGCATTTTCTCATTTATGGAAAAAATGCACTATTGTGCTCGCCATGTCCGTCTGTCTGTCCGTCCACGACTTCACGTTTTCGTCGACGAGAAAATGCGCTCTCTGTCACTCACTGCAGTGAGTACTGAGTTATATGTTTTGCATAAAGACTCGCCGTACCTTGGGAAGAATGACAGCAATAGCGTTCACTATTAGTGTCATTCACTCTATTCTATTGGTATCATTCACACTATTGGTGTCAACTAACGAATAGGAGTGACATTTGCGGTGACCAAAGACCTTTTTTAGAGGAAGACCCGCTGCACCTTAGGAAGAATGACAGCAATAGCGTTCCAGCGAGTATTGAGTTATATTTTTTAGAGAAAGAGCCACCGCACCTTGGGAAGAATGACAGCAATAGCGTTCACTATTAGTGTCATTCACTCTATTCTATTGGTGTCATTCACACTATTGGTGTCATTCACACTATTGGTATCAACTAACGAAATGGAGTGACATTTGCAACCTTTTTAGATAAAGACCCGCCGTACCTTGGGAAGAATGACAGCAATAGCGTTCCAGTCGAGCACTTCAGCGAGCGGCAGTTCGATGGCATCGCCGCCAAGTATGACGGGCACGGCGCCCTGCTTGAGCGCCTCGAACACGCGCGCCACCACGCCCACGCTCGACACCAGCGACCGCGACGGTGGGGTCAGCACCAGGCTGAACGTCGACGATCGCAGCAACTGTGGGCGTTAATATTTCATTTCAAATATCAACCTAAACTTGATTCAACACTCCATTGAACTCATTCAATCTAACTAATTCAACACTCATTATAACTCATTAACTCTAATTGATTCAAAACTCTTTACCACTCATTCACTCTAACTTGATTCAACACTCCATTAAACTTATCAACTCAAACTTGTTTCAACACACCATTAAACTTATCAACTCAAACTTGATTCAACACTCCAGTAAACTCCCAAACTCAAACTTGATTCAACACTCCATTAAACTCACCAACTTTAACTTAATTCAACACTCCATTAATTAAACTCACACACTCAAGCTTAATTCAACACAATCACTTGTACTGTTCATTATGAATGTTCATCCACCAACATGATAGTGGCATACAAGTAGCATTATAAAATGCTCATTAGTATTTAACATTTTTATAAGGATGTAATAAACGTCGTAAGTGCTATTCGTTTCTAAAAGTCTCATAAAAAAGGTTATCGTCAGTAAATTCAGTAAGAAAAATTAAAGAAAAGAGAGAGAGCAAGAAAAAAAAATTCAAGAGAGAATTCTCTCTTGAAATTTTTGTCTTGCTCTTTCTCTTTTCTTGCATTTTCTTTACTTAATTTATATAAGAAAAATTCAACGTCCATACATCGATGATGATGGATCGATTTGGCTGAAGAGCACTGCACAGAGTAACACTTAACGTAATGATAATTTTGGAATATGTTCAATTAGTCAGGAACTTGCGAGACATAAGAAACGTCTTTACATCGTATGCCATAAGGAAGTAGACCTGAGCTGCAACAAGCATCAACGAAGTCTATTAATTACCTCAGTGGATATATTGATGGAGATACGTAGATTAAAAACAAATAGATAATTTGTAAGAAATTCTCTTGTAAATATAAAAAATCAACTGAAGTACCTGACCACTCCGGGCACTCCATATTATTTCTAAAGATGAAAACTCCATCGACACAAACCCGAAAAAAAGAAGATAATTTGTAGGAAATTCTCTTTTAAATATAAAAAATCAACTGAAGTACCTTATCACTCTATATTATTTCTAAATATGAAAACTCCAATGACACAAACCCGAAAAAAAAACAAATATGCTGAATCTCGAACATCACAAGTTGCAGTAATAAACTTTAATTGAATAAACTGACCTCAGTCCTATGTTCCTCGCCCCCACAGAGCTGCCAGTCGTCTTCACTCCCCGCACCACCAGCGCCCTGGCACGAGAACTGCAGGAGGAACGCGTCGCTGGTGGTGGTGTGGTAGAGGTGACTTAAGGCCTCAACCACACCCACCTCCGCTACCAGGTCCGGGTCTTTGAGACCGCTACGCAGCACAAATCCGCTCGTCAAGTTAGACAGCGGCGTGAGCTTTTTATTGTTGATGTTATTGGCGTCGTTGTTGACGTTGTTTATGTCAAAGTTGACACTTAATGCATCAGGGGCGCTACGCTTGTCCAGTCTGTGGGACGCAGCGGCGGCACCAGCGGCGCTCAGGTACGGCCGGAGGGCGGGAAGTTCTCCCTGGCAACAAACAAGTGAATTAGTAAAATTTGCTGTATTAAAAGAAATAAATCAACATGAGCCATGAAAATGCTGCTAATTAATTATGAAAATACTGCTAATCAATGCTAAGCCTGTTAATTAATTAAAATTAATTTAAAGTGATTAGAGGATCGCTTGTGCGATGAATAAACCGATTTCATGACTAATATTGAGCAATAATCTATTACTTTTTATAGTGATGCAGAGAGCTTTGGGTATTATTGGTATTTGAACAAACATTTATCAATACTCACTCGGATAAGGTGGCCAATAATAGTTTGGCAACCGGTAAGCTAACGATTATAACCGAACTACAACACAAGCTTTCATCAACTATTGAGTGGGTGATTAAATGAGGAGGTAATGGGAGGTGATGGCACCTGGAAGGTAATGGCACCTGGAAGGTGAGAAGGTAATGGGAGGTCATGGCACCTGGAAGGTAATGGCACCTGGAAGGTGAGAAGGTAATGGGAGGTGATGGCACCTGGAAGGTGAGGAGGTAATGGAAGGTAATGGCACCTGGAAGGTAAGGAGGTAATGGGATGTGATGGCACCTGGAAGGTAATGAGCACCTGGAAGGTGAGGAGGTAATGGGAGGTGATGGCACCTGGAAGGTGAGGAGGTAATGGAAGGTAATGGCACCTGGAAGGTAAGGAGGTAATGGGATGTGATGGCACCTGGAAGGTAATGAGAGGTGATGGCACCTGGAAGATGAGGAGGTAATGGGAGGTGATGGTGAGAAGGTAATGGGAGGTGATGGCTCCTGGAAGGTAATGGGAGGTGATGGCACCTGGAAGGTGAGAAGGTATGGGAGGTGATGGCACCGGAAGGTAATGGCACCTGGAAGGTGAGAAGGTAATGTCGCTTGGCAGGGACGAGGGATGGGAGGTTCCTCCACAGGTCGCCGCCAGGGAGGCCCAGAAGAGGGGAGGAGATCACGTCAAAGCCTGGCCTGTGGTCGGCGCGACGTACGTGCGACTGTACGATTATTGCACGGCCCGTGTTCACGTCACGCAGCTCACTGCAGAAAACACGTATTTAGTAACAATAATTCCCTTATAAAAATATGAAATACCGATATATGTACTGAGCGGTGGATAGATTTATACTTTTCATTACATATTATATATACATTACTGTATATTATATATATTATATATACCTGCCTTATTCTGTCATTATTGAAACAAGACTTCTCGAGTTTTCATACTTTTCAAAATATTTTAATATCAGTGTTTTCAATCGACCAGAAAGAAAAAAAAGCATTAGTAAGAGGTCTCACAACACGCTTGCGGCATTGCTTGGCTTTTCTAGGTTTGATTCAAACAAGAAGTTAAAATGAAAACTGCTTGCAAGGAGACTAAAATCAAACAGACGCAATTCACAAAACCAGTCAACATTTAATCGGTCGCACCCTTGCGTGGAACAGCCAAATAATTGAAATTACAATTTCATAGATACGAACATTAGATCAATCCAGTAGGTGATTTTTTATGGATGATCAGAGACACTGCCAAGTGCAGCATCATAGCTTCATTTGATGGTGAATATAAATAGACTAATATACAATCAAAGTCACTAGTGTCATTCTGTGATGGAACCCACGCTAAGCTCTCTAACTCCTCGCTGTCAAAGTGACCTATTTAGGATTAAAATGTAAAAGGAAAATGTCAGGCAAATAACTCACTCGTTAGCATAAAGTGTCCATGGCAAGTTAGACAAATAACTCACTCGTTAGCATAAAGTGTCCGTGGCAAGTTAGACAAATAACTCAAAATAACTCACTCGTTAGCATAAGTGGCCATGGCAAGTAAGACAAATAACTCACTCATTAGCATAAAGTGTCCGTGGCAAGTATGGCAAATACCTGACTCGTTAGCATAAATTGTCCGTGGCAAGTTACACAAATAGGCAAGTATGGCAAATACCTGACTCGTTAGCATAAATTGTCCGTGGCAAGTTACACAAATAACTCACTCATTAGCATAAAGTGTCCGTGGCAAGTTAGACAAATGACCCACTCATTAGCATAAAGTGTCCGTGGCAAGTTAGACAAATAACTCACTCATTAGCATAAAGTGTCCGTGGCAAGTTAAGCAAGACATGGTTCCTGCCGTCACCATTCCAGTAGGGCAAGCTATGCAGGTTGTTCTCCAGTAACTGCTTGTCAACGCTCGCCCCATTCGTGGCCATCTCACCCACAATGGCCACGAAGACACAAGCCTCCTCAGGTTTCTGGGTGATGTGGGGATTGTAGCTAAGGGCCTGGCGCAGGGTAGTCTTCACGAAAGTTTCTAGAGGCATTGGCGAGATTTGGTATTTTTCTGAGTCATAGACATACACTGGGAACCCGGACAGCAGAGAACAGCGTGAGTGGTCGAAGCAATTGTACATGCGGCACTCAGAAACCTGAAATTATAGAGAAAATATTGTAGCATTGTATGATAGGTTAAAATTAATGAAACTACTATGATGATATCAGAAGTCAGATAACAAGCACTAATCCAAACTTTATTACATGAAGAAAAAATTTAAGAATTTATAAGTTATTTATTTGGATTAGGCTGATTTATTTTGATTAGAATGATTTATATGGATTAATTTAGAGAAAACAAATATCAGACGTTACTCAAACACTGTGCAAATAAGAACGTACAATTCACAGTAATATTTCAGGTCTTTCAACATCAACTAATGTATATGTCGATACATATATTAAAACATTAATTAAAATAACACACTTGGGACGGACTGAGAGGCGGCAGGACGATATTGTCCTCATGCGTGGCAGTTATGCGGCGAGGAGCTGCGATGTCTGGCATGTTCTTCTCAAATAATTCCTTCTGGGCAATCAAGGCCTGAAAAACAATGGCAAATATTATAAATATTGAATTTTGCTACCTACTGACCTTGGTTACTCATATTTTTCCAGCTATTTATGAAAAATATTCAGGAAATAACGATAATGATTTAATAATTGTATATATTATTGATCATATCTGAAGCATTTTTAATTATATGATACCAAGCATTATTGTTCACCCAATTAATCACTTAAAGTTCAAGTTCTAAATATATATAAATGAAGTGACTTTGTAATTAGTAGCTTTGTTAATTCAGTCACCTACTTGGTCCAACACGGCCATTCATACTCAGTATTATCTAATCATCACTGCCAGTCATGCTCAGTATTACCTGGTCAACACTGCCCTACTGCCAGTCATGCTCAGTATTACCTGGTCAACACTGCCCTACTGCCAGTCATGCTCAGTATTACCTGGTCAACACTGCCCTACTGCCAGTCATGCTCAGTATTACCTGGTCAACACTGCCCTACTGCCAGTCATGCTCAGTATTACCTGGTCTACACTGCCAGTAATGCTCAGTATTACCTGGTCAACACTGCTCTTGAGCCGGTCTAGCTCAGTGTTCATGCGGACTTCCTCTTGTCTCAGCGCAGCCAAGCGAGAGTTGGCTCGTGACACGGCATCCTGCACCTGACCTCGCTGCTGCTCCAGTTCCCGCAGCTCCACCAGCACGCTCGCTGTCAACATTAAATTGTGTGAGAGAATCTGCATCAAACAAGTTAAAATTTATTATTGTTCATTTTAAATTATCAATGCTAAAAATTTTGACTATGGAAATAACATTAAAAAATTTTTTTGAAAGTTTGATTCCCAGAATTTATAAGTAACTATGATCTTTAGAATTAAGCATAACATTGAGATTTTTCAGGTTTACTAGAGAAAGGCCTGAGTGAGTATAACAGTATTTAATAGCCAAATATTCAAATTAATTATATTACTTTGAGTCAGCTCAATTTTCAGGCCTTTCTGAAACTTAGAAAATATCCCAGAGCAGTATTTTAAAATAATTAAAAACAAATTACAATGAATGTATAAGATCAGATGAAACTAACCTTTAATTCTGAGCAACTCCTCCACTCTGTCTTTGAGGGAAGTACAGTGCATGCCACTGAGCTGAGCAAGTGAGATGGTTAGGTGATCTTCACCACTGGATGAGGTGTCAACTTCATTGCTAACCACGCTGCTCTGTAGACATAAATATGTGGCACATTAACTTCATTACTCAATATGCTGCTCTGCAGACATAAATATGACATGTCAACTTAATAACTAGCTATGCTGCTCTGTAGGCACAAATATGTGACACATCAACTCAATAACTAGCTATGCTGCACTGTAGACATAAATATGTGGCAGGTCAACTTAATAACTAGCTATGCTGCTCTGTAGACATAAATATGTGGCATGTCAACTTAATAACTAGCTATGCTGCTCTGTAGACATAAATATGTGGCATGTCAACTTAATAACTAGCTATGCTGCTCTGTAGACATAAATATGTGGCATGTCAACTTAATAACTAGCTATGCTGCTCTGTAGACATAAATATGTGGCATGTCAACTTAATAACTAGCTATGCTGCTCTGTAGACATAAATGTGGCATGTCAATTTAATAACTAGCTATGCTGCTCTGTAGGCACAAATATGTGACACGTCAACTCAATAACTAGCTATGCTGCACTGTAGACATAAATATGTGGCATGTCAACTTAATAACTTGCTGTGCTGCGCTGTAGACATAAATATGACACGTCAACTTAATAACTTGCTATGCTGCTCTGTAGACATAAATATGTGGCATGTCAACTTAATAACTTGCTATGCTGCTTTGTAGACATAGGTGTGGCATGTCAACTTAATAACTTGCTATGCTGCGCTGTAGACATAAATATGACACGTCAACTTAATAACTTGCTATGCTGCTCTGTAGACATAAATATGTGGCATGTCAACTTAATAACTTGCTATGCTGCTTTGTAGACATAGGTGTGGCATGTCAACTTAATAACTTGCTATGCTGCATTGTTGACATACAAATGTGACATGTCATCTTCACAACTTGCTATGCTGCTCTGTAGACATAGGTGTGGCATGTCAACTTAATAACTTGCTGTGCTGCGCTGTAGACATAGGTGTGGCATGTCAACTTAATAACTAGCTATGCTGCTCTGTAGACATAAATATGTGACCTGTCAACTTAATAACTAGCTATGCTGCTCTGTAGACATAAATATGTAGCATGTCAACTTCAGAACTTGCTATGCTGCTCCATAGACATGAAATTATCACTTGCATACTAATTGGTTAGTTTTCATAAACCTATAAGAACATTATTTCCTGAAGTTTATGTGTTTTCACTTTTCAGCCAATTATAAACTTTGAACAGATGGTAAATATGGTCTCTTAGGTCTAGAAAAAAAATTCTGCATATGTCAAACTTTTTTCTGTACTTACTTTGGATATAGAGTAGTGAAGAAACCATGGAATAATTAACAATAAGCATAGAATAAACCAAAGAATTTTTGAAGTTCTTAACATGGTGCACATGAGAGAGCATGTGGACACAACCAGATGACTGATAGATTGTTTTCTTGCTTCTGCATCTTCAATAAAATTATAATTTGTCCCTGCAGTCCCCACTGGATATTTATGCTGATCAAACTTCATCTTAATTCAATCATTTTGGAAGTTTGTCAGCATATATCTGTTGAAAACAAAAATTTCAATGAGAATCATTTATCAGGCAGTTTTTGTTCAATTTGTTTCTTCTTCAGCCAAAATCTGTCAAAATTCTACCAAATATCTTTCTAGTTTGAATAAAGTAGAACTGTAGAAGCATGAATTTAAAATCAAATGGACAAAGTATTAAAAAGCAAACAAAATGTCAAGTGAAGTCATAAAACTTTAATTGAAAACATTTTGGAAACCAGCTATATCAATAGTTAAATCCTAATGTAAGAATAATCAATAGAACAACTAAATTAAAACTGAAGAAATGAAAACTATTTTTATAAATATAAAAGTGTGAAGTACATAATGTGAAAGCAAACCTATTGTCAATTTTAAAAAAATTAATAGCTGGAGCCTGGATGGTGCAGGACACAACCACAGACTTTTGTAGGCAAGATACGACCAGCCTGTGGGCCGTGGCAAGCCTTCAAAATGCACTGGATAAATTTTGAAGGAGGGCTCTGTTTTGAGCAGGCCAATTCCCTCTCATAGATGTATCCGCATAGTGCCTACTGTATGTTTACATATAGCGAGTAAACTGTTCTATATTAACTAGACTTTTACTCCTGTTATAGCCAACAATAGAAGATCCCAAACCTTCAGGTCTTAATCAAAGATAAACAATAACCAAGCCACCCAGAAGTGGACTTGGACAATCATAAGTCATAACCATCAATGCCTCCACTCCATGAACTCATGGGCAGGCGCAGCCTCACAGGTGCCAGGTAGCACATTAAAGTTATTGATCATACATAGACTCATGTTAATTGATGTTGCTACAAAAACTCAAAAAGTTCCCTTCTGTGATCACGATCAAACCGAATCTGTCACTCACGTCTGTTTACTATCATATGAGGTACTGTTTTGTTGCAAATTACGCAAAGATTTCATATCGCTATGAAATATTATGATTGGTTTTACTGCGAATTATTTATTCAACAGGACTTTATAAATTATGTAGAGAATACTTGTGTTATATTTGTGTAAATCATCCTAATTACCAAAGGCTAAGGTATATTACTAATGAATGCATTCAAGAGCGAATAGACATAGCTATGTGGGATCATATGTTCAATCTTGTAATGCCCAGCACCTCACGGATTGTCAAATTGAAGGCCTTTTTAGCTCATTTTCTCATTTATGGAAAAAGGGCGCTATTGTGCTCGTCATGTCCGTCCGTCCGTCCGTGACTTCACGCACTAGAAAATGCGCTCTCTGTCACTCACTGCAGAGTACTGATCTAATTTTTTTATATCCTGTGAATCAAGTCACTAAAAGAACCAAAATCGACAACAGACCTTGGGCTGTTTCATCAAGTCTATTTCAACAGCGCCGACACTTTTAATAAATTCCATTGAGAAGTTGATGAACATTCACATTGTTTCTAATCTCAAATTATGACGCGTTTCTGAAAGATCTGCATTAATTTCGTTCTACCTTTCAACTATCCCCTCTTCATCAGTCTCAATTTGTATAAGAATTAGCATTTCCTTCTGGTCGACTCATTACTCTGATATAAGTTTATCCCAATCTTTCTTTTATATCAGCGAATGTTATTTCTTCTCATAGTCTTACATCAGCTCATCCTAATTCTTCACTCCATTTCGGTGATGCATTTAAAGCGTGTTATAGTTTAATACAAATAACAGCACGTTCATATGGGCGTTCCTTCAATTCCCACTGTGCTTGAATAATTCTATACACAAAGTTAATTGATTTTTTAATGATCCGCTTGCCGGAAGTTAGGATATAAATTCCAACTTGTTTGTCCCTGCGTTTATTAAAGTAAATATCTATAGGATAATGGAATAACTGCCTTTTTGTTTATTTGAATGAGATGAAAATAGGATTAAAGTGACAGTGACAGGATTTACTTAACATTCATCACTTCTCGGATTTGTAATTTATTTATTTAATGTAGGTAAACTCCTGAACTTACATCACAAGCAGGTCAATGGAGGATCGTAAGCAGGATTTTCCTTCATAAGCAAGATCTTCAAAAAATATTTTATAAAATAATATCATGACCTTTGAAGAATGATGACCTTTGCGACGGGAATTTTAATGATGACGTAAGAGTTTGACGTTCAACGGTGAAGCCCGCGTTGTTGGGCGATAATAACCCAGGCTTCAGTGGATCCTGGGAAGCTTGAACTTGCGTCGATTTCCCCTGCATGGCCATCATTTCCTGATAAGGTAATCAGGATTGAGAGGTGGAAATCACTTCCTGGGATGGAAATCAGGATTGAGAGGCAGGAGGGAAATTTGGCCTAAGTTAATTCTGGAAGAATTTTTTACATGAGCTCGCCCTTACAGAGAAACGTTATAGTCTGCCGTCTGCTATAAAAGGGCTGTGGATGGAAATGATGTGAGCCTTCCTTTAAGTAACTGCTCATGCCACATCAATATTCTCAAAATTAGAGGGCGAAAAGGTAATGGTAAAAAAGTAAGGACTTATATTAAATTATTGTGGCCTTGATTTACATTAATAAGAAAGAAGTAATTTCCTTACCATTTCAGTGCCAAATTTCTGGGGCCCTTGAGCGGACGGGCATAGAACCTTGCAAAAAAATGTCGTGGGCCATTACAGGCTAATACGACACATAATAAAGTATATTTAATTATGAAAATTTTTCGAAGCTGGGAATATTACCTATAGGAGCAGGACACAGTTGAAGAATTGATAGAAAAAAAATTTCATTACGCCGACATTAATCGGTATTGTGTAAACTCTTATTCACGTAATTGGAAAAAATTGTAAGATTTTAACATATTCTAATATCACTAAGTAATTGGCATCTAATTAAGAGATATTACACCTTCCTAATTATAAAAAATTTAAAGAGCATGAATTTTGTTGTCAGAGCCGTAACTGGTATTTTGAAAGCCTATATTTCAATTCTTGAGATTAGCACGGGGCGATTACATCTATAACCTCAAAAATATTGTTAACTAAAAATTCACGATAATCACTTTATTTACCGCATTCTTGGGTGTTGAAACGATAAATAACACAACTGAAATTCCTAATTGCAATCAGTCAGCAAATGCGCTTCACCAATAAAACCTTTCGCCTTTTTTATATCCCGTAAAACCCGTGCACACACTACGAACATTTATATGACGAGGACCGCGGAAGTTACCTCGACAATTTATATACTATTTGTATATAACACCATGTTATACTTACACTATTTGTATATAAAACTATGTTATACTTACTTATACACTATGTATTTGTTGCCTGCTGCATCGAATTTCGCTTTCAATTCAAGTGGCTTGGTAAATCCCGGAGGTTTCAATTTAAGACGATGGAGAATTTCCTCGGACTTGGGTCTCTTGCTCTCATTCACATTGGTGACTGAATCATCCAAGGCCTTGAGGTCTTGTTCTGTAGTCAAATCTGGGCATGCAGCAAATCCTTCCATCCTGCAATCCTTCCAGTTTGCAGGCAAGCAATCTAACTCAATATATCGTTAATTGCCTCCAGTTTTTCGCAAATCTTAGTCCGTACCCTGCTTCTTATATTGGCAGCTTCGTCTCCATGTAATCCAGCGCCATGTGGTGTAGGGGGCACGTCATCTCAGCCAGACTACTTGATGCATGCTAAATGCATAAATAACTAACATATATTTATTGTATTGAAGTGTTTTTTCTTACATTTATACATTTAGGGCAGTTTCTGATCTAAAAACTTTTGGTAAATTTGAAATTCAGGCCAGGCAAAACGTGGGGCCGTATGTCAGGCAAAGCGGCCTGTGGTTGCCCGAGTCGTACTCTTCGCAGCAAACCTCGCACTCATATAAGGCAGTTGACTCGTCGCGGTGTTGGAAGTTTCTTTTATTATTCATTCAGTTTCTATCAAATAACAATATTAACAAAACATTAGTTGAAGATTCCGCACAATCTGGGGGGCAAGTTCGAGTCTAAGCAAGATGCATAATGTCAATAAAATGCATCTGGCGCTTATTCAGTTCTTTTTTATGGTCAGTCAATTGTATCACATGTAAAACGTTGCCAATCAAAATTAATTGTTACTAATTAAAGCTACATCACAACCAGCTTACGCACAACTAATGAAAATTGATACAAAATAACAATACTAATATTAGAATAGAATTGTCGGCACTGAAGAAATAAGCCCATGGCCTGTTGCCGAACCTTGTACTTTTCGTGACTTGACTCCATAAAGGATCCGGCCTTTGGAACCCGATCTTTCCATAACTGACGATTGATTGAGATAGCTGCTGGACTTGTTGCCTGGGCCTATACTTTCAAAAAAAGTTAAGAGTTCGTAAGTTCATCAGCCAATCATTGACGGCCTTTCAAGCCAAATCCATCAATCAGAGGCAAGAAAATAGAGCTATAGGTACTTACGTTCACGTAGCGAGTTTTGAAAGCTAGGCATTACGTGTTCGATCTGACTATACATTATGCTGGATGGTCTAACTATAATACTACCTATAAGCACCTGTTGTTTGAAAAAAAAATAATCCCTGAGATTTAAGAATCTTGTTATCATGATCCCGTTATCTGGAATCCTGTTCCCGGATCTCGTTAATATATAATTTCGTCAATGATTTTCAAGCTGCAGCAATGTTCATGAGAGGGCAAGACTATGAGCTGTTCGGTTACATATTAATTTTGCGTTGAGAGGGCACGGAGTAAAATCGATTTTGGTTCAAGACATTTTTTAAACAAATGCCTAGTTAATAATTGAAAGCAGTTAGTTTAATGTTCTTAATAATTTGATTTTCTCACAGTCTGAATCGTCGCTACATAATTTCTTATTCGCCGCATGTTATATTTTACATATATGTATTATTGGAAATATGACAATCTGTCGGAAATTCAATTTGCAGGCTGCAGAATGGATAAATAAACAAATAATGAATAAAATTGATGTATTTCTAGTCTTTAACTAATTTAAAAGAAGCAATGAACTATTATTAGACAAGGAAAAGTATTTTATTTCACTGTTGAACTTGTAAGTTGTATGCTCGTTCGATCACGCTGCACATCAACAGATGTAAGATAGATTATGCATATACTTGCGCTATATATATTGCAATGCAACATTTGTGAAAAGTTTGACATATAGAATAAATTTACGCATAATGGTTGTGAAAATATAAATTGTTGATAAAAAGAGGAAAAATCGTTAACTGAAAATGACTTCAACTAGCAACACGGTGCACCAGTGTTCTAGGCAAGCGATGTTCACCAGCAGCCGTAGCAGCATCACAACAGAACTCAAGAGTTTACTAAGAGAAAGTCTGGGATTTGATAATGATGATAAAGTTTCGGTTGCCCTCAAAAATTATTCTGCATCTAAGAATTACTAGTATAGTCTTTAAGTTTAGTTATTCATTCCTGGTCGAGCGTCGAACAACAGAGTATTCTCGTAGAGAGTCTTCTCTCGGTGACGTACGAGAGTCTTCTCATACGTCACCGTTGCAAAAACAAGAAAGCAGGTATAGATTACGAGTGCCGACCTCCTGTAGTTGCCAAGCACACAATTTCTTTCCGGCCTAAGTCATCCATCATACGTAGATTCATTTTCCGAAAGTGCTCAAAATATGTATTTAAATTCAGTATAAACAAATAAACCCGTTAAATAATATTACAAAAAAAACAAATAAAATATAATATTATACTAGGTTTTAAGGAATTTAGGAAAACACGTACCATCAGATAACATTTTACAAGTATAGTCGATCTTACTCATTTTGGTTGTCCTTTGCTGTTCGTAGTAAGTAGATAGAATCATAAATATTGACTCCTTTTAAGATAAACAAATTATATGGACATTTTTTAATTCATAAATTTATACTTTTTATCTTCAGTATTCCGTCAATTGTGCGTGGCGGAAAATTATTCTGGATTAAATTGCAGGTAATTTCAATCGCTCACGGGTATAAGACAGAAGAATAACGTAATAAGAAGAATAATAAGAAGAATAACGTAATAAATAAAAGAAATTAAATTACGAAAATTCATAGAAGATAATTTTTCATTTCATTTCCATATCATGAAAATTACTATTTTTTACGTCAACTCTTGATCGCACGCGGCGGCAAACATTTGCCACGCATTTAATCAAATCCGTGACGTCTTTGCTCGTGCGCTGTCTTTTTTGGCGGGAAAGTGTCATTGGTCGAATTGGTCAATGAACTTTAAACGGTTATAAATTTTTGCCATGAATTCGACGGTAGTCGTCTGTCCGATTTATTTTCATCAATAGCAGAATTTCATTGTACCGCACTGTTTGTTCATGGTATGTTATTTCTCTCCAAGAATTAGCCTACAGTCTGAACGCTCGTATATATTAGAACGATCAAATATAAGTTTATGATGAAAAAAGTAGCGACGTAATTTATCCGCATATGAGTATAACACCACATCTTTCTTACTATGAATAAATGAAAAAATTGTAATGAAAAATCGTCATGTCTGTACGAGTTCCGTCCAATATCTGATCTATCTTATATAATAAATGCAAAGAGCATAGACATCTTTTTTAAGAACAAGAATGTATACGGCTCGCGATTGGTGTCGTAAAATCGAAACCCGTACATTTCATTTGTATGTGTGCAAGTTTTTTTACAGTGAAGGCATTTACAATTTTAGGCATTATAAATATTAATTGAACAATAATTTCCCGGTTTTTCGTCGTTAAGCATAAACTGCAGTCTTGTCTAACAATAAAAGCACCCATTAGTCTCCAGGCACTCTAAGTACGCCCAAATTGAACGATTCAGATAATGTATTCTAAATTTATATAAATCGAGTTATACAAACAGTGGCCTAAAAGTGCAGGTGACTTTTAAGATTTCCAGGTTCACCTTGATCTATTAAATTAATGTGGGTTTCGGTCCAGCAATTTGTTAGGTAATATTCTTTCATGAAAAGTTTTGGCTCTAACTGGCCTCAAAATTGGATTAAAAAATGTCGTACTGCTCAAAAAGATTTCTCTGTAGAAGTCCAGAAATAATGAGTCGACTAATTGTCAGATATTAGGTCATGGCGTAAATGTATTTAGATATTCAAGTGAAGTGTAAATATAAATACAAACATGTATTGTTTTATTGTCGATTCATCCCAATGTTGACGGTTTTCTCATTTTTGTGTAAGTTTATGTTAAAAAATTGTTTTCACGGAGGTTTAGAAAACCTACGGTAGACCTCGCAAAAACATTTGAAAAATTCACGCACAATAAGTTATGGGATAAATTCTATTTAATAAATGATGCACAAAATTAATTCCTGATATGCCAAAGGTCAGCAAAACATAATTAAACTTAGAATAATTATAAACTAAATAAATAATAACAAGTTGCAGCAATAGACAATAGTACCTACAGTTAAGTGGCCGCAAAAAAACATCGTGCCTCTACTATAGTGAGTACTGAGTAGAGCCGTTACGCTGGAAATTTTTGAAAATTAGTGATGTTATGTTAGTACACATATTAGTTATGCATTTCTTGTAAAATTAAATATATATTTACTGCTAATGATATTCATTGGTAAAGATTTCTCACCATAATTCCCGATTTTAATGTCAACAATAATGCTTGAAGGATATTTGATACATGATAATGAACTTTATTTATGTGTTTTTGGCAAGGAAAACTGTAATGACAATGAGTTATCATCTGCATTCGAAGTAGATCGAATCTTATTAAAATTGTTAATCATGCATTCAAGTCGTTGGCAGATTTCAATTTAAATATTCAAGTTTTCTTGTAGCAAGTTTTTCTCACATTTTCAACGTATAAAATTGAGCGATAAGTTAGTTGGGAATATACTCGTGATTATTAGCAGATAAGTACGAAACGTTTTTTTTTCGACTATCCATTGGTAGTCAAGTTACCGAATGTATAATATGAGGGAAACAAATCAATTCAACACTTATTTTTTCGGAACAAACAACGAAAAGTATGCTGAAATTATAATTGGAGCTATTTTTTGGGAAAACTATATCAGAAATATATCTTTTTGCTTCGTACCAAATTAAATTTTCATGAAGATAAGAACAGTGCATAAACGGCGGAGATTTGGCACATCGATGAGGAATTCCATTCATCATTTGGTGGATGGTTTCGCCTAGATTGGAGAACTTTTAATAAACAAATTTCTACATTTGACTTGAAATATGGACATTTCGAAAGAAAAAAGAAGCTTCAAGCCTTAATCTCGGTATTTTTTTCAAGAAAATTACCATCGCAAACGGATTGAAATTTGGCATAAGCTACGTCACCGGCCTCTAGTCCAGGATTGGCTGGTTCAAAAGGAGCAGCGGCAAGAGATCTCTTTTCGAAATTCATGGTCACACATGCGTTAGCCCTAGTACTGTACATACCTTGAGGTTTAGGTTAAGGCTTTGTCAGCGTCCATGCATTAGAGTGTCCGTATTATCACATTAACCTAGTCAGAATGGCTGAATCAATAAGGATATACGAAGATCAAGAAAACAGAGTTCCAGGCGTCGCACTACGGGCAAAACGCGATGGATTACGTGCAACTAATAATCAACGAACGGCTTTTGCTGTCCTGAGCACATCACAAAATTCTGTTAATTTACGGAGGCAGCCTTCAAGGACAGTAAAGCAGGTGAGTATTAAATAAATACGCATTTGTTTCAGCTTCACTTGTATTGAAAATTTGAAAGCTGCTAACTCCCGAGACCCGAATAGGCGAATACTAAGATCCGGCCCAAACTGAATCTCCTTCTATAGGGCAACAACTCTTGGTCTTCTGTTATGATTACATCTGTGATCTGTCTGCCAGTGTGGAAGCTGAGCTTAATCAGGATAAAAGCTCCATGTATACCAAAGATAGTAAAATACACCAGATCCATGCACAGCATAGTAATGTAGTTGTCCTAGTTGATATAAATCTGCTGATATGCCATCTATAAATCAATTTTTTTATGCAAGATTGTCTGTAAAACCTTTGAGGAATGTTATTTACTGACTTAACTCTAATGCAAGTTTGCAATTGTATTGTTATAACTAATCTAGTTCAAGGCTAGTTGTGCATTTGTCACCTAATGAAAGTTTCAAGAGTAATGCTCTCAAATCTCAATCTCCTTGTCTATCTTTGTATTTTTGACTATTTTTATCTCTATCCTGATTCTATTCATAATTAGCTAGGCAAAAACTATGCCCCAAGTTTTGTCTACTCTTCTGTTTACCTATTGAAGGGTGCAAGATTGATTTTTTTAGAATAGGTCATCATAGCAAGTGACAATTTCAATTAGAACTGCTGCTGCATTGAATCATCTTTTCTAATCATTGGGTGTAATCTGTGTTATAAGTACGTACAGCTGCTAGTAATGGATTTTTACTTGCTCCTTCTAGTTTGATCTTTCTAATGGATGACTTCTAGACTTTAATGTGCCAGCCAAGTTCTTGTTCCTGATTTTAGGGAGCCTGCTTTGTCAAATATTTTCTTTTTCCATGTCAACCCGATATTCATACCAGCATTTGCTTTTCAAAATGTTATGACGGTGACCTTTCTGGCAGTGCAGTCATGGTGACAAACCACACATTTTTTAGAAACTGTTCATATTTGATTCTCCCATTTATTAGATTTAAACCAATTCATGTGTATGATAATGCAAGTTTCCATGATACTTCACTGCCTCACTTGTCTACTTGTAGGACTTGCATGAACTCGAGTCTAATAAAATCTTTGCTTTGCCACTTTGGCCTGGTGCAGTTACTGCAGTATGACCTCAGAAGCACCAAAAGTCCAAAACCATCGTTTAAAGTGGTAATTAATTATAAATGACCTTAGGTAGATAGTTTTTACATAATCTTTGATTTATTGGTTTGGTACTATATCAGATAAGCAAGACCTTATTGACATTCTTGTCACTTGCCACCACTTTGGGGCTGTCTAGGCTGATAGTTCTTCAGAACGTCTATAATTGGTGATGTCGGCTGTAACTTGTATTTGAATTCACTCGTGACCACTGCCTTGCACGAAATTTTTGGAATGCCTGAAAATCTAGTACACTACGCTCGGTAGCCGATGTCCGCATCCAAATTTGATTCAATTGACAAAGTCTTACGATCCGTTCTTGGTTGAATCCTTTCGACCGTCAAATTTTGGATTATCTATTTGATCAATTTGAAGTTCGTTCGAGAATTTGCTAATTTAGCTAGCGAAGTACGTTAGAATTTATAATTAACATAAGGTTTTTCACATAACATAAGGTTCTGTAATGGCTGCCCTGACGTTCGTCACCATGCATTGAAAATGATGCTCGATGTGTAACGCTAGTGAATAATGCTGGATACATCGTAACCTGACAATATTCGCTATGTTATAGAATATAGAGTACCGACATGGGTGAGGTCAGAAAATCTTGCTAATGGCCAATTTTGAGGAAGTGAATAAATTCGAATTACTTACCTGCGCTCATGGTTTGACTTTAATATTTTGTACTTGGTTAATGATGTTGCTTACTCTTAACCATGCAATAAAAAAATTCTGGAAATTATCTCCATTAATAGTATGCAGTACATTCTGGAACATCTGGCTATCTTGAGATTATTCCTGAGAATCTGCTGCTCGTGCTGAACAAAGTTGCTCTTTGGAACAGTGGAGACGTAATGTATGCTTCATTGAGTAGCGTCCCGCGTAAGCGGCTCGTAGTATGAACGGGAATAAACTGTATATATGCAGTGATTACGTAGTTAGATATCGTGGGTGTTACGTCGCGATCGGTCGAATCTGCGACGGGGAATTGATACATTTATAGTACCTAATAGTGTTTTTAAATTGTAATTATTACGTTGGTTTTCATTTAGTGTTAACAAACCCTTCCCACACTCTTACTGTCAATAGTTCTGAGGGCTGTTTTAATCTACCGATCGATATCCTCGAAACCCATGAAACTGTGAAGATTCACGATTGATTCTCTTTGATATTTCGTGAAAATTATTTTTCATTTTGGACGTCACAAACATACTCGTATCGGATGAAAATTGTAAAGTGGCATTGGCTAACCTCGAACATGTTGAATTTATTTGCTTGATTTGTCAACAGACGTCGTCAGATGCCGATTCTCTGAAGTGCAGTCAAGATGAAAACTCGTACGCTCGCACCAAGTCCCTCACGAGCACCGCATCCAGTTTATCCTTGTCGGTGTATAGCGATAATTCTGCCGACAACTCTAAATCCTCCACAAATACCAGCAGCTCCTCCTTGACGTCGGTGGCGCCCAACAATGTCAGGTCCAAGACTGCGACCGAAGCGGTCGACAGAAGCTCTCTACACTATGCCGCTGCTAAGCTGGGGGAGCAACTACAAAGCTCCCTCAGCGCCCTTCCCAGGTGCGTAATCTTGGCTGGGTGATGCTTTGGAAAAATTAATTACAGCTCGTCATTAAGAAATTGGCAGTTGACGTTGAAATAAGCATGTTCATGGCCGTAACAGAAGAGTTTTCTCTGCTTACTACCAGTAGGTTTTTTATTTCGCCCACTCTATAGCTCAGGTGCTTTTTAACCTGAAGGAAATTATTTTATCCTGTTGATACTGTCACTTCTTTTGAACAATATAAAGTGTCCATTGAAATCAGACTCGACTACAGCAGTCAACGACCGAACTTAGTTGTTTCACAATTTTAGTTAAGCCATTTGTGTGTCGTAAATTTCAAATCATTGCACTTGAAGTTGCACTTCATGTATTTGAACGTGATCGAGGTAGAAATTCTATGCATCGATACCCGTAACATAGTCGCGTAGCGGGTCGTCCCAGTCTGCCCTTGGTGCATTGTTTTATCTCTTCAGGATAGAAGTAGAGTTAAACTCCCAGCTTCCCTTTTGCTACCGATATTCTCTTCGAATACCAGAAAGATAATTTTTGTTCCAGTCCTGGATAAATTCTGCCTTTGAATTCCTGGCGCGAGATAAAGTCTAGGTTCAATTCCAACTTTTTCATGATTTGTTTTTGCAGTTGGTAATCTTATTGTAAAAATTTAGATTCTCTGCGTTTTGAAATTTTCAGAGCTGGTAATAAAATTGTAGCATTTTTCTGTCGATGTAAAAAAAAATTGATGTGCGTTTAATTTGTGCTATATGATGTGCAGAGCGAGGCCGTTGATAGACAGCAGCGTGAGCGTGACAGAGGAGCTGATGGAGCTGAGCGCAGCTGATGAGGACAGCGCCACCAACATGAGCGTCGCCACGCCCTCCCGACCTCAGGAAGAGCTCCTCAGCATGCGCGAAGAGAGCATGTGGGACATGTCAGAGTACGCCGCGGATATATACTTGTATCTCCGGGAAGCAGAGGTCAGTTATCTGCTGATAATTAGACTTCCTTGCTTTAAATGTTAGGGTCAAATGTTGAAGAATGTTGCATTAAAGTTAATTCGGTTGCGCATCACGTTTTCTCCAGGTTATCGTTAAATTAAGCGATAACCTGATTTAGCGGTCAAAGGTTATTGGCTGAGAAACTTGGATTATCGTTAAAGGATGGCATTGCAATTAAAAAGTTCTTTCACCGGGCTCGTGAAATCTCGAAAACGAGTTTCTAGACAGAGTGAACCGCATGAACAATCTTTAACCAGTATCAGGATGCCTGTAGTAGTGAGCCCTCGGCTTGCACGATGATTAAAACTAATGAGTAACATTTACCGGTCAGTGCCACGCCTTGTACGGAACTAAAATGAGTAAAATCTAGCCGGTGAGCGCGAAATAGTTCGGGGGTGCCTAAAGTACCTGCATCACGTACAAATCCTAAATTATGTTAATCCCAGCCTTTGCAACAGGTTTTCTGTGCTCCTATGTTTCCAAGGGAATAATTGAATCTCTCAATCCGTTTCATATTGATACTTACATCCACAATTCGATGCCGTATCTAAATCCTGGATTGAAAGTTTTTCATTTTTAATCTACGTGCAAATTGCTGTGATGTGCTATTGTAAGTGGATTAATGTGTTTACATAAAGTTTATTTTCTATCGTTATTAGATCTCCGAATTCGCTCTTCCACGAAGAGAACATTAAATAGTAGTTGACTCGTTGATGAATGAACGTTATTTATTGCAGAAAATTCACCGTCCGCGGACCAACTACATGGAGAAGCAGACCGACATAACCGTGTCAATGAGGTGGATCTTGGTAGACTGGATGGTTGAAGTCGCTGAGGAATACAACCTGTCCACAGAGACGCTATATCTAGCAGTGTCTTACATAGACCGCTTCCTCTCCCACATGTCAGTCAAGCGACATAAACTTCAGCTCGTTGGCACAACCGCTATGTTCATTGCATCGTAAGTACTTGTACTTAGCCGATTATTTCCTTGGCGTAAACTGAAGATAAGTTATTTAAGCCTATATACAATAACTGTCTTTCTAAAGTTGGTGTGGCGAAATAAACGGGCTATATGTTGAGCATTTCAGTTGTACGGAGCCGAGTTAGGGTCTCTACTAGTTTCCATAAACCTTCGTATTACGTGTATAGTGCGTGTTCCTGTCGAGTCTAGCGGGCCAAGTGAACTCGTAATGCAACACCACTTTGAATTGGTAACGATATCGGATGAATTTGCCCATAGACAATTTCTATAAATTGACGTGTGTAATGTCAGAACGATAGGTTTAATCTTGTTAAATAGCTGGGTTTTAATTGACGTGAAGCAAAGCGCTCGCCGTATTTAGGGCCTATTCTTTAAGTGCATAATATTGTGTATTAATGCAGCATGGTGGTTTGAGCTAACGTGAATTTCCTTTTGTCGACGTCAAAAGTTAGTACAGTTTCTGATGCTCCGATCGAGTTATCCCCTGAACTTCGGGCGGCCTGTGGGCTAAAATAATTATCGCAAACACTGTCATTACCTTCTCCACTAGTATCTATCGCCTGTTGCCTTAGTTTTTACTTGATGTCGAAGATCTCTGAGGAAACCTGCACATTGTGTCTCTATTCCTCCACAATTTAGCTGCTATTATAATGTTACTGAGGCGCATTGAACGTAAACCTGGGCAATTTTAGACTGTGTGTACCATTTTACTCCTAGGAGATGCAAGTACGTGACCCTGTCATCTACTTGAGCTAATAGTCTACCCGCAGTTTCAGTAACATTTCGTGTGCGTACTTTTAAAATCTGTCCTAACAAACAACTGCTTGCTAGTTGTGTTGGTGGAACTTCGTCGCATAGTTTTTATCTAAATTTCCCGCGCGTGTGGGTGGTTTGAAATTTTTGACCAAAAAAATAGAGGTAAAGAATTTTTATATGCATCTATTTGTTTCTAAAATTTTGAATTTTGTAGATTTGTACTGTTTACGAGTCCTTGAATGGATATCCGGTTAATAAGTGTATTTTTTGTTACAGTAAATATGAAGAAATCTATCCTCCCGACGTTTCTCAATTCGCCTACATCACTGATAATACTTATAAGGTTTCGGATATTCTACGGATGGAGCACCTAATCTTGAAGGTGCTGAGCTTCGACATGGCCGTTCCTACAGCTTTTGTCTTCATTAACAAATTCTCACGCACTCTCGGCTGTACGGAGGCAACTACGTGTTTAGCTTTGGTAAGTGCTCCTGACTGCCTTGAAGATGTCGCTCCAAAAGTTATGAAGCTCTAAGTACCCTCCTAAATTGGTCCAATTCTCTAGGATCGTGAAGAGCTTTTTCTTCATTTCTTATGTTTGATTTGAAAAGTTCGCTTTGGAAAGGTATTTTAGAAGAAAGGCATTTATTTCATTTTCTCCTTTTATAAAGTTCCTTGAAGTAATCCGACCGATTAGATGAAAATATTTGCTGACGTTATGACTTCATAGCTTTTGTATCTTAGGTATTTAGTTAATGAGAAAATGATTTATTCGTATGGAACTGAATACACTGCAATCAATGTATTTTGTTTACAGTTCATAGCAGAGCTGACGATGCTAGACTGTGACCCATTCCTTCGTTACCTTCCCTCGGAGATTGCTGCCTCCGCGCTCGCCATAGCCAACTTTACTCAGGTTCGTGGACTTTGTCTCCTGTGCCGGCTCCTAATCTCGTAGTAAACAAAGAGTATATTAAGAACATTCGCCGTAATGACATTCTTGGTACTCGTTCCCTAAAAGTCGGCGGTAAATCAGTTTGTTAGAACGAGTAGTAGGCTTCGTGTTGATGGAATGGATAATCGTTTCTAATTCATCATTGTATTATTAGCCTTTATAGTGTTAGTCCTACTCAATGGAAGATGTATACATTATTATCTTATTAAAATCTTGGTTTCCATTTGCTGAGCTTTCGTTGAATTTTGCAGGGACACACGCCTTGGCCTGCGATCATGACCGAGAAGTATCAATACACACTAGAAGATCTACGGGGCTGTTACGTTAATCTTAACAGGACTCTGAGCAAAGTGCATGAGAGCGCTCAGCATGCCATCAGAGAAAAGTACAAAAATCCCAAGTAAGTTTATGAGCGCGTTAAACGTTATGCTTGAGCTGTCTCCGACTCTTCTCAGTCGGAATCGATTACCTCGGTACATGAATGTATTTTGCTTCTATACAGTCTACCTTTGAAACGGACTTGTTTGACCAAGATGCTAAGTACAGTCCATTGAATCGTAAAGTCATAAATGCGATTTTTGTATTGCTACTATGTTATCGAAACCTTATTTTCCACCTTTGTTCTGTTCTGACCTCATTGCATTCGACAGAATGCACGCCGTGTCCAACATGAAGGCGCGCACTGAGCTGCCTTTCTAGATGGTGTCTCCACCTGAAGACGACGGTCAACGCGAAGTTTTTTTCGCTTCGCTACCAACACTGCCTTTTTATTTACCAAAGTACCGGTCATGGTTGGGTGAGGAGCTGATGTTCTCGGAGAGCCTGCTAGTACGTTTAGCTACAAGTACCTGCTGTGTTTCATCTTCGCCTCGTTTATATTTTGCCTCTCATCCGTCATTCCTCACATGATGTGTGATCATATCTCTGTAAATAACGTTTCATAGGATATAAGAGCTTCATGAAGTTCTGTTCTCTTTTATCTGTGACTGCTAGTCGAGATTACAGCTCGAATGTGTTGACAAGACTACTGTCTTGATTTTTTTTTCTCATCGCGGTTTCGTGAACATGGTAGTTTTTTTTTTTTAATCTGACTCGATCAATGCTAGGAAGCGTGTCAGCATATTTATGTGCATAATTTGAAAATTAATGAGGAGGGTTCCAATTATGAACTGCCACCCGTTTTTAATTATTTAGTTCAATTCCACGATTGCATCCGATGGCCTGCGCGAATTTTTTTTAATCCATCTAATCGTGTATCCAATTTGAATGCATATTTCATTGCCTACATGGCATATTTTCTGACGCATGGAGAATTTGAATTTATATCTAGATAATTATTGTGGTATTTGACCAATTAACTTGCCTGCGTTAAAGCTGTTCCACGTTACCTAGATATTAATAACGACAAGTAAAGCTTCTTAATGCTACTGTGATTGTAAACTATAGCCCCCCATTATAGACACAGCCCGCCAAGGTATCTTCTAGCTCGGTATTTATTTTGATCTTAAATTAAGTTGTTCGAGCGAAAAGCTTCCTTGCCAATTTCAGAGTTCAAATTTAGTTGTTCAGCTGTTAGCGGAAAAAAATTTCAATGTTATTTTCACATGTGGAGATGATTCTGTACGGATAACTCAAGTTTTAGTTACGGACGAATTTTGATTATAAACGCTGCACGATTGTAATTTTTCAAAATATTTTTGAGATTATCATAGTTTTTATTGATCCTGTTAAGATACAACTACTTTTCCATTTCTAGCTTGTAATAAAGCAGAACGTCCTGTTATATATGAAATGATATACATCCCTGCCGCGAATGAAGCGGATAGGATCAGCCATTTGTTTTAAGGTGCCATGCTGGATTTATTTTAATGTTGGCTGGGCCATGCTAGGAATCGACAATTCATGAAATGTTCATTCTGTAAAGAGAAACTGAATGTTGATGACTAATCAGGAGGTATCTGTTCAATCCCGTTAAAACCATTTCCAACGATGAACCGTATCAATTGATCCCCGTTCCCGTGTGATTTTGGAACTGATGGCATATATAATTGAATGACTATGGCTGTTTTAACCATTAAGTACGATAGTAAACTATTTGCGGGGTTGCGAGCTAGAATTAACCATCCTTTTGGTACCTTCGTGCGAATGATGATCAGGAGAGTTGAAAAATCGAACCATTATCGTCTCTATTGCTGAACTCCACGGAAATTGATAACTTGGGCCGGGTTCAGGCCTTGAGAGCATATGGTAGTCACTGTGCACTGTCGCTCATATGGTAGTCATATAAGCCATAGAAGCATCCACATCACGGGCATGGAAGATCCCTTGCACGGCCGGTGTAAATGCTTCTGTAAAATCTCGTTGAAGTTTATGGACTGGCACGTGCCCGACAGTATGGTGTGAACCAAGCCTTACAAAGAAAGCGACCCAAATTAGAGCGATTTTGCGAAGGTTCTTAATCGTTCCGAGAGTCGTCAGTCTTACCTCGATTTAAAGCGTCGAGGCGTAAATAGCGTAATAGTGCTCCTAAACGGCTGAAGGCGCACCTGCTAGCATAGCCGACTACAGTTTTGATTGGTGTGCACCAAACTGTCACATGCATCGTGGAAGATTAATTGCTCAAAAAAGCGTAGCCTGAAATTTTAATAAAGGCAGAATTCCCTCTGATGGAAACTTCTGTAAGATTTTAGGTTTAATTGTGCGACAGTTTTAGGATTAATGTTGCGATTTTTCGGGCCAAGATTGTCGGATGAATAAACCAGCTAGCTTGACGTAGAATGATCGTAATGGTTACGCTAAAAAGAATGCCACCGAATCGCCGTGACAATTCTCATTTTCATCGTTAAATTTTGATGCTCGAAGGTAAGTGGAGTTGCTTTGTAAATACTAGGAGCTGCGTTAAGTGTGGTTAGGACGTCGCATTCCATGGATCAGAGTTGATCTCCACTTTGACGTTGCATGCATCCCAGCGTAACCTCTCCACGACCGCTCCTGATTGACGATCAACCTTATTATCGTTATCACGGGGTTTGATCAAAATATTAAATGAATCTGATGTGAAGGTACAATGATGTATACCTTCGTAATTCGTGAAAATTTGATAGATGGGCGAATAAATTGGATTTGAAAGGAATGTCGAAATATAGGCAGCGGAATGTCGGAGTAGGTTAGGAGCTGGAATATTTACTTGTTTTTAGTGGCCTTCGTTACTAGCGCTTCTGTGATCGAGCTATATCTCGCGCCGAATGTCGCGTTGGGCGTCACGGACTGAGATTGGGGTACATCACCTGTATTGAGTACATTTGAGGTACATCGCATATATTGGGGCTCATCACATGTATTAAGGGTACATCACATGTCGGGTTATATATTTTCGAACACATTTATCGCCATCAGGTATCCTACGAGTCGATCGACATTATAATAGCCGTGTTCTGGCTGGGCCAAGATACTTTTTAGGTGTGTGTCGGAGTAATCTAGGGAAAAATTGCCGTCGGGCATCACCAAAAGACAAGCACTCACAAAGGAAGTGGGATACGGTCTGGGGTACTACAGTAGGCAATCCATATATTAAGGTGCAGGTGAGCGTTCAATGAGGTGGCCAAGGGTAATTCAGGTTTATCCAATGCGAAGGCGGGTGAGGCATACCTCCACCCGGCGCCCGCGGTGGGACGAGGCCTTACATTCTCTTTAATTTTTCGGAGTTTGTTAATTTCGAGGCGCGTCCGCTCTCCCTGCTATTCATCCAGTAGTTCCTTGCGGATGATGGACGTAATGGTCCCGGTAGGATACTTCATCATTCCAATGTGGCGTCTCTTCAGCCGCTGCACGGCGTGAGAGCTCGGCGGCGGCTTCGTTGCCATCTATCCAAACATGGCCGGGGACCTAGCAGAATGTAACTGTCTTCTGGCGTGCACTGAGTTGGATAAGCCGTCTATGTATGCTGTCACCAACGGGTGCGGCGAGTTGTAATGTAATAGTGTTTGGATAGCACTCTTAGAGTTGCTGAATATACAAATCTCCGTGTCCTCGCTCTCCTTTGCAATTGCAATGGCACATAGAATGCCGCATAGCTCTGCAGTAAATATTGAGGATTAGCTATGCAACTTCAGCGAGCTCCTCGCAGCGTCGCTCACAGCGGCGCATCCAACTAGACTATCGTCTTTGGAGCCATCGGTGTATATGTGTACAGTATGTCACGTCTGTGGCATGCGCTGACGCAATTGAGGAACAGAGAAATAATGTCATCAGTTGATTGATCGTTTTTCCTGCCCTGCATGAAGCCAGTGTAGACCATGGAGGAGGAGAGCGACCAGCGAGGGATGTTAGAGAAGCTAATGGGTTTAGTCAGCGCATTAAGATACAGACGGGCACAGGTCTCGCGAGATGTGCTGGAAAGCCGTTTTCGACAGAGTAGAATGTTTCCCCCCTTCAACTTATCATAAAAAAGTTGGCTATTAAAGCAAAGTTTGAAAATGACGAAGAATATCATAATATGCAAGATTGTGCATTCGAGTAGAACATGTGGTTTTCAATGTATGCTGTCAAATGGTTAATGCCACCAACTCCTGACGTCCACATTTATGTAGCAATAATTCTCCAAGACCTAAGTTCACGCACATTATAATGGCCTTCGTGAATGGTTGAAAATAATCATGTGATGAATCGGCAACAGGCCATGGGCCTATTTCTTCAACGCCGACACTTCTATTCTATGATGTAAACTTGTGATGTACCCCATATCGATGCTGTTGAGAGATTAGAACTACGTCCAAGATTTCAAATAAGCGTTTCATGGGTTACATAGATAATCACACCACGTAATTGAGAGCCACAATCCTTTATCTACTCCCCTTAAATTACGAGTATAATGATGTTACAACAACTGCGACAAGCAGGAGCGATTTCGCCAGAAAAAATTGACGACGCTCACAAAAATTATAAGGAATAAAAATCTTCGTTGTTAAGTAGATTACGATCGTTTCGATTTGACTAACTCACTAAGCTATGCGTGGAAAAGAAGCGCTGAAAATTCGTAACTAAACGTGATAAAAAAATTCGTCCTAACATTGTCGAGATGTTTTATAATTTATTTGTGTAGTGTGCCCCTCAGTCGGCCACCAATATCACCAGTGTTTCATGTACTTTTTCCTACGGCCAAGAACGTGTTCGACAGATAATGGCGTCACATAGGTGAAACGCGGGAATGAGCAATAACTCGTACGTTTCAGCGATTCGCTACGGCCCAAATGCAGGAGTGTCTTTTCCTTTCCTTCTCCGTTCAATTCGGTGCGCCCACAGTCAAATTTTTAGCAAGAACTGGATCAGCCTAGGTATAGTGAAATGGCACTGATTTTATATAAATCAGTTTCAAATTGACAGAATGAGTCGTATTTCAGTTGCTAAAAGTACTCTTAAACTCAGATGATTGTCAGAGGCAAGACGTCGGCAATTGCCCTCCATTTTCGGGCCCACAAAATGCCACAACCAAACCTCCATGAACTCCTGTCGGGGTGGTAGTTACCGTTTAATTCGAAAATGTGTGTACCTTTGTCAACCTAATAAAATGAATAAATATTCACACCCTTAGATTATCTAAATGAATAAAACAAATGTGGGTTTGTAGCTTAAATTGGTAAAGATACATATAAGGGTTTGCTGACAAAGTGCTACGCAGGCCGTGATTATTAATTTCTTTCGAGAACCATTTACCATACGAAAATTTTACAGCACGTCGGTGATGACGCGTGGTATCAGGCTATTTCAATATCGTTAATTTTATAATAATTGTGCCTAATGTTAAGTAATAGTTTTGTGTGATATTAATATTTACCAAGAGCGCTGGCATTTGGTAATTTTACCCGTGTCTTTTGATATCAATTCAGCGACTAAATAGAGATGAATCACATCTAACGCTAACGTCTATGATTATGAATGTGGAGTCGCCTCTAGGGTACCTAGTAGTAGCTCTATGATACTGAGTCTATGTCACTATCCTCGGGTCGCGCTGTTACCTAAATCCTAATTGTTAATGGCGTTAATGCGTTATCACTTATCACCTAATTGCTAATGGCGTAACACCTCAAGTACCTATTCAATCGTTAAAAAAATATGTTTCGGCCTGTAGCTACTATTTTGTTTTTATTAGAATGTGGCCACTGGCGTCCGGCTAGCTATTGATTTGACACTCTGACAGAGGCGAGTTCTGCAGAATTAGCCTAGTTACGCCTGGCTGTGATTTATGACCATTAGTGTCAACTTGTTGAAGCAGAGACTTTTTTTAGACTATTCCTTAACTTCTAATAGCCTAGTACTTCGTTTTTATGTCCTATAAGACTATAAAATATAAATAGCTAGACCAGTAAAGTGATTAAACTGAGTAAAGTATCACGGATGATGATGGATATACCAGTTACCACTACTATCTGCATTATCATATGCCTACATGAGAAATTTGTTTAAATCTTGAGTAGATTAGGAATTAAAAATGAACTGTAGGTATATGAGAAATCTGGGGTTTGAGTTGTCACTATGCCTATGGTTACAAATTACAATCATACGTTCACCCTCCATGTTAAGAATTTACTATTTACTGGCATCATGGCATGGTCATGGTGACTTGGTCAGTTGGTGAGGGTGGGTGGCCATTGGCCAACATTAGGCTTACTAATGTGCCAAAGTGGCAAGTGCTAAAACTAAAAGGATGTTATTGTTATTCTGACCACCAAGTACTGAGATAGTACAATAGCCTAACATGACAAATTTTTGACAATGCATTGTCAAACCAGAGATTTTTTCAGAATCAATTCATTTTAAATTTCCTCATTTAGGTACTCAACTAACTCAAGATTTAAAGCAATTTCTTATATACGATAATGCTGTAAGTGGTAACTGGTACTAAGTAGTAGGTATCCTGCCCGTATCCATGATACTTTACTGGTCTTGGTCTACATATAGCGGATATAAGACTCAAAAATGTACTTGAGTTGAGGATCAGGAAGAGTCTGAAAAACTCTGCACAGTGCACTGCCACTATGACTATGATGACAACTTGACAAGTAACTTGAGTTGTTGACTTGTGTCTTGTAGGCCTGTGGAGATGGGAGTGAGTTGTTGAGATTTTTCAAACATTGTGCACTAGATACTAGTCACTCACAAGCACAACACATGTTTGGATTGGTATTCCTAACTTAACAGCTAGATAAGATCATAAGATCAGTGAGCTGGGTTAATAGCCAGGCTAAGGCAGCCTGTGACTGTGTGACATGTCAGAAAGCTTCAGCCTTCAGGAGTCTACAATGTCTAGAATTGGCTAGTGCTAGCAGCAAGGCCAAGGCGTATGAGTTTCTAGCAGTGGGACTTCATTCTGTAATGTTCATAACTTCATCTATCACAATGCAATAATTATCATGAATAATTTCATGATTCTGCTATTTCCCATGCTGATACAATACCAAAATGCCCACTAGCAGCAAGATGTGCCTTCAATTAAGTTCCACTTTTAGTTGTTCCATAAAAAATTTGTTTCTTAGACCTCTAGACCAAAAAAAAATTTTTTTTTAATATTTTAGAACCAAGAAACTACCATCAGGAAGAAAAGTAGTATTTTCTGTCATGTGTCAAACATAGTGGCAAATGACACTATTGATTACTTTCAGGCACAGTGACAAACCACAGATTTTTACAACACTTCTCTTTAACTTCACTTCTTGTTTGTCTGTCTGTCTGCTACAAATCTTGTAATCGAAATGTAACACACATGTATTTATCCTATCGATCTGAAATTTTGCATACTTGTTTAAAGTTGGAGACAATGCATGAATCAAATGTCAAAACAAATGATTTTAAAAAGTAAAAAAAATTTTTTTTCAATATTAAATAAATTGAAAAAATAATTTTGTCAGCTACAAATCTTATAACTGATATTTGACACACTTTTACGTGTCTAATTGATCTGAAATTTTGCACACTTGTGTGAAATCAGAGGCAATGCATGAATCAATTAACAGAATAAATAATTCTGAAAAAAATTTATATATTAAAAAAATTTATATAGGTATATTAAAAAAATTGAAAGTAAATTTTTTTAATTTTTGAAAATTAGATGAGAAATTCGTTGTACATCTGTAAGATTGGAGATACTGGATTCTTTGGAAGTGTTGTCTTTAAAAAGTAATTTTTAAGCGTATATTTTAGAATCAGTTCATTTTCAATTTCCTTGTATACTCAAGATTTAAACTAATTTCTTATGTATGATAATGCTGGTATTGAATTTTTAGAGGTCTACCTATTACCTATAGGACTAAATGAACTTAAGGAAGGTACAAAATTGTAGCATAGTGGCAAATGCCACATTTGCCACTTGCACTATGCTTTGAGTCCCCCTAATATTTACTCAAAAACTACATAGGATATTGAACAAGATTTTTAACAATATAAGCAGGCAACTAGTAGAAAAAATAGCCTAAAAATCAGTTATTTGCCACAATGCTGAATGCAGCCTAGGTTGTAGACCACTGAGTCCAATATTCACCTAACTAAGACTAAGTGAAGTAACCTATATACCTTTTGTCCTTTTCCAAGAAGTCTACCTTCCCTAAATATCAGCAGAGCATCTGGAGTTGCAAAGTGGAAGTTACTTTTCATGTATTCATCTCAAATATGAATATGATATCTACATGGTCAACTGTTCTGTATTAATTATTTATTTTCCTTCACTAAATTTCACTGTGTGCTATGGCTTGCATGCCATATATAACTTGAAGTTGATGAATTGTTCTGCTGCTTTCAGTCATGCTGGTATTAATTGAATCATGATTTACTGCTGTCTCCTGCAACTGCATCATTCGCTGGTTTGAGAGAATTTTGTGTGAAAATATGTACAGATGATGCATCAATTTATTACATGAATTAGGTTATGAATGAATGAATTGCATTTTGCCCCACCAAGCAAAAACATAAGGGCCTGATGATGATGATAAGGCAAAGCTGTTTTAAGAGCATGAGAGGTTCCAATAATTCCTTGTTCAAATGCAATAGTGGCTTAGCCAATGCTATCAAATTATTTGGCTTCATGCTTTTTGCATGGCTGCAAGCTTGTCTAAGTTGATAAGGTTTCAGTTTTAATGAAATTTTAATTTTTATGAATATCTTATAAAAATTAGCAGTAAATCAAAGCAAATAATCTGTAAGTACTGACAATTGACAAGTAAACTTCAACTGATATTAAATAAGTACTGTAGTTAGGGTACTAAAGTTTGTTTTATGTGCATATAACTTGGATTATGTACTCAACACAATGTATTTAATAGATGAATTTACTCCACTGATTTGTAATAGTTGAAGTGTAAAGTAATTATTCTTTTGTTGTAAAGCTGTAAAGTTATTATTCTTTTGTTTTTAATAGCTAAAGATTTTTCTAAATTTGCAGCCTGTCAGTGGAACACAAGTTTTACATTTTTTCAGTAAAATTTGTTGTAAGTAAGCAGAAATGCAATGGTCGGAGAGTGTATTTCCTTCTGAAGTGATGGGTTATATTATTAACTGAATTAATACCAAGGTCTTTTCTACTTATTTTTAGTTGTTAGTGCCCATCATCGAATTTTAAATTAATAGTTATTAGTGCCAGTCAGACATTTAAATTGAACAGGTGCCAACAGTTGATACAATAGTACTTCCTAAGGCAAATTCACTTGTGCAAATGCTATTTAACATATAATCATCACTACCAATGATCATTGTGTGATTGAATATTATCATTTAAACCTTGAATGATTTACTATTTGAAGTTGACAATCTTTAATATACTATTCACAATGCCTTATAGAAAAGGCATTCTCAGGCCAGTGTGAAGGCAGATATTATTATTCTATTTAACAGATCTTGGCAACATGTCAGGAACAAACTTTTATGCATGGACTTGCAGAATTACTAGAAAGTACATTACAATGAGTATGTAGATTTTCCTTGAAGAAAATGTAGATTTGCATAAATAACACAATACCATTTACAACTTATTATGTTATGATTTGATCAATGAATGGATAGAAATGTTTAAATGTATCAAAACTAATTGCTGTACATATTTTTCAACAGATTTGTATACATCCTGAAAATTCAAAAGTACTTAAGATGAGCAGGTTCACTGCCAATGACTACCTCAACTGGTTTGCTACCAAATCACTCAGTTTTGAGGTGAGTTATTTTCATACGGATGCATTTTCTACATTGTCTGTTACCTGTTTTAAAAGTTATGAGCAATTATATTGGTTTTATTGCTTCCACAAAAGAATGAACCTAAGTTCTAATGCATGCTAATTGATTGTTAAAAGTTGAATCCATGCTGGCAGTGAAGGTCATGTGCATGTGTAGGACCACATTCAGGCTTCTTTTCAATGCGAGTTTTCATTCATTTGTTCTTCCAAGTATTAGCCTTGTGCCATGTTGAAGCCCTACACTAAGTTAATATCATCTAAAATATGTACGGTAGTCTTTATCTTTTAATTTGGGAAGAGTCTCAAATTCTTGGTTTTATCAATACTCATGTTCGTCAAGATTTTATTTTGTTTTCAAAATTGTATTTGGCAGCAGTAGGTGGGAGACTCCATATTTGTAAAATAACTCTAGTGTCATGATCTTTAAAAATTTTCCACAATTCTCACGCTTCTCTCATAATATCTGAAGAAATGGACACACCAAAACCATTTTGTATTCAATTTAATAAAATATAATAGTAGACAAGTTAATGGTATATTGACACTCATGAGGAAAACTAGGTGAAATATACTGTACTGTGATGTGTATATGTCTAACATTGATAAATTTCTTCATTCATCTGGAGAGTTTATTAATTTATCTATGACAAATTAATTGAACATTAACATTACCAAAAAATTAACTTTATTTAACTAACAATTCAATTATGTGACCAAAATTGCTAAAAATGGCAGAAGAAAAGAAAATTCTGTGGAGATTCGTCACAAAAATCCTGTTGTATATTGATGAACAAATGGGGATATTTGTTCAGCATTGTGGTGTATATATGTTCTGAATGACTATAAAGCTACCTATAGGAAATAACCCCTTTTTAGAAGTGTATTTTTATTGCTGAAATGAAGTGTAGTTTTGTTTTCAAGAAAATTTAACACTGTAATGAAGCTTTTCATCCAAAAATATTATCTCGCTCCTTTATGATAGCATGAATGTCCTCTTGCTGTTGTATTTATATATAATGCCTTCTTGTATTTATATATATATGTTTATATATAATGTATGCATATTATATGTGTATAATAAAATGTACATATGCTTATATCATTATATTTATAAGTTAATATTTGCTAAACCTGTGTTAATTATTTTTTATTTCCCTGCTTTATATCATGTTTTTTTAATGAAAAGCTAATTGAAATTTATTTCAGCCACCTAAGATGACCAAGGTGAAAATTCCGAAGCAGAGAAATAAACTTGAAGAAACCGTTCCCTTGCCTCTGTACAAGTGCAGGGAGCTTGGCCAGCACTATGTGGACAGATATCACCAGCAGCATGTTCGTGAGACCCTCGAAGTGAGTGCCATTAATCATGCTATTGGAGCCTCATTTCATAAGCTCAAATCTTATCAGGATTGAATTTATATTGGATTGATATTCAATATAGATTCTAGGATATCTTTGCATAAGTAATTATAAAATATGATGAAAGTTGTAGAGTTCTAGCCAGTGACCAAGTTAGGTTTTATGTGTGGTAGTCTTCAATTCAATATTGAGTAAATACAAATATATTTTTTTCCTTAAAATTATCGTTGGTTTTATGAAATTCCTGTTAACAGTCGGAAGAAAGTTTGCCGAACACTCCTGACATCACATCGGGCGGTGAGCAGAGCTTGTGCATGACTGGGGACGTTTCTTCTCTAGCAGAAGATGAGTCATCTCTGACCCACTCTCTGAGACGGGTGAACCTCAATCAGAGTGTCTCCAGCAGCTGTGCTGCCGGTGCAAGTGCTTTTCCTCAACCCGAAATTTCATTGCTCGATGATGAAAGTGACACCGAAACTCTAGCTGGTGATGAAGATGTATGTGATGAATTAGACCCCAGTGCTGAGACACCTTCAACCACGAATAAAATGCCTAAGAAGAATACACCAGTCACTGTCGACTATAGTTTGAGTGCCCTGGAGGAGGATACCATGCAGGGATCTGTTGCTGGAGCTCTGTCTCTCGACACGGCGGTCATGGCACAGGAGCAACTCAAGGTTTTCCAGCAATACAATTTTGCTCACCGAGATGCCAAGACTGAACAACTTCCTGTCTTCAAATACAAAGATGAGGTAAATTTTTAATTGCTACGAATAGTTGCTTCATCATAGTGCTCAAAAATTGTTGCTAACAGAATTAATGCTCCGGCTTTTTTTTTTTTTGCCTTAATGCTGGAAGGAATTTCTTGTTTCTTTGAAATTGTTATTGCTGTCTTCTTGTGTTCAATGGATTATGTTGAGATTATCTGCAATTTCCGCCCCCTTTTTAACTTAATTTTGTTTCAATTCGACATAACATGATGAACTTTTCATCGCAGCAAAAATATTTATTTCAGATTCTGAACAAGATCAGAGGCTACAGAGTTGTGGTCATAGAAGGACGCACTGGCTGTGGAAAATCTACTCAGGTAATAAGCATTGCTCAAATAACGTGCACGGGTCTCAATTTTTCCTTTATGGTTGTACATTATTTTCTCGGGTCCATCATTTGAATTTAATTTTGAATTAACTACCAGGTCTATTAACTTATGTATGATATTATAACGATGAAGGGGGCACAGTGGCTAAAGTTCAGAGTACCAAGATTGGTGCGCAGAGGTGCGGGTTCAATCCCAGCTCTGTGCGCCAGTTTCTGGTCAAAATCGGCAAGGGGGCCGGGCGGTCAAGCAAATAAAATTTGAAGCAGTCAGTTGCGAGCTCGAGCCCACAACATGCTGTGGATGTTCTGCAATGTTAAGAATCGGTGACAGGGCTACGGTCTAATAAACGCTGAAACCGCTGTATTATTTTAGAAGTGGCTATTCAATTTACTATAAATTAACTATCAGGTATATTATGTGGTTATTTCCTATGACATTATAACTGTAAGTAGCTATTCAATTTACTATTGAATTACCTACCAGGTCGCCCAGTACATCCTGGATGAAGGCCGCGATGAAGGCTATAATGTGAACATCTGCGTGACGCAACCTCGCAAGATCGCCGCCGTCACGCTCGCCAGGCGCGTCTGTGAGGAACGCAAGTGGAAGCTTGGCTCTCTCGTCGGATACCAGGTAATGCTTAGATACCAGGTGATACTTAGATACCAGGTGATGCTTAGATACCAGGTGATACTTAGATACCAGGTGATACTTAGATACCAGGTGATACTTAGATACCAGGTGATACTTGGATACCTCTGGTGATACTTAGATACCATGTGATACTCGCTCTGCTGCTGTCAGGTACCAGGTGATTAGATTTTAGCTGGACCGGCCCTATGTACCTGTGCTCTAATGTATTTTCACGTTATTATGTACTATTACTTATGCATTATCTATAACACATAAGTTAAGCATGGCCGTAGCATAACCATTTCTAGGCTCGGGTCGAGAATAAGAATCACATCGCTACTACTGCAAAGTCTTCATGAATAATCGTTGTACAACCCACCTCCTCCCACAGGTGGGGTTGGACAACTGCACGACGGAGGACACGCGTCTCAGCTACGTCACGACCGAGGTGCTCGTGCAGAAACTGATCGTCCAGAAGAGCCTGGACCAGTTCACGCACATCATCCTTGATGAGGTTCACGAGCGTGACCAGCACACGGACTTTGCTCTCCTCATCGTCAAAAAGCTGCTCAATACCGTCTCCAGAAATGTTAAAGTGAGATTCAATTATTTTAATTATATTTTGGTACAGAGGATGTATACAGTACAGATTATCCATGACATTGTGATCGCGAATGATTTTTTTGGTGATTATTATCTTTTTGTAAGCCAGTATTGTAACAATACTCCAATTGCATTGAATTTTTGATGTAAAGATCAATTTTAATACCCGCTCTTTATATGTATATCGGCCATTGAAAGGATTCTTGAAATGTCTTTTGCTCAATATCAACATGTGAAAAATAATGATCCTTTAAAATGGTTGGCACTCACAGACATTAGCTAAGAAACACTGCCGTCAGATATGAGGTTGTTGTGCAGGTAATCCTGATGTCAGCTACCATCGAAGCTGACAAATTCGCCAAGTATTTCTCGACGCCCGTCATGGGACGTCTCTTGCCGGCTCCCATCGTCTCCATCAACGACATGTCGCAGTTCAACACTGAAATATACTACCTCGACCATCTGGCTCCTATCTTCAGGGAGAAGGTACGCTGTCAAGGGTTTGCTCTGCTCATATTTTCAGGGAAAAGGTACGCTGCCTAAAATTTTTCTCTACTTTTATCGAAAAGGTACTTTGCCAAGGGTTTACTCTGCTCCTATCTTCAGTGAAAAGGTGCGCTGCCAAGGGTTTTTCTCTGCTCCTATATTCAGGGAAAAGGTATGTTGCCAAGGGTTTTGTTATGCTCTTATCTTCAGAGAAAAGGTATGTTGCCAAGGGTTTGCTCTGCTCCTATCATCAGGGAAAAGGTATGTTGCCAAGGGTTTGCTCTGCTCTTATATTCAGGGAAAAGGTACACGGCCAAGGATTTTATTCTACTCTTATCTTTAGGGAATAGGTATGCAGCCGACGATTTTGCTCTGTTCTTATATTCAGGGAAAAGGTCCGTTTCCAAAGATTTTGATGTATGGACGGTCATCTGGATTATGAGGGGGCCTTCAGAAATACGTCAAGATACTAGAAATTCTTGAGTAAAACAATATAGGGATTGCGTAAATAACTGACAACTGAAGCGTCTGTTTGTGGCATGAAAACGTAAAGTTATGAATTAGCTAACTGACGAAGATTTTATAATCCTAAAGAATTTATTCAGCATGAAAGAGAACCTTTTCCTACTCTCAGTATAAAGAACGTAAGAGGTATTTTTTATACAGTGCTGTTCATAAAGATGCTGCTGTTATTTTAAATGTCATGGGCATTGAATGATCTGATACAGTTTCAGAACAATCACTGGTAGCCTACCGTCAATGCCTGTAACGTTGCCACGTTACTTATGTTGCCGGCCTTCAGTAGAAACGATCTATTCTATTGACAAAAATGAACCTAATCTTTCTAGCAAGCTCTAAACAGCTTCGTGGTCATGTGGTTATCAAACACTCCAAATTGTAGTTGTGACCAGTAGTGTACTTTTTCAGTGAGAAGTGGCGAGGTTAAGTGCACAAACCGCTGAGTGGAAACTTGTGTGTCAGTGGCCGGAGATCCATTAGAAATTGATTGAGTGAAATATCATTCTGTATTCCGGATAATAATATTATTGTTCTGATACCCAAATTATCGTAACAAATTATACGATGGTGTCCATAATTATCTATAGACTTGCGATAGAGCTCTCTAAAAGATTGCATGAAGTGTTGCGTCCATGTACAAGTTTTACTTTTTTGACTTGTGTGTCATTAACGGTACGGGTGTTTTGCTTATATTGTCGTGTGTGCAGATGGGCAGTTTGATGCAAGAGTCGGAGCCGTGGGTGTCGGAGGAGCTCAGTGTTCTGGTCGTTGAGATCGTGCAGCGCTTCGATAGAATCGATACCCTGCCAAGCCAAGGCAGCTCCGACGAATTGTCCACCAGGTGCATATCCAGTTATTTTACATAACGTCTATAACAACCCCTCCCCATCATCCTTTCATATAGTACCCCTCCCCATCATCCTTTCATGTAGTCTTCTACAACGTCTACACCAGCCTCCCGCATGTGCTTTCTTTTCATGATGCTTTATAAACCGCACACACCAGCCTCCCGCATGAGCTTTCTTATCACACCAGGTCTTCTACACCACCTACACCAGAATTCCGCATGAGCTTTCTTATCACACCAGGTCTTCTACACCGCACACACCAGCCTTCCGCATGTGCTTTCTTATCACACCAGGTCTTCTACACCGCACACACCAGCCTTCCGCATGTGCTTTCTTTTCACACCAGGTCTTCTACACCGCACACACCAGCCTTCCGCATGTGTTTTCTTTTCACACCAGGTCTTCTACACCGCACACACCAGCCTTCTGCATGTGTTTTCTTGTCACACCAGGTCTTCTACACCGCACACGCCAGCCTTCCGCATGTGTTTTCTTTTCACACCAGGTCTTCTACACCGCACACACCAGCCTTCTGCATGTGTTTTCTTGTCACACCAGGTCTTCTACACCGCACACGCCAGCCTTCCGCATGTGTTTTCTTTTCACACCATGCCTTCTACACCGCACACACCAGCTTTCACACCAGGCCTTCTACACCACCTACACCAGCCTTCCGCATGCGTTTTTTCTTATCACACCAGGCCTGCGCTGCCCTTTGCCCCGGTGTAATTCGTAGCAATATGTTAATCAGTGTCTGTGTTGTCACTAAGATAGTCCTTATATGTCGATGTCGTTTATGAATTATGTTGAAGACCATCCCCCTTGTCTCAGAGGGGCGGTGCTGGTGTTCGTGCCTGGCTTGATGGAAATCGAGTTGATCATCACTAAAATGCGAGCCTGCGCGGCCGACAACAAGTAAGTTGAACGCCTCTGGAGACATTCTCTGTTATCATAATTTTTTTGTTTTGATTGGATATTTAAGTTGCGTGGTGCTGTTATATGTCTCATTGATCAATTTTCCTGCTGGAATTAGCTGAAGTATTGTAATCTATAACTGAAGGACAGGAATGATATTTATCTGCAATTTTGAATAATTTAGGACGAGATTATTGCGGCTTGACATTTTTTAAAAGATATTCCTGTTTTTACTTTGCTCAGGTGGATGCTGTTCCCGCTGCACTCGAGCATCACGTTGAATGAGCAGGAGGAGGCGTTTGCTCAGTGCCCCCTCGGCTATCGCAAAGTCATCATAGCCACCAACATTGCCGAGAGCTCAATTACTGTATCTGATGTTCGTTATGGTGCGTAGGCTTTTATCGAACATTGTTTTCTATAATGTTCAAATTAGGTAAATTTCCCTAGGATTTTTTTAATTTGCGCCTTTGTTGTGATAATTTGTTGAAGTGCAGTAGAATGTTTGCTTGTCAGCTTCTCATGACTGTTTATGTCCAGCTAACAAATATCTAACTTATCGTAATTGATCACAGCTAAAATTTTTTTTTCATGCCCGGCTGTTCGGAAACCATATTGCCTTACCAGCCGGTGTTTGGCATTTTTTATATTCGATTTTGTAATGTAAATCTACCGATGGGTATGGGTGTGAACCTTTGTATTGCCCGGACAGTGATAGACCTGTGCATGACCAAGACGCTGCACTGCGACCCTATCACCAACTACACGTGCCTCAAGCTCGACTGGGCCAGCAAGGCTTCGTGTGACCAGCGAGCTGGCAGAACTGGACGAACTGGCAACGGTCGTGTGTACAGGATGATCACTCACTTCAAGTACAAGGTTGTTATCGCTCAGGACCTATACTTTCCAAAAAAAAGTTAAGAGACCGTAAGTTCAGCCGCAAATAGTTGACGGCCTTTCAAGCAAAATCCACCAATCATAGACAAGAAAATAGAGCCTAAGTACTTACGTTCACTTAGCGAGTTTTGAAAGTATGGCCCCAGAACTGCAAAATTTTGCGTATATTTCTTTAAACCAGTGTGAATCCTTTACAACAGTGGTTCCCAAACTATTTCAGGCTGGCGCCCCCCTTGGCTCCCCAGTGAATCTCTAGCGCCCCCCCCCCCGGGACGACAGACTGACACATAAAAACAAACGCCTCTTTCTTGAGATTTAGTATGCTGCAATTTTTAAAGAGAAAGGTTAAACGCAGATCTTTCTAAAGGTCCCCACAGATCTTTCCATCGCCCCTAGGGGCGATATCGCCCACTTTGGGAACCACTGCTTTACAATGTGTAAGTCATTTACTGCACGTTAACTATACAACATGTCATAAATGTCGTCACTTTGGCGCTGATGATGTGACGATGCCGCAGAACTTGCCGAACTACACGACACCTGAGCTCCTGCGCTGTCCGCTCTCCGTGGCGGTGCTGAAGACGAAACGCCTGTGCATGGGCGAGCCTGCCGCCCTCCTCGCCCTCGCGCTCGACCCGCCCAACATCGCTGACATCGCGCGCACCATCCTCGACCTCAAGCAGGTGGTGTATGGTGCAGTCGTGATGTGTGTAGAATGGTGATAGGTGCAGGGTGGGGATAGAGGCTGGTTGGTGATGAGGGCAGAGAGGTGATGGGGCAGAGTGGTGAGAGATGCAGGGTGGTGAGAGGGGCAGAGTGGTGATAGGTGCAGGGTGGTGAGAGGGGCAGAGTGGTGATAGGCGCAATGTTGAGAGGTGCAGAGTGGTGAGAGGTGCAGAGTGGTGACGGGGGCAGAAAGGTGATGGGTGCAGAGTGGTGACGGGGGCAGAGAGGTGACACGTGCAGAGTGGTGACACGTGCAGAGTGGTGACACGTGCAGAGTGGTGACACGTGCAGAGTGGTGACACGTGCAGAGTGGTGACTGTGGTGATAGGGGCAGAGTGGTGATAGGGGCAGAGTGGTGATAGGGGCAGAGTGGTGATAGGGGCAGAGTGGTGATAGGGGCAGAGTGGTGATAGTGGTGGGAGGTGCAGAGTGATGATATTTGCATCATTATCACAGTTGCGGGTTCGAGGCTCGGCTACCGATAACAATTTTGCAATGTCTAGAGACTGCCATAGGCCACACGAGAACTATCTTGAACGCTCCTATGCTATTTTATAATAGATTTTGGTAAAGGTGCATTTTTATTTATTGCATGCATGCATACATGATGAATATGAAGATCCTTTTAACAGGTCGATTAATTTGATACGCGTTAAGTCCGGCAATAACGAATTATTATCTGGATCAGCTGGGCTGTCTGTGTGTGTCGCCCGAGGCGTCGATGTCTGCCCTGGACGGCGAGCTCACGTACTTGGGGGAGCTGGCCGCCCAGCTGCCCCTGGACCCACGCCTCAGCAAGCTCATCGTGCTGGGCCAAGCTCTGGGCTGCCTCAGGGAGGCCATCATCATAGGTGAGGCTGAGCTCGTTGTGCTGGGCCAAGCTCTGGGCTGCCTCAGGGATAGTAGCTGGAGTCCAATCCGTAGAGATGAGGGCTTCAGCTACCGTCGGTCGAATATTTCGGGTCACTGCACGATGAAGATGCTGGTGTGTTTCTCCAGCACAGTGGGAGTTGTTGTCAAGGGTGTCAGGAAGCCTGTTGAATTCATCACGGAACATGAGATGAAGTTGCTCGATGGTAAGACTTTGAGACCTGGTCTGGTTGCGAAATTGTCTCAGGTGGCAGGAAAAACAGCTGCTCAATGTCGATGAAGTTACTCCAATTACTCTAAATTAATTCAATTAATCCAATTAAATTATATTACTTCCTTGAACCTGAATTTTTATCAACCAACGTCCACTGAAGAATATTGTTCGATCCTGAAAATTCAAATCAATGATTTCTCTAGTCATTAACCACTCGTGTTTATATATATATATTGGTGTACTTCGGCAGAAGCCTTTCTTTTATGCTAGTTTGATTGAAGACCATAGCATGATTTTTATTCACAATATTTTTATTGTTTTCTAGGGGTCGAAAAAAAAAATTAACGTAATTAGGTATATTATAATATAAGGTATATAGGTACGTAAGAACGAGCGGTATACGTAAGTTAAGGTATATTATAATATTATAACTTTAGAAAACAGCCAACGAGCTCGTTGCTAACGCAATTATGCGAGTGTGTGAGACTGGCAAAAAACTTTGTAAACATTATACATTGTAAAAACAAGGTTCCCAATTGGATCGTAAACATTTAAAAGATTACACCCTTTGTATTCACGTCGATAACTTCTTGCCATATACGACATTTTTTTAGTATCTCACCAAAGAACCATCTCTGTAACGCGTGCAGCGTAATTTTTTTATATTCTCTTCAATTGATTACAGCGTGATTATGATGGAAATGAGTTCCTGAACAATAAAATATTAATTTTTAACTCTTTCTGAAGGTGTGGCGAAACTTGCACGGCCGCGAAGCGTTCCGTGAGTTCGGTGGCAAGGCTCAGCGCGACCACAGCAGCTTCCGTCCTCATCTGTCGGGTGCAAGCAGGCGGCCCATCAACGATTCTGGCGTAACTTCCAGTGGTAAGCTGTCATGAATTGAATCCGCTCGTTAAACTTGCGGTATTTAAGCATGAAAGTCATAGGATTAGAAATTTATTTTATTAGAGGTTGAGGTTATTTAATTTTAGTATTCAGAGTCGATGTGATTATTAAGATACGTTACCAGCTTCTGCATACGGCGATACGTATATTTTACTCAAATTGATGGTTTTATTATCGTTAAATGTGTATGTAAATGTGAAGCCTAAGGATGTGTATGGCGCTTGCCAACTAAAAAGTAAACTTCAATAGCAGTATGTAATCCGTACATGAAACCTCAGCACCATTTGTGTTCGGTTCAGTGCAGGATTTGTTGCTATGGTTTTTCGATCTTTTGCTCAGTTGTTTGATGACCATAATTACGCATCACTGCGTTGATTAGAGGTGCAGTGGGCCAAGAAGAGCTACGTTCAGCTGCAGCAGCTGCGTGAGGTGCAAAAGCTGGTCGAGGAGCTAACGGACAGACTCAAGTACCTCCGCGTGGTCCCTCTTAACTTGCAGAATCCTGTCACGGACCATCAGCAGACCGTTCTTAAGGTTAGCTGCCGCTGCATTATTATATATTCATTGTGACCACATTCTTGTTTACCATCATCTTCATCCTTTATTCTGCAAATTAATGATTTTTAGAGTATTTTGCACTTCAAGTATGTCGTCTACCGTTCACAAATTCTTTTTTTTCAACTCCACATCATTGTGTTGTCAGTGTAGGCTCAAATTTGCTGCCGTGTATGAGAAATTTGCTGCCGTGTATGTGAAATTGTATTGCCTACAAGCGATGAAAAATATTTCGCCCGTTAACTAAAATATATCTTCATACTCTGTCGTACACTTTATATGATCATTTGAAACTTTCAAAATTACAATTCAATAGCCAGCAGAAACTTTTATTGCAGTTATGCATCGCGGGAGCCTTTTTTCCGCACTACTTCCGTCGTTGTCGTTCGGATGACTACGAGCGCGAGACAAACATCGAGCTCAACGGGCACGACCCGTACAACACGGTGATCGTGAGGCGCCTGCCCGTGCAGAGCGCCGTGCTGTACGAACCTCAGATCAGGGAGCTCTTCAAGGAGTGCTCCACCGACGTCGCTATCGAGATAGAAAACTCCAAGTGAGTCTAGATTAATTGTTGGTAGGACTGTAAAGACGTAATGTGCTCCGAATGGTGTGACAGTATATAATTTTAAAACCTAAGGAATGCATTTGCTTGCTTCAAGTTAAGCGTGGATTACTAGTTTTGTTTTCACTTAATTTTATATAAAAAGTTGGGACTTATTGACGAATTGATTTCCGTCATTACACATTTCAAAAGTAATTTCGCGTATTGAAGGTCATTCATGTTATTCAGTGAAATTTTATGCATTTTTAGACTAAAGTGTTTTGATACTGTTCGCTGACCCATCCCATATCGTGCGCAGGGCGTACGTGATGTTCCGGCGCGCACGGTCTGCAGAAGGCAGCGAGGAGGCGCAGCAGAGTATTCCTGGGGAGTTCCCCACCGCGATGTACATCGCTCTCAAGATGGTACAAGTACCGCGCTTCAAGGACGCACTTCAAATTAATCTATTCAGGTAAACCCTTTATCTTGCCGTGTTCAGGTCAGTCTGTTCGAGGGTATATAATATTGAACAGAATTCAGCTTATTCGCTAGCTCTCCTTATGAGACTGTAGGGTGTTGAGGGCCTTTTTATTTTCTCTTGAATCTATCTGCCAAGTGTACGAATATTTCATTAAATGGTAATAATTTTAATGTAGTAGTATAGCATTTTTGGGACCCACCTGAAGCAAGTGCCTAGATGTATGTTATTTATGAGGGTAATTCGTTAATGTCTTCGCAGCGCCGTCGATCTGTTATTTATGAGGGTAATTATTCGTTAATGTCTTCGCAGCGCCGTCGACACTGAGAGGCTCTTGGCTGTTCTGGAGGAGGAGCGCAGCGCCGCCGTGTGCACCGCGGCAATGGACGCCTCCAGCTCCATCGACGGTACGCGTCTCGGTGGTCTGGACTCGTGAATTGCCTTATACAATTTTTCTTGGTTGTGTGCTCCTGCCGAACACATAGGTACAAGTGCCGCGGAATATTCACGTTTCAGCTTCATGTATTACAAGTGCCATTGAACATTGATATTTCAGCGGGATGTTTCATTAGTGCTGCACTTATGATATTGCTTACCTATTGCGCGTCTCCATGATAGAGTAGTTCACCTCCAGATTATGGTATGGAATGTAAACCTTTATGACCATGAAGCGTTTTCATTCAAAGTTCCTCACATTCTGTTTATACCTGCCATTTGTTTTCATCATAAGTAAAAAAATGTAACTCAGTACTCACTGCAGTGAGTGACAGAGAGTGCATTTTCTCGTCGACGAAAACGTGATCACGGACAGACGGACGGACGGACATGACGAGCACAATAGCGCCTTTTTTCCAGAAATGAAAAAATGCGCTAAAATGCCAACTAATGACCTAGTCAACAATTTCTTGGCTGCATTGAAGTAACCTGCATTATTACTTCTTAGGTAACATGTCGAACTCGACACTAAGTCTCGCCCTCAGCGGCATCTCCAGCGACATGAACTCCTCCCGTCAGTCCTCCTACTCCTACTCCAGAGTTTTGCGGTAGGTTTTGTTTTATGCCTGTCCGCTCGGAAATTATTGTACCTACTGTATCATTGTATGACGCAAGCACGTTGTACTTACTGTCGCCTAGAATTTGCATTTCGAGTAAGCACGTTTCCCTCAGCAGTGCACATGTGAGAACCCATTTCAATCAGAGGTAATTTTAGGTGTATAATTTGTAGACTACTAGACTCACTGTTCCTGCTACGTTACTGGTGTTCAACTATTTCTGATAGCTTTTCATTGGGTCGTACGCTAATTATAAGCCTACTAGGATATATCTATATACTCTGCGTTAGTGTTTAGTTTTTAGTTGTAAAAAATATCCACAATATAATTTTTTTGGTTTGTTTGGTGACTCATAAACGATTTTATGTTATTAAGAGCTATGCTATTTTGAAATTAAGTTCCCTCCAGAGTTGCTATTTTGAAATTGAGTTCCATCCAGAGTTGCTATTTTGAAATTAAGTTCCCTCCAGAGTTGCTATTTTGAAATTAAGTTCCTCCAGAGTCTCTATTTTGAAATTAAGTTCCCTCCAGAGTTGCTATTTTGAAATTAAGTTCCCTCCAGAGTCGCTATTTTAAAATTAAGTTCCCTCCAGAGTCGCTATTTTGAAATTAAGTTCCCTCCAGAGTTTCACTAAGCAAATATTGCGAGCATTTTTGCGTTATTAGCTAGATTTGTTTCTGTCATTTACTCTGTGCCATGCATTTCATAGAACTCCGTGTCAAATGGCAGTCTTTGGGAATTGACAGCAATGTACTCAAATGGATCAGAGATTTTCTAGTAGGGAGACGCCAACGTGTCAGTATTAATGGGTCCGTACTCCGTATCAGACTGGACTCCAGTGCGCAGCGGCGTGCCACAAGGTAGCGTTATCGGGCCTGTTTTATTCGTTGCGTTTATAAACGATCTGCCAGAAGCTCTGTCTAGCGTGTGCTCGATGTACGCTGACGACACAAAAATTTATAATACAGTGAAGAATACGTCGCAAAAAGTACAGTTACAAGGTTATCTTGACAGGCTGGTTGACTGGGCTGATAAGTGGCAGCTGCGTTTTAACGCTGACAAATGTAAAGTAATCCACCTCGGCAAGAATAATGAACAGCAAGATTACAATATGAGAAGACACGGTTGCAACGACAGAATGATGATATCGAAGTCGAAAATGGAAAAAGATTTAAGAGTTTATATCGACAATGAGTTGAATTTTTCGAAGCATATTGAAGGTCAAGTTAATAAAGCCAATAAACGACTTGGACTGATCAGACGCTTTTTCGAGTTCCTAGATGCAGAAGCGATGAAGCAGTTGTTTGTTGCTGTCGTGCGCCCGAACCTAGAGTTAGGAAACGTCGTGTGGTCACCGAAACTTGAAAAGGACAAAAATTTAATAGAGAGTGTTCAAAGACGTGCAACAAGGATAATTCCGGGCTTGAAAGGCAAGTCCCATGAAGAAAGATTAAAGATTGTGAAGCTTTCAAGCCTCAGTTATCGACGTCTGCGTGGGGAACTCATTGAAGCATACAAGTATACTCATGGCTTATACAAGGTCCCAGAAGGATTAATAGAATTTGAAACAAGAACCAACACCAGGAGCCACGGCTATAAACTAAAAAAACTGCGGTGTAACACATCCATGCGACAACATTTCTTCTCGCTTCGAGTCACAGACATGTGGAACAGCCTCCCTGATAGCATAGTTGACGCTCCGAGTATGAACGCCTTCAAAAACAGACAAGACAATGCTATGCAGGAGCATATGTTCAGTCTTAAAAATTAAAATGCCTATTAAATTACGGACCAGGCAATAAGTCCAGTAGCTATCTCAATCAATCGTCAGGTATGGAAAGATCGGGTTCCAAAGGCCGGCTCCCTTGCGAATCAAGTCACGAAAAATTCAAGAATCGGCAACAGGCCATGGGCCTATTTCTTCAGTGCCGACAATTCTATTCAATTCTGTTCTATGTCAATTCACAGTTACGGAGGGCGTCAAATGCTGTCAGCGAGGACTTCTGGGTTTCGACCTGCCGAGCTACCGCCGTCTGACCAGCTCTCCTGGAGGATCACAATTGTCTACGTAAGTCAGGCCTGCAAAAAATACTTTCACATGCCTTCTCTTATTATAGGATTATTCGTGTTAACCGGTAACGATTCAGTCTCTTTAGTGCTCAATTCATTGGGTGAGGCTAATTCGCCAATTATGTTATGTGATATTGAGACTATAATCATATATTTGTATTTTTTCCTTAATTATTAATACCAAATGGAACATAATGCAAGTATGTCTGTGTTTCAAACGTCTGTTTGTCGCCAACTTCCGCAAATATTGATAAGATTTTAATCCAGTTGTCCTTTGAATTATATTCAGTTGTCAGTCGGGAGTACATATTTTATGTACAGGTTGAAACGGCAGGCCGCGTTTGGGCTCGCAGCGACAAGTGTGCAGCAGAGCACTTGCAGTTCGTCTCCAGCACCATCAACTTGGCCCTGCAATCTGTCGACGATCAAGACGTGCCTGGAGCTGAGCTCACTGGGTAACCTCACCTGCTTTGGTCCATAGTTGATCTGATTATGCGTGTAATAGCTGGGCTTTCGTGTTGCTATCTTGTTTTATCTATTCACAGTTTTTACTTTTTAATAAGTTTGCCGTCATCTGAAATCGATGCTAATTTCTTTTCTTGTGCTACTTAGAGTTGACTATCATCGCACTTTCATGATTTTTACGTAGCAATCAGATTATTTCGGGATAGGAAATTGAACGATTTGGTCAGCGTACGCAAATTACTGTTAATTTCGCGTGTCGGCAGGGATCGACTGGCAGTAAACGAGCCTGTGCTTGCGCCTCGCACCAATGCTGAAGGTGCCACGCAGTACGCCCGAGCTCAGGTAAGTATCATGTCGTGACTTGTGGACGACATTGTACGTAGCTGCTCTTTCGTGCAAAACTACCTAGTTATGGATAAACTTGCACTGAATTTGCTGGCAAGATTTGCTTGGGATTTTTGTTCAAATATTTGATTGTATTCTAATTGTCATAAATCATTGTAAACGCATATGATAAAGATTATATTAATTATTACAAGTTATGGTTAATATAAATGAGCGACTGATATCATGTGCAACACGAAGTAATGAAGTCAGGAAGAACATCACGTCAAAGATAATGTTTTTCGTCCTTCCATTAACTCTTACATCACCTGTTATCGCAGATTGAAGAACGACCGAGAGGCTTCAATAGCGCGCACGCCAGAAACCGTGAAGAGAAGTTGATCAAGGTAAGGTTCTTCCCGAAAGTATTCCCTTCGGAAGTAGAGTCTCAAATAAATGTGTACTTGCTCTTTTAAAATGTCTGGAAAGTGGTTGAAGGGGATGTTCAGCTTTAATCATATGAATGGTAGCTTGATTTACGCCGATCTTGTGTACCGATATATATCAGTGGTAGGTACTTATAAATATTGAAAAAAATATACCTCAGTACTCACTGCAGTGAGTGACAGAGAGCGCATTTTCTCGTCGACGAAAACGTGAAGTCACGGACGGACAGACAGATGGACATGGCGAGCACAATAGTGCATTTTTTCCATAAATGAGGAAATGCGCTAAAAAGCGCCATCAAGCGTTATTTAATTTGACCCACTTCTATATTTGAGTGAACATTGTTGTTATGAACATGCCTGCGCACAGCTCTGTTCTGAACAAATAGAAAACTAGACGTTTAATTCGAAGTTGATTATCCGTAACATCTGAGAATCCCGATATCCTGTTTTTATCAATCCTCATAGTGGAGTAATGTAAATGAAATTAATACTCGTTCTGAATAATGTTCAATATAGGATTCCCATTAAACTTCAATTTTATTTATATATATCTTTGTTTTCTTATTCTTTCTATTATTGCTTCAGGTGTTCTTTGTGGACTACGGCAACACCGCCCTTGTGCCGGTGTCATCACTGAAGCAGTTGCCAGAAGCGTGAGTTGTTGTGCGGTGTGACCGATCGCATCTTTTTTCTTCTTAAGAGGGGAGGGTTTCCCTCATCTGAATGAGACCAGAAGCTAGCAAGGCTATTCTCCTACCTAGCGAACCAAATTTGTATTTCCTACAAATGTCTTGTTTTACGATATAATTTATTAGATGAAATATTTTTAATAGTGATACTGGGTACTTTCATTATGTTAGTGGTCAAATTATGGCAGGTTACTGAGCGTGCCACGGATGGCGGTCGAGTGCTGCCTGTGCTTCCTCCGGCCCGTGAGCACGAGCTGCGGCGGCGCGGCGTGGAGCAAAGAGGCCAACGACTTCGCCAAACGCCGCCTCACCAACAAGAAGTTCTTGGCTAAGGTATGGTTTTTATTATCATTGCATTAATTTTAGCGGTGCGTATCGTTCCTTAATAAACTTTAATTTTGTTGGGGGGGGTAAACTCGTCTGTTTAGTGCATATTGTTTGATGACCAGAAACAGCCAGAATTTTTTGGCCATGGAAGATGGTTCTTAAATAGGCTTTGTACCTCAATGTTGGTTCAAACAATGTTGTTGGTTCACTACACTCATGCTACATGCATTGGCGGGCAGCTCTTTATCTACTGTAACTGTATACTTGTACTGCAGTGCACTCTTTACCCATTGTAACTATGCGTGTACTGCACTCAGTTTATCCACTGGAAGTATAGAAGTACCACACTATTTTTTATCCACCTGAACTGTATGTACAGGTGTACAGCTGCGTGCACGGTATGGCGCGCATCGAGCTGTTCGACAAGCAGCCTGGCAACGATCGCCTTCAGAACTTCAACGACTTGCTTCTTGTCAAAGGCTTTGCTGTGCGAGCCCTGGAGCCGCTCGAATCTCAGGTACACAAATTAAACTTTACTTCTATTGTGACCACCACACTGTGATTCTCGGAATACTAAAGTGAACCACATTGTTATCGCAATAACGTTGTGGACCACATTGTTATCGGAATAACGTTGTGGATCACACAGTTATCGGGATAGCGTTGTGGTCCACATTGTTATCGGTATAACGTTGTGAACCACATTATGTTCTTCTCGAAATATCGAAGAGAATTTTAGGGATGAATATAATGGGTACACTGGAATTACACAGAAAGTTAAGTGGGATGATTTTTCTCATGATTACAGTAATATCAACATTTTTGTATTCGAAATAGTCATTGAAATTCTTAACGTCCGTTCATAGCTACAAATTACAGCTAAACCGTTGATACATGATGAAGTATTCCCATAAACTAAATATTGTATACTGTATTTAAATATTTACATTTCTCAAACAATTCTTTAAAAAACACTGGTTTTGCGTGCTCTAGGAGGACCACCGTATGCGACTGCAATACATGTACTCGTCTGATCGCACGTGCACGCCTCCTGGCCGTGTGCTCGGTGGGCCAGACTCCTCCTTCTGCTCCAGCTCCTTGTCGCTGTCGTCAGCCCTCAGCACCACATCCCTCGGCTCCTCAGCCTTCAGTGCGCGCCCCACTACCCGCAAAGTATGAACTTCTTCAGAGAAAAGATCGCATTTTTACAGTTGCCCGTTGTTTTTTTCAAATGATTACTCTCTGTGGAAAACCCTTATATGCTTATTAGTAGCCGATAATCCTTAATTTTGCATTTGTTAGTCGAAAAGTATGTCAGAGAAAAGCTTGCCAGAGAACAGTTGCCCGTTGTTTTTCAAATAATTATTTTCCGCGGAATATCCTTGAATGCTTATTTGTAGCCGATAATCCTTTATTCTGCACTTATTTAAACTGTCTATTTTGGATTTTTGGTGTAATTTTAGCAAGTCATCTTAAGAGAAGATCTTAATCTGATTGCCTGGTCTTATAATCTATATTAGACGCACGTTTTAATATTCCCAGTTCATTAACTTGATCGATTTTAGTGGGAGGCTAATGTTTGAATATTAATTACGTATTGTGTGCCTCATAATAATTCTGCTGTTATTCTGGGCCATGATGCGCATATTATGCGTCGTTAACAAGATGTGCAAAGAAATACTGCGCATTACCGGCAACCTAACTGCTTTCAATTATATTATCAAAAGATAACTTGTTAAATATCGGCTCCTAATTGTTCTATAGGAACATACCTAACTGCAATCTGGTCGACTCGATAAATTGACGATCCCCTTATTCAGATTTTGACTAAGAAAATCAATAACCAGAGAAAAAATGCTCGGCCATCGGTTTTCTGTACTAGTAAATTTATCTATCGCTATGTTGAAATCGGTAGTCACGTTTATGCAGTTTTCCGCAAATAATTATTGCCTGTAAGTTGCAAGGAAGAATTTATTCGTGCAGAGTCGCCTGTTGGGCCCGTACTCGCCACTGCAGCTGCAGTTCCACGCGCTGCAGTTCAACACGCTGGGCAAGAAGGTGCGCATCGAGCCTGAGAGCGTCAACAGCACCGCGCTAGACATGGAGCCACAGAACCCCCATGACAGGTCACCGCCGCCTCTCGTCTCTTCTACGTTACCTCTCGTCCCTTCTATGTTACCTCTCGTCTGACGTCTTGTATGCTGACGATAACTCTGATCACCAGGCCTCTAGATACGAATAGTATTGTGCATTGACGGTAACTTTGGTCACCCTGCCTCTAGATATGAATAGTATTGTGTATTGACGGAAACTCTGATCACCAGACCTCTAGATACGAATAGTATTGTGTATTGACGGTAACTCTGGTCATCAGACCTCTAGATACGAATAGTATTGTGTATTGACGGAACTCTGGTCATCAGTCCTCTAGATACGGATTGTATTGTGTATTGACGGTAACTCTGGTCACCAGGTCTCTAGATACGAATAGTATTGTGTATTGACGGGAACTCTGATCGCCAGGCCTCTAGATACGAATAGTATTGTGTATTGACGGTAACTCTGGTCACTAGGCCTCCAGATACGAATAGTATTGTGTATTGATGGTAACTCTGGTCACCAGTCCTCTAGATACGAATAGTATTGTGTATTGACGGTAACTCTGGTCACCAGTCCTCTAGATACGAATAGTATTGTGTATTGACGGTAACTCGGGTCACCAGGCCTCTAGATATGAATAGTATTGTGTATTGACGGTAACTGGTCACCAGTCCTCTAGATACGAAGTGCTTTGATGTCAGTCAATGCCTTCGTTATTTGAAGGTTCATGGCGTACGGCCCATATGTTCCCGAGTACGCTAGTTTAGATGACTCGAAGGGGCCTTCACTTGAGCGTTGACTTTCGTTTAGATGCCGTTGAATAGTGAATCATTATTATAATAGCGGTTTCAGCGTTTAGTAGGTCGCAGGCCTGTCGCCGATTCCTAATATCGCAGTACATTCAGTGTTTTGAGATCTCGAACTCGCAACTCACTGCTACAATTCCGCTGTGCTTAACCGCCCGGCCTCCTCGCCGATTCTGACCAGAAACTGGCGCACAGAGCTGGGATCGAACCCGCGCCTCTCTGCCAATCTTGGTACTCTGAACTCTAACCACTGTTTCGTTTTTGTTGAACCCGTATAATATATGATTGAAATGTGTGTGGGCGCAGGATGTTGGTGAGCTCGTTCGTGTCGCTGAGCGGTAGTGAGGAACATCTCGTGGCGCGCAACACGACACTCATGCCAGCCGTGCCTGGCCTGCTCTCCATCTGCTGCCTCACGTTCTGTCACGGCGCTGACATGAGGTACGCTCATCACGATGGAACCAGCTCCTATCTTATCGAATTGATCTTTTCTTTCTTATTTAAATACAGAGAAATGAGATGGTTTGACTTAATATTGTGACGAAGGTATGTGTCACGGCGCTGACATGAGGTACGCTCATCACGATGAAAACAGCTCAGTATCTTATCAAATTGATCATCTCTTTCTTATAGAAATACAGAGAAATTAAATGATTGAACTTGATATTGGGACGAAAGTATGTGTCACGGCTCACGGCGCTGACATGAGGTACGCTCATCACGATGAAAACCGTTCAATATCTTATCAAGTTGATCATCTCTTTCTTATTGAAATACAGAGAAACGAAATGGTTGGACTTGATATTATGACGAGATGTCATAATATTAGACACTAGATACTAGATAAATTTCCAGCTACTTATGTTAAACTTACAATTTACGCGAATACTCGAGTAAAGAGTGCAATTAAATCGTTAACGACTCGTCTGTTTTGGCCGTTAGAAATAAATTTAAAGTTTGAATGTCAGGTTTAATGAACTTACTCGCCAGTCTGTTAGCTCTGATGCATGGCAGATGAGCTGTAATATTAATCATGAACGGTTTAAACCGTACATTTCTGTGTACGTTCGCGAGTTGCTGTCTTCTATTGCTTTTCACCTGTCCCTCCTTGTCACTTCGTCTCTTTGAGATGCTTGCACTGCTTCTTTCAAGCCAGCTTCAGCGGGCTGGACGTCTGAGACCTTCAGACGTCCTTGTGGGTGATGAACAATTTTTGATTTGACGAACATTCGACAATTAAAACCTTCGACCTCTTTAGTGATGTTCATCTGGATTTCCGGTGCATGATAGCTAAATAGCTGAAGCGCTAGTAAACATGGGGTCACACAACTAAACTAACTCGTGTGAATGTAGAGTCGATCGTACTACCAAGATTTTATTCTTATTGAAGAAATGGATTTCATTTAGATAACTTGTGTTGATTGATTCCATACATTGAACTCTTGCGAGTTAGTGTGGAGAACATTAAGGAAAGCGTGTGTTATTATACGAATTAATTACATGTATATTGTATAATTATGAGTGTAATTATTTTCAGAGTGAGTGAAGACGGCTGTGAGTACACTGGTGCCATCATCGGACTGGGTGCTGACCCCGACACCGGTTACCCAGCCTACCCTGACGACGACATCGAGCTCGCCTTCGATATTCCCTTCACCAACCACGACCTAGAGAAGGTAGCTCATTTGTTCTACTATGTTTTATTACTTGCCGTATCTTTATCTTATTTTGTTAAGATTCTTTATCTTCCTATTTATTTATATTTGCTGTTAATTTTATAATGAGATAGTTTATAAGGCTAAGCCCGCTTTGGCACCAATTCTAGACATCTCGGAAATTCCACAGATTACTGAGAATTCAATACCTTAACTCGCTTATCGTCACTGAACTCGCTTTAAACTTATATCATTTGTGTGTAACTTCATGGTGCTGATCTCCCGTTTCTCCCGTGAATTTGTTTTTCTAATGATAGTTGTAAGAATGCGTGGGTTAGAATCGTTAACGTGTGCCGTTTCTAATTGTGTGAATAAGAAATTTCTTCTGAAGCCTAATTCAGAGTGCTTAGAAAAACGTTCCTTAATTAACACTGCCAACACCAAGCTACATTCCTCAACAGTCCTACTGTCTACACTAAGCTACATGCCTCAACATTTCTACTGACTACAGTCTACATCAAGCTACATGCCTAACCATTCCTACTGTCGACACCAAGCTACATTCCTCAACATTCCTACTGTCAATACCAAGCTCCATGCCTCAACATTCCTAATGTCTACACCAAGCTACATTCCTCAACATTCCTAATGTCTGCACCAAGCTATATTCCTCAACATTCCTAATGTCTGCACCAAGGTACATTCCTCAACATTCCTACTGTCTACACCAAGCTACATGACTCACCATTCTACTATCTACACTTAGCTACATGCCTCACCATTCATAATCTCTACACCAAGCTACATGCCTCACCATTCCTTCTGCCTACACCAGACCATTCCTTCTGTCTACATGCTTCATAGCAATTATCTATACCAGCCTACTTACCTCATGAGCTACATGGTCCCTCGTTCATTTTCAACACAAGCATGATCCCCATTGCTTTGTCGGCAGATCAACAAGGTGCGCTACCTCCTCAACTGCATGCTCAGCGGACCGCCCGGCAGCGCTGGTGCTCTGGATCCCGCCGCGTTGGCGGAGCGTCAGAAGCTTCTTCGCACTTCCCTCCTGCAGTTAGTCACGTTTTCCCCCTGTGTTTACTCTGTGCCAAAATAGTATGATCATGTTGTTGCTATTGTGCTGCGCATTGCGGGTAAAATTATTCTCCGAATATTGTGTTTTTGAAGGCCTATGTGACAAACATTCCCACTACTATTTTTAGAACCAAAACTTATTGCTAAGTTTGATGTATTGATTTTTTTTACAAAACTTAACCCTTAGTTCATCCTTAAGGAAGTTGGTTTCTGTTCTAGATTTTTTTTTTTTTTTGTGAATAAATTCGTTGCAAACTAGGCACGGTCACGGCCAAATATGTGGGATATGAAAAAAGAATCTCGCTATCGAAATTTGTTCTGTTCATGCAGCGTTCTGCTGATATTGAAATATATGTACATTCCCTAGTCAGTGAAAGAGCAATTTCATTGCATTTATATTGTATTATTTATAATATTTCATTTATTATATTGCAGATTGTTGGATGAGCAGAAGCCTTACAAACGACCCGAAACCAGCGCCAGTGCCTATAAGTGGAATGTTGTAAGTTTAATCAGTGTAATCCTTGAATCTCTGTTCATGATAAATTAAGGCGATTCTGTTAATTAAGTTTTACCTTCCTTAGTAATCGCAAAAAAGCTTCCATGTTATGCGATGTGGTTATTGATGCCACTAGGAGTAATTCCTATACGTTTTTAGGAACTCGTATATGTGGCGCTTGTTTTTAATTAGTGTTTATATGTATCAAGGAAATGATTTTACTTGTATTTGTTTTATACCATTATGGTGCGTTCTGCTTGGGTTTCATTTGTTATGTTCGTGAATGTGAATGGTCTTCACTTTGAAGACCTCGAGCACAATGGCTGATTTATAACCTATTTAATAAATGAATTGTTTTTATTCTATTTTAAGGCTAGCTCTTACCATAAGCCTTCATACGTTTGACATGTTATGAGTCAAGGTGTTTCAGAATATATTTATAAGGACATGACGTAAATGTTTTAATGTTGATTGTTTACATTGCGGTTACTCTGGTAGAGCTGTTTGCAAAATCGGACAAGCTAATTAAGTTTTCATTTTAAAAAATGAACTGAAGCGTTGAATAGAGTAGAAACGTACACTACCATTGATTGAGTCGTTGAAGCTTATTGAGTGCCCAATTATCTAACATTTGAAGTATCAATTTCTAGATTCCTGCAAGCTCGCTGCTGGAGCCCATCACGGAGCCTGATGAGATGGTGCAGGGCACGCCTGTGTTCCCCCTGCACCGTGGCGTGGCCCTCGCCACGCACTCGACGCTATCGCGGCTCAAGCGCACCGACGCCCTCGTCAGAGCGTATAATGAGTTAGTGCAACGCAATTTACGTTCTTATGATTGGTTAATATGTAGCATTGTAGTAAACTAAGTGTAATGGAATTTCCTGGCTCTAATTATTATGTTTTGTTATATACGTTACTATCTTGTATTTATACCAGAGTTTTCTTGTATTTGTTTGATCCTATTTTCATTTCTTAAATTGTTTTGTCCCTAACGCGTACTGAAATTATTCGCAAAGATTGCCTTTGTCACTCTATTTCTGTATTTGTTATAATTTGAGTGAAAAACCTATACTGTTGGGTTGAAATTAAGTTATTCCATAGGCGTTGAATCTACTTTCTGAGCTTTATAAATTTTGTGAGCTAAGGCAAACAATTAACGTATCCTCAGAAGCCTTACTTCGCTCGTAAGCGGCTATGAAGCTTATGCCAGGGCGTTAAACGCGTTTGTCTTCCATTGAAGAGCTGAAGTTTGTATCCCTGTTTTCGGTGCCTACTTCTAGATAGTGTAGTAATTACGATAGGTCTCATCATCGGCTTGCTTGTTAGACGCCAGCATTGCCAAATGCCAACATCTTTCATAATCTTCCCGTGCGCAAAGCCTGCTACTGAGTAAATAAGCTTTGAACTTGAGTTCTTATAGCCAAGGATGCCGTCAGCTAGCCAGGAGCCGCTGTTCCAGCTAGTCTAGTTTTCGCAGCATCTACACCACCGGCATTCATCTTCCTCCGCACTTTACACGACTCTCCACCCACCACCCAAACAAACTTTTCCGGACCTAACCTAACCTCATTAGCTGCAGCAAGGTAGAGAAGCGGGGAAAGTAGGGGACTGGAGCCGGTTATTAACTGCAGCAAGGTGCAAGGTATAAAGCGGTGTAAGTGTGGAGGTAGGCTCATGCTGGGGTGTAGGTGTTGTGAGAACTATACTGGCTGGAGCAGTGACTGCAGGCACACATCACATTTAGCTTCAAGCCGTCGCGGAACTGGTATGTCTTGCGGTGCTTCTAGCGTGGTCGGCGACTTCGTAGCTCTGAAGCTGAGTTCAGCTGAGCACGTTTTTACAGAGCGTTTGCTACAATTAAGGCTTGTGTAAGAGTTGAATTTGTGGCCGACGGCTGCGCACCCTCTTTATCATGAATATCAATGTTGCCTTAATTTATGAGCTCTTTTTAAAAAGCGGCTCGTACATTATATCACTTGTTCTGCTCGTACATTATGAAATTGTTCTACTAATCATGAAAATAACTACTTTTTGTAGTTTATTCCCTTCTACATAACTGAGCATTTAATACTTCATATATGCTTTTGCCTATGCCATTGTTTAACTTTATGACTAAGTTGCACGTGTTACAGTGTAATGCGCAGCGCATCGTCAGGCCGTCACGACAACATGTCGATGTGGGAGCGCTGCTACGCGTGTGACGCGAGTCTGGTGACGCTGCGTGACGTGGGCGAGCACCTCGACAGCATCGCACATCAGGACCGCGTGGCGGCCCTAAAGCGAGTGCATACCGGTGTACGAGACGCATTCTAGCCTGGATGCTGCTATGACTACTGATGATTACGTCAATGACCGGGATATTTCTTTTCGTTCCTCGTTACTATTTAGCTTTAGGTGTCAGACTGCTGGAATTACCTAGTCTCCTTCATTTTTTTTGACTTCTTTATTCAAGAAGCGGAAGATTTTTTTCCTATACCAAAGGGTTTGCCCCGTTGCAGTGACCCGTTAACACTCAACTTGTTTAGTTTGTCGGACCATAGCTCGATGGTCATGCGTTATTCAGAATCGTCAATGGCGGTGCTCTATTTTCAATCAATCACGACACGAGTTTAACTCGTTACACACCATTGGGTGCAGCTATGCCTGATATTTGTTCCTCTCGTCACTGAAGCTGTCACATGGTTTGTCTTTTAATTCATAGGAAATGGTGTCCCTACGTCCTAAGAAAGTGATGCTCTGTAGCGTTGTGCTACTTTCAAACACGATTGTAAAGAAGTCCGCTAGTTGCTATTCATGATTCACAGCTCAATATCCCCCATGAAAATGGACAAAAGGTCATAGATTTCATACACGTTCCCCTTCTCATAGTCGTTGCCGAGTGGGCTCATGACGTTGTCATGAAACTCGTTACTTTATTTTTTTATGTTGAGTATTACATAAATTGTAGATCGTTTCTATTACGTTAAATAAGTTGTGGCTGAGTACATTAAGCATATTATTTACTTTGTGCCTCAAGTATACACTTGAACAACTTGATGTCGTGATCAAGCTGCATTAGGATATATGTAACATTCTATTGCTCTGCTGCCGCATCAACTTATAGGCTCGTTTGAGTGTTCGTAGTGAGTCGAGATTCATCGTTTATATCCTTAGTTCTTCTCATTTTTATTAACATCGGAATAGTGGATTTCTTAATTTTCAATTTGCCGTCTCTCACGTTTAAAATATTTTTGAAAGCTGCTTAAAAATAATTCATACTCTTCAATATGCGTAAAGAAAATTGCAGACTGCTCTTTGTTCATTGAACAAGTTTCAAATTATTTGGATCTACTTCTCAGTTTCATCGGCTCACTCACACTTGCTACACTTCTTTTCTTCGATTATTGTGTTGGAAGTTGAAAGGAATATTTGAGCGATTTTTTGTTTGTTGTGGATTCGTGAGTGGCTCATCGCACATTATTCAGTCAGCCCTCCAATTCTGTGATAATCATAAAGCTCAATATAATTTTTCTTTAAAATCTTTGTATCATTTTGATACCTCGATAGAAATTTTCGACTTTAAATTTTTTAAGGAATTTTCTCGGTGACAACGTACCGAGTTGGTCTCTGATGACAAGTATTATTAATTCGTAGCATTTGGTCAAGCCAAGAATGAAACGCAAGGTAATTGAATGAGCTGATTAATTTTTGCAAAACATCAAGCTTTTCCTGCATTTTACAGTTCACAAAAGGAAAATAGATTTCGACCAGAATGAAATGGAAAATCAACGTTTTAATCCTAACAATTTTTGATACGACAATAAAACAAAGACGATCTTCTATTCCGTAATCCCCGTGCTCCATCCAGTGATTCGAAGCCCTTTTCAGTCTTTAATTCCTTTGTTCTTTACAATAAGAATATCCTTGATGATCTCGGTGTCGTAATCCCAGTCCTTGAATCTCTGATCCTGTAGCTCGACACCCAAAGCTTCTTGAAGGGCTTTAGGTGGTATGTAGCAGGCGGCGTCGTCGCCGTACTGATACTGGCACTGTCGGAACGCTGCCATCGTGTGCTGGTGGATCGGCATCGGTACCTGGGATACAGCAAATTATATTATCTGTTTTCTCTGAATTAAGGAACTTCATACAGTTCCTAGTTCCATGAAAACGTAAGGAACTTCACACAGTTCCTTGCGTGTTCAACGCACCATTCCGGGACCGTTGCCTTCTGTATTTCATCAAGCTGGCTGCTGTGATTCACTTTAAAATGTACATCCTATTATAGAATGAACAGCCAAGTTACATGCTACATTTTAAAACCTTTTAGTGAGCTTACTGCAATTAAAAGGATAACCTAAAACAAAGAAGCATCGCAAGTGTACCTAACAAGTTGTTACATGTGGAAGGTGTTGCTCACTATTTTTTTACTCGCAAAGAATTACACGACGAAGACGTTGGCCATCTTATATTTTTTCGCCAATCTCACCACGAGGAATGTATAAGGCCTACCAGCCAATAATATCACGATAAACACATTACAGACGTATGATACCGTAAACGTACGAGCATTACTCACTCTGTACTTGCGCGCCATGTCGTAGCCTAGCTGCATGTCTTTACAGAAGAGCTCCATAGTAAAGCCAGGCTCGTAGCTGCCCTGCAACACAAACGGCACGCCCGTGTCCCACACGAAGCTGTGACCAGCGCTCACTCTGATCGCCTCGTAGAAGAGCTTCAGGTCGAGGTTGGCCCGTTTTGCTGCCCATTGGAAGAGTAGCTGATTTCATACCGAGAACATTTGAGGAAATTGGTAAATTTCATACCTAGAAACTTAGGGAAATTAGTTAATTTCATACAATGTAGTCATCTTGGGAGAAATTAGTTATATTAAAACGGAGGAATTAGGGGTAAATTACTTTCAAACAGGGAATTTTGGGGGAAATTAAGTTATTTCATACCGAGAACATAAGCAGCCTCCCGAGTTGCTGGAAATTTTATTCCTCGTGAGATAGAGGTTAAGAGGTACAACCAAAGAGGAAGGCATAACTCGCAAATCCTATGCAACAAAGTTAGAATTTTTCGTGTATTTTCTATTTCGTTTATCATAAGAAAGGGAACCGTCATTTACTGCTAGTCATTAATGGCGCAGTCTCACCGAGCATGAGCACCTCACTGAGGGCGAGTAGGTTGACGGCTGCCAGCAGGTTACTGACGACCTTCATCATCATGGCGCTGCCTACAGCACCACAGTACACGGAACGTTGGTACGAACACTGCACACACGAAATTTTTTGTTGTCATACTTGTTCTTGTTTGTTTTATTCGGTAGGTATTATCCATGGTTGAATTGATTGATGGAAGGCATAGTGGCTTGCGCTGTCTGAGACAGCGTGCCACAAGTCCAGTGGAGTTTGGGTACGGGCCGTAAATTTGTCAGAGACGTGTGATTCAGGAGGGTTAAAAAGCGCTGCTGTCGCCGCGCAAAGTCGAGCTGATCGAGTGGCGACTTCATTTAAAGTTGCCAAGGGCCCATGGGTATATCCCTGTAGAGTCTGGCTTGTGGCTAGACATATATGTCGCCTTTCAAAATGGCGTTTCTAACTTATGTATTAAGCGCATTCGACCGATTGGAAGTTCGTTTCCTTTTATTTTAAGCTGCGCTTTGAACAGGTGGACAAATGTGTTAGCTGACATTTCTCAATTAATAAATTTTAGTAATGAAGTATATATGCAATGCGCTGTCTTGCACTCGCAAGAAGAAATTTGAAAAGCATATTCCAAATCGTACCTTTTGTACACACGATATTTTTAGCTGTCATACTTTTTCTCGTTCTTTTCATATTGGATTGATATTTTTAATTATAATCTTAACCTGTATCAACTCTTGCTCACTTCCATGATGGGCATTACAGCGTCGGCTGCCTGCTTGTCGCCGGCCATGAAGGCGACCATGTTGCCTTTCTTGAGCGCCGCCAGACCTCCTGTGATGGGCGCTTCCAACACATACGCCCCTTTCGTTTTAGCCTCTTCGACGAATTTCTGCGGAATAGTAAACGAATTTCTGCGGTATGATTAATAAATTTTTGCGGAATAGTTAACGAAATTTCTGGGGAATTATTAATAAATTTCAGCAGAATAGTTAGCAATTTTCTGATGTATGATTAATAAATTTTTGCGGAATAGTTAACGAAATTTCTATTAATTATTAATAAATTTCAGCGGAATAGTTAACAATTTTCTGAGGTATGTTCAATAAATTTTTGCAGAATAGTTAACGAAATTTCTGCGGAATGATTAATAAATTTCAACGGAATAGTTAACAATTTCTGCGGTATGATTAATAAATTTTCGCGGAATAGTTAACGAATTTTGGCGGTATATTTAATAATTTCTGTGGAATAGTTAATGAATTTCTGCGGAAGGATATAATAACGATTATTATAGCCTAAATTCATACCTGACTGAAAATCTTTAGACCTGCGGAAAATTCAAAACTAACTTGTAATCTAGAGATTGATTATTATTTATGCATCGTAAAATCATTTTATAATCTATTTTACAAACGTTTTTATTTGATTTTATTTATTTTTTTTCATTTGAACATATATACATACTCTGTGTAGGTTCAATCAAGCCGAAATTCAAGTATCACTAGTGTTGACTCTAAAAGGAAATACATTAAAATATGTTGGCCAATTTGTGTTGTAAACATTGGGAGACCACCTCGGGTATTTAACCTCCATTTACCTTGTCTAACTAAACCGTTGCTCAAAGTCCTGCCTAAATTTGTCCGACTCCCAAAAAATTGCAAAAAATTTTTGGATGCTGGTAAGTGATCATTAGAATCATCGAAGTGCAACGTACAAGTCATAATATTGTTCTACTAATATTCAAATTCCAATGCTAATATCTGATTTATTTCTTATTTCTACCAGCCCCTGTCTAAGAATATTTTATTTTCAGAAATTACAAGGCAGCTTAACTGTAAGGGGAAATATTTTCACGTTAATGATAAGACTTAGTAAGATTCTATTAATTTCGACACAGCCATCGAAGATTACTGATCAAAACTGCCTTGTAACAATGCGAGTGGCCTGACTACAGACACTCACAGCACGCAACAGTACGAGTGGCCGGACTATAGAGACACTCACGACACTCGCAACAGTACGAGTGGCTGGGCTACAGACACTCACGACATACGCAACAGTACGAGTGGCCGGGCTACAGACACTCACGACACACGCAACAGTACGAGTGGCCGGGCTAGACACTCACGACACACAACAGTACGAGTGGCCGGACTACAGACACTCACGACACACGCAACAGTACGAGTGGCCGGGCTACAGAGACACTCACGACACTCGCAACAGTACGAGTGGCCGGGCTACAGACACTCACGACACTCGCAATAGTTGCTACAGACACTCACGACACACGCAACAGTACGAGTGGCCGGGCTACAGACACTCACGATACGCACAACAGCACAAGTGGCCGAGCTACAGACACTCACGACACACGCAACAGTACGAGTGGCCGAGCTACAGACACTCACGACACTCGCAACAGTACGAGTGGCCGGGCTACAGACACTCACGACACGCGCAACAGTACGAGTGGCCGAGCTACAGACACTCACGACACACGCAACAGTACGAGTGGCCGGGCTACTGACACTCACTACACCCAACAGTACGAGTGGCCGGGCTACAGACACTCGCAACAGTACGAGTGGCCGGGCTACAGAGACACTCACGACATACGCAACAGTACGAGTGGCCGGGCTACTGACACTCACTATACTCGCAACAGTACGAGTGGCCTGGCTACAGATACTCACGACACTCATAACAGCACGAGTGGCTAGACACTCAAGACACACGCAACAGTACGAGTGGCCGGGCACTCACGATACACGCAACAGTACGAGTGGTCTGAATACAGACACTTACGACACATGCAACAGTACGAGTGGCCGGACTACGGACACTCACGACACACGCGACAGTACGAGTGGCCGGACTACAGACACTCACGACACATGCAAAAGTACGAGTGGCCGGACACTCACGACACTCGTAACAGTACGAGCGGCCATGCTAGACACTCACGACACACGTAACAGTACGAGTGGCCGGGCTACAGACACTCACGACACTCGTAACAGTACGAGCGGCCATGCTAGACACTCACGACACTCGCAACAGTGCGAGTGGCCGGGCTAGACACTCACGACACACGCATCAGTACGAGTGGCCAGACACTCACGACAGTGTTGTCGTTATCTGTGGTCGAGTGGTCGACCCAGACCTTATCCTTGCTGAGGCCCGCAAGAATGCCGTCCTGACCTTCAGCTGCCTCCAACACGTTCACAGGCCGCGGTAGCCCTGGCACCGAAAGAATCTGTCTTAGACTACAAAGTTTGAATTTAGAACAAAATTCTATGAATTATTTCTGGAGAAAAGTGAGGCCGTTCCGGGTAACAGTGGGTGCATGTTAAACTACGAAAAACTGGGTGCGGTTTCTTGGAAACATGAGCCTATATATATTTTTTTCCTTGCAAGAAAACCAAGCGAATTTTGAATGAGTTGCATCATTATATAGTAAGAAATACAATAGTGACTCTGCCAGATGTTTACAAATTGTTTATTTTATCTAGCCATCTTACTACTAATCCGCCAGCTGTTCGAAAAATTGAAGTTTACTGGTCTCACAGCGTTTCAACTAAACTAATCTCAAACTCAATTCAATAAAAACTAAACTTATTTCAAACTAAACTAACCTGTAATGATAACTTCGCAGGTCTCCGCGACTTCCCGAGGAGAACCGCAATGTTTGATTCCTTGTGGCATTTTTTCCATATGCTCTTTAGACGTGTCGAAGCTACTGGTCACATTGAATCCTTTCCTGAGCAAGTTGTTGGCCACAGCATTGCCTGGTGTTCAAGGGAATATAAAGTAGAGTCGTTTTATTTGGGACAAACTTTTTTCGGATCACATGTTTAATTTAGTCACCCCAGTGCAACAATTGACATTAACTTCATAGCTCATTGATCAACACGACGTAAGAGGACGCAAACTTTTATGGAGACTAGCAAGTTTGTTTAATGTTCTTCTTAAAAATACCAATAGTAATTTTTGGTCGAAACTCACCAACATTGCCACATCCGATGATGCCGATTTTTGTCTCCTTAGTAGCAGTGGAGATCTGCCTGCTGAGCATCATTTGTGCTCGATATGAACACTTCCATAATTGAGATAACATTCTCGTATGAGCTTTTTATTTTACCCGAGATGGAAAACTTCCAGCAATATAACGGATTGACTGAGGATGAAGCAGAGTAAGTGTATTTGAAGATTGTCTCAGATCGATAGCTTAAGCCAAAACATGAGATGGAACATTCCATGCTCGCCAAATTCGGATTAGCATGAGTGTTTTCCTTTCAGATATCGGACGATTCAAATGCAGCGTTGTTGTTAATAATGCTGTAGATCCTCTCTTTTCTACGTTACAATAAAACGTTCTACGACAATTTCGCTTGCGGGATTCTAGCTAAAAACTAGAAAATTCGTCTCGAACTGATGGATAACTGTTATTAAGTTAGTGAATGTCACTATTGCACGCATCTCTATTTCATTCAAAAATTATTTTTATTCGTGGCTCTTTAATAAGACCCAATATCTGATACATCTGATCGCAGAAATAATTGTCATCTACTTTCTAGAAAAATTTAATAAGCAAATAATGTGAATATCATTTGTGCTTGACTTGTAATTATAATTTTGAAAGCAAATTCTATATTTTTTAATTATTTAAGGAATTGCTGACTGACTTACGCAAACCCTTGTGCAGGTTTTTATTACACATTCTTTACATTTACACTTTATTGCACTTCTGCAGGCGCGCACATTACTTCTATCAGTGTTAACTGCGAACTGCACTTCACCATTGGCAGCACGGTTGCCAGATGGTGGCAAGAAACAACGGCCAAATCAACACAGAAGACAGGCAAAAAAATGGCATCGAATTCAATATTAATATATTATTACATTGTGATTTTTGCTGCAAAAATTCAATCATCGGCGTTTTATAAAAAGGCCCAAATTGTTTTCATTCATTTTAAATACACATTTAAGGCCTGCATAGATTTTGATTTTTTAAATTGTCGAATTATTTGGCCGGAAAAAGGCCCGATCACTGCTAACTCGTAGCTGGGTGTTCTGCAAAAGCTTCATGGGAGTGGGCACGTTGTCTGCAAGGTCATCCGATAGCATAAGAGTTAGTAAGATCTTAACGTAATCAAGGCTACAAAGACTTTTCACTATACACATGATATAAGTACTAGATATACTTCGAATATAAACAAATAAATTCCGATCAAAATTTGCTCTGGGGCAAAGAATTCCGTTAGGTTGCTTTTCGTATTTTATTTTGAGACTTCTTTCAACGATAGTATTTGTGAATACACTATTTATTTTAGAAGATCAAATGCTGGAAAATGACTGAATGAGTGAGAATTGTGAATTTATTTATGCAATGCAGATTGTTATTCAAACGATGAAGTCATTATTTTGTGTAACAAACATCAATAACAATGTAGATTATATCGCTCATATGCCCATAAAATTGCTATCGCAACAAAACGTGCACTTCTTCTTTTGTTCTTGTTCTTTGTTCTTTGTGTGTTCTTTGTGAACGCTTCTTTTGTTTTGTACTTCTTAGAACTTGGAATTTTTTCGTATGAGCAGTAAATAAAAAACCTGTAACGCAGTGGTTCCCAAACTTTTTCAGGCTGGCGCCCCCTTTGGCTCCCTAGTGAATTTTTAGTGCCCCCCACAGACATACGACTCTTTCTTGAAATTTAGTACACTGCAATTTTGAAAGATAAAGGTTAAACACAAATGTATATTTCACAAATAGAACCCCATTTAGTGAACCAATATGTTCTTCAGCTTCGTGCTGTGTACAAATCGTCAAACAAAAGTTCGAACTTCTGACTTTGACTTCGGACTATCGCCCCCCTTCCGCCCTCTTCTTCCTTATCGCCCCCCAAAAACTTTCCACCACCCATAGGGGGGCGATATCGCCCACTTTGGGAACCACTGCTGTAACGTTTCGTTTAATCAGGCAATGAATATATCACTGTTAATTGATGAATTAAAAATTCTATTCGAAGGCAATCACTAGAAATTAGTGATTACGACTCTTTAACAAACGGTACATAGAGGGTCTTATCTTATGCGAAAATTTTTTTCATCACGATTCTAGAAACTTACACCTTTTCACCTGCTTTAGTGGACTTCAATTTGAAATTTGTGGAGATGTGAGCTACAAGATATCTCCATAAATTTGCTCTATCCAGCAAAACAAAAATTAGCAGATACGGCAAAAGAACAAAAATAGGAACTACATACACAGAACACTAGATTACACAAGCAAAAGTTAAACATTGCACCAAGGTTGCACTTTGCTTGTGCTACTGCATCGATATTTTGTACTTAGCTTGACGCAATGTTATAATGAACTGCAACATCTGTATATGAAACCATGGAGACTGATGGAAATTTTAGTGGCTTCGGTTCGAGAGATATTTTATGTTCGAAGTGGCGTTCGACAGTCTGCCTGAACACGCTTTGCTGTAATTGATAATTTCTGCCATAATCTCAATTTACATTAGAGGGAAGTATGAAATAGGCATGAAACTGTAAAATACTGTATTTGCTTGTTGGCGGCTTCCACTTGCTTTTCTCTGTGCCCACTCACAGGCGAGCGGGCGATTAAAACTTAAAACAATTGAACCTTAGGAATATTAATTAAATTTATTAATTTTATTTTTTATATGGTTATTCATTTACAATCGCAGTTGTATGCTGCTGATATATATGTGGATTTGACTCCACAACCACGGCGATGACATTGAAGTGGCTCACTTACTTATCAAATCACGAGAGAGCATGTTTCGAGTACAATATATTTGAATTATTTCTAAAATTTTCGTCAGATAATTCCTTATAATGTATATTTTCTGCAAAGGAGAATTAGTGTAAGTCGTGTGTTATTGTTGAGCAACGGTTGGCAATCCTGTCACCGGTCGTTGCTTGCTGAAGAAGTTCACAGCTGAGCATAATGTTGTCAAGATTAGCTGCTCGTTCAAGTAAGTAAATACAACATAATTTATTCGTTTATTACATTGTTCTATCAAAAGATTTACCTAATATAGTGTTGTCTTCTTTCTATTAGTTTATAGGACATTAGTTGACCAACTTGACCTGAACATTATTTTGAGCAAATTCACAAGACGGTATGCTGGGCTAAAAATTAGCAAGAAGCTGCTAGCCTGCTACTATAACTTATCTTGCCTATAAATCTTTTTCCCCATGTCTTAGGGCCTGAAGCTCTTTGATAATTTTATCCTGAGTCCTGACATCTGACTTTCACTTTTTATCTACACTGGGCACACCGGTCAGCATAGTGGCAAAGCAGAGAGTTTTTTTAGACTCTCCCTCAAGTTCATTTTTGAGTCCTACATGTAGACCATTAAAGTATCCTGGACATAGTGGCAAACCAGGGCTTTTTTAGAATCAGTTCATTTTTAATTTCCTCATTAACTCAAGATTTAAACCAATTTCTTAAGTATGATAATGCTGGTATCCAGGATACTTTACTGGTCTACCAATAGGACTCAAAAATGAACTTGAGGGAGAGTCTAAAAAAATTCTCTGCTTTGCCACTATGATCCTGGATACCAGCATTAACATACTTAAGAAATTGGTTTAAATCTTGAGTAAATGAGGAAATTAAAAATTAACTGATTCTAAAAAAGCTCGTTTGCCACTATGCCGGTCAGCGGCGTTCATACGGTAAACACCTTACGACTGTGCTCTGTGATTACTGAATTACCTTTGAGATAAAACTTACATTTTCTTCCGTAATTAACGTAAAACTTAAATACCTCAACATCCATTCTAGAGAACCGATCTCCCTTAAGAGAGCACAGACTAGCTTCCTGTACTAAGAGGCTAAAAACTTAACAAGCAACAAGCTCTCAGGCCCAGCGGTCATCCATCAGGCAGACCTGTGGCTTTATGTCCACCACAGTGTGGACCCCTTGCTAAGAAGAAGAAGAAGAACTGGGCACACCTGTGTCCTGAAATGAAGTGTAAAGTCTTTGAGGCAAAGATATATGAATTTTATCAACTGTTCTATCAAGCCAGGCATGGAATCTATCTACCTTCCAAGCTGTAAATGGAGGCTACTGTGGAGCTTTGCTGCCATTTTTGGAGTCACAAGTTTCTTTCTAGATGAATTACCTCCTGCCTTATTGGTAACAATATTACATGGTGCAGGTGCAATTCTATATTTAATGTAAAATAACATAGTATTTTGAGATTTCGGACCAATCAAGATTCAAAGGACTGTTCCAAAAACACTAGCACCACCTGTCACAAAACATTGGCCAAAACAACAGTTCAACCAACAAGAAATTGAAATTTATTTAGAATAAAAGTACATATTAAAGTCAGTTTTTAAATCATTAAATGCCTAAAAAATATTATAAATGTCGTTTCCCAATGGATTTTAATGCTGTCAACATTTAGAAATGTCAAAGTATCTCTTATCATTTATTTGGTGAATAAATTATAATATGGCTAAATATGTCACTCAAAACTGCTTTCAGAACCAATGGGTCCACTGGGTCCAATCAGACTTGGAATATATCTACTAGTTGAGCCGCAACTGGATTTTTTGAGATGTGGTTTTATGGATTTTCTAGCCATGATTCCATTTCTTTGAGCCTTGAATTCTATATCTCGGCCATGAAGATGCATGTGTTATCCCAAATCTCTAATTATACCCTAAAAACAATCAAACAGCAACAATAACATTTGTCTCTATTTTAGTGGCAGCTGAACACATGATAATGCAGTCTGACTGCTCTGACTTGACTGCAACTATGCAATCTTCAAGGAAACATTTTGGGTTGACTTGTTTTCATTACAGCCTGTGGGATATTTTGATGGGAGTGTTGAAGTACTTCAGATTGTGGAGTTTCAAAATTTTATGAAAGGGCATTTTTTGCTAAGTGCTAACTGTGATTTTCTTCAACCAAACAAAAATACATGACAATAGAGCAGCGAGATTTCATACCTACTAAAATTAAATGATAGTAGAGCCGCAGTATTTTAGAAAAAAAGTAGGACTTTTCCAGACTTGGGTCCAATCAAATTTATGGCTAATGCGTACTTTGCATCACTTGCATGATTTTCCTTACGGGTTCTCAGCTTCAGCAAGCATATGATTTTCGGAAATATATACATTTACATTGGCATTGGCAGCTCAATTGACACTTCCTTGCTTTTTGAAATAATAAAGATGTGGCCATGCTGTATTTTGTGGTGTTAACTAGTTCATTGTTACTCCTTGCTCCAAGCTATATTTGTACAGATTTTGTTTCCTGATTGTAATAGCAATGCTTGTGAGATAGTTTAAATATATTCAAATTGATATATCTGGCATTCTGTTGATTTAGTGGCATTTTTTTTACTTAAAAAGAATGGGACAATGAACATTCAACAGGCTTATTAATACCCCAAATATCCCATTTCTTCCAGTTAGACATCTTAGGTAACAAATAAAAAGACAATATTGTTCAAGGGTGCTAATTTATGTTCATGAGCCAGAGTGTAAATTTCCTACTTGATGCTAAAATCATGTGGTTTGATTGTGAACTTATGGTAAAATTAGATGGGAGACATTTCATTGAGCAAGAGTCTTGTGGTTCCAAAAATACCGGTAGCAGGGAAGTTCTTTTTCTATCTCTGGAAGCAGAAATGCTAGTATGACTTTGAAATTGCCCTTCACACATGCTTGTGGTCAATTTGAACAGTTCCAAATGGGCCTTGCCAAATTTATTCTTTTAAAATTGAGAAGAAAAAAAAAATACAATTTTAGCTGCAATTTTATAAAATCATCAGTGAAATAATAATTCTTACATTCTGCCTAATCTTCCAGATTGGCTTCAAGTCAGGTCTACATTTTTTGGAGCTGTGTGTTCAAATTGGCTATAGTGAACAAAATTCCTAGCCATCAGTTGTGTCTTTGAGCCATGACTGAATTCTTTGTTGTGGAAGATGATATTCAAAGTGACTTTTAACAAACCACAATGGGGTTTGTGTCTTATCTTCAATTTTATCCTTTAAAATATAGAACATTTGGCTATACTATAGAGGCAGTTGAGTGTGTTATATTGCATTCATTCTGTCAAAGATGCAGCATTGTTTCATTTCTGCCAGGAAGCTGCCTGACATTCCTGCAACTACAAGACCATTAAAAGAAATGTTTTGAGTTCAGAAGTTTTAAATGATTGCATAGTAACAAACTGCAGAATTGCAAATTATCTGGATAATTTTGTATTTGTGAGCAGTCCAATTGATGAATAAAAAGAGATGACTTTGGAGCTGTGAGACTTTATACAAATAAAATTATTCCCATTCTTGCGTGGCAGTAACCAAATTTTTTTTTAATAACTCAGTTCTAGACCCATTATACTTTACATTAAGAATAAGTTTCAGTTAAATCTATGACATTGATCATGTGATTTTTAATACCGTAAACTTAAGTCCTGACAATTGACTGCATATTTAGATTTTATGCTTGCTGTTTGAATTAGATATAGTTGATAAAATTGCAGGTATATGCTTTTAATTTTGAGGTTTATGCATACACCACATTCTCTGCTTGGTTGAGGTACTTCTGCAAGAGCATTCATTCCTTCTGCAGAATCCATGAGTATTCATTTCACAGTGAACCATGACATCTGCTGATGTCATACATAATGCTGATGTCATGGTAAATGTAGATGCTAGTAAAACCATGAACTGCTGGTTGCCTACCAAAAGTTGAAAGATTTACATATGTTTATAATGGGTTATCAATGTTCTAATTCATGTATGTACTGAATTGGTAATGACACTATATAGAAATGTTTGCATGTATAATAAGCTGATGATTAATCCTCCATATCAGGTTCTGTAGCAGTCCGGTTGGCACACACAAGCAGTAGTGCCAGTCAGGCAGCTGCTAGTGCCACTCCGGCCACCACCAATGAGGAGCGCAATGAAGTTGACTTCCCCCGCACCAAGAGGCCTATCCACCCAGCACCTGTGCGTATGGGATTCATTCCTGAGACCTGGTTTGAGCTCCTTTACTCAAAAACTGGAGTGACAGGTGAGTTTTTTCTCTGATGTAGTCCATTTTATTGTGTATAATTTTTCTATCTTGATATTATGAATGTTATTGACACTCTATCTAAAAATATGAATTCAGTCATAGTCAGGATGTTTTTTTATGTGAAATAGACAGATACGTTCAAATATTTTTTTGTTACTTTGCCTACATTGTACAATGGCTTTTAATTTTTCCCATTCTAACTAAAACTCTTGATTTGTGCATGGTATTAGATACATTCTTTTGGTGGCTTAGGAGCTATTATTTTGAAAGCTCATTTGTTGAAGTTTATGGACATCTCTCCACTCACTCTCACTTTCCCTGTATTTCAGGTCCTTATGTTCTGGGTACCGGTCTCATCACCTACTTGGTCTCAAAGGAAATTTATGTCATTGAGCATGAGTTCTACTCTGGCGTGATCATGGCCATGATGGCTGCGTATGGCATCAAGAAGTTTGGTCCTACTGTTGCTGCCACCTTGGATGATCAATTAGCTGTAAGTTGATTCTCATTAACATTTTTTAAAGAAACAGCACAAAGTTGAAAACTAAATTCTCAGTAAGATTTTTAAAGAAGCAACACAAAGTTAAAAACTACATTCTCAGCAACATTTTAAATGAAGCAACACAAAGTTGAAAACTACATTTATTAAATTTTAATTTACCTGGATTTTGTATATATCTCTTGAAGTCTATAATTTTATAATAAAATTTTGTTTGTTTTGGGGTCTTGATACATGAAAAAATAATATGAGAAACACCTGCTCATTATTGGTCAAATTCATTTTATCTTACTTCCATTTAAAATGTCATTTCAGAAGAATAGAAAATTTTAATTTACTTAATTGCAAAATATAGACAGAATCTCCAGCTCATTTTGTTATATTGTTTTTTTTTTTTATTGTATTCAGTTGAAAGTATGACAGTGGTGAAAAGTCATAGTTTTTTTAATTTTGAACAGCATTTGAGTTAGCATGAAAATTGTCAGTAGAAAATTCTTATATTTATAAAAATATTGTAGTAATGACGTGTTACTCATGCCTTGGTTCTGGACGTGTGAAGAAGCTCTTGTTCAATGGGAAGGCCATCAATAAATAGGTTATTTGGCCAGGCAAACAAACATTGTTCTGGCTGCAGTCACTAAACTGGCTTTTTGTTTGGTGTTCCTATCTGCTCACATGGACCAATAAAAGTTATTGATCCAATTTGCTATCGAATTTAAAGTATATGAATAATTATATTGAAACAAAATGAAGTAATTTGTATGTTTGCAGAGGTTTCTCGTCCTGAGCTTCAAAGAGATCAAAAACTAATCTTTTATATTGTACCGTACCTTAAATAGAATTTCTCATATGACAGTCATATCTAAAAACTTACACGTTATCCAGACTAATTGCCACTCAAAACTATGTACTTTTTTCAGAAAGAAAAAGAGGAGATGTTGAGTGGACGTAACAACACAATCAAGGCTCTCACTGAAGGCATTGCTGCGTCTGAACTGAGCGCTGAGCAGGCCAAGGGACAGTCTCTTCTATTCCAGGCCAAGCGCGACAACATCGGCCTGCAACTTGAGGCTGCCTACAGGCAACGTCTTCAGTCCGTCTATGCTGAGGTAAATGTTATCAATTTTTATTATTGATTTGTGTGGCTTTCCCGTAACAATGTTATCAATTGTCATTATTACTTCTTAAGGCTTCACGCTGTTCTGCCATTGACACACTCATAAAAACATGTAATATTTCCAATTTACATGCTGCGTCTAGATTCTTGCAGTTGATATACGCCATTTGTTCCAATTGAGTAGTAACATTTTGGAGCGCGGCGTTTGGAAGTCTTTGGTCACATTTAATATTTTTATTTAGTTATAGAGATACATAGAAGTTATTTTTGAATATCAGCCTTCCCTGGCTAGTGAAAGTGAAATACTTGATTTTATATTCCAGAGTGTATACGTACCTATATAGTTTTCTCAAGCAAGGTATCGTTTAACAATTCATATACTTCATGCGTACCACAACATATTATATTTAGTTATCTGAATTATTATACTGATATTTAAATACATCCGTGCATAGAATTGAAGCCTGTAAATTTTATTTATTCTGCCTTATCTATTCTAGTCGGATTTTAAACATGAAAATGTTTTCAATATTGGAAATCATAATCATATTCTATGGTAAAAAGTCTTCTGAGCCATTAAAGATGTAATAATAATAATTATATTTGAGTTATATATCAGGCTCAATGGCTCCAAACTTTCATTAGCAAATATCACTCGTACCGGTATTTGAAATATTCATTTTATTTGACCCCTGTAATTTGCTCTCATTTATTTATAACATGATCAATTTTATTCCAACTTTGACTTCATTTGGACACTACTGTCATATTTCAATACGCAATAGGTATTTTGGATACTCTCACTCGATTGGTGATTCAATTAGCTTGTTCTCCATTTTACAACACTTCTCTTTAACTTCACTTCTTGTCTGTCTGTCTGTCTGTCTGTCTGCTACAAATCTTGTAATCAAAATTTAACACACTTCTACTTATCCTATCGATCTGAAATTTTGCCCACTTGTGTAAAGTTGGAGACAATGCATGAATCAAATGTAAAAAAAAAAAGATTTTGATGAATTGCTATAGTGATGAAATGTCCCAATGATGAAGAATTGCTATAGTGATGAAATGTCCCAGTGTTGAATTGCTATAGTGATGGAATGTCCCAAAGATGAATTGCTATAGTGATGAAATGTCCCAATGATGAATTGCTATAGTGATGAAATGTCCCAATGATGAATTGCTATCGTGATGAAATGTCCCAATGACGAAATGTCCCAATGATGAATTGCTATAATGATGAATTGCTATAGTGATGAAATGTGTCTCGTATGATGAGTTGTGTCCACCGTGATATGAGTCACAACCTCTCCCCTGTTGTGTTGCAGGTGAAGAAGCGTCTTGACTATCAGCTGGAGAAGTCCAACGTGGAGAAGCGCTTCGAGCAGCGCCACATGGTCGACTGGATTGTGCAGAACGTACGGCAGTCCATCACTCCTGCTCAGGAGGCCGCGTCGCTCAAACAGTGCATCACCGACCTTAAAGCTCTTGCTGCCAGGGCATAGATTCTTCACCATCTCCCGTACTTTACGTGTAGAGAACAGCTGCTTGAGGATACTAAACTTATTCCGATTGGATGTCTCAGATTGAGCTGAATTTTGGTCGTCGTTAAACTTGATAATTGAGTACATAAATTCATTGCTTGATTGATAAGTAATTTACAATGTTGAAATTAGTCAGAAATTCCCCAGCAAGTTCTTTTTATTGAGGCAATGGCAACACTGTTAAAAAGAGTTGTAAATAACCGTTTTCATCTCCCGTATGGTTTGTGAACATATAAATCTTGTTCTATCATTTATTTAATACAAAAAGTGAATAAGCTTTTATTTTATTAACCTGACTTAAATCATGATATGAATGGAAGAAAAATGAGCACGTCAATTATAGATACTGCTTGGCTGAGCTCCTAGTCCTGTGAGGCTCCCAGCGGTCGTGAAAAGACTTGTTTTCGAGCTGCTCAACAATATGTGAGAGAAGGACAATTTGTTTGCAGCATTGCACCCATGCCCAATTATTATACTGGAGCATTTCATCACCAGGCGGCATTAAACCGTTAACTTACACGAGTCGGTAGACTACTCTCGGTAAAACGTGTTAATAAAAAGAGGTACTTGGTAAATTTTATCATGTATTACATGATAACCTACAGTCGCGGCAACCTGGACTACTTAGTCAGACGATTTGAGTTGCACTGAAATTTTCTCCCGGTCTTCCGAGGTTGTCCGCATGACACTCGAACCGCGGACAACAGCGAGGATACTTCGCTTCAGCGTCCGCCCGTACGATGCATCGGTAGGACGTGTTGTGGATCTCTGAGTGACAGCTGTGGCGACAGATTAATTGTTAGATGACTGTTAAAATATTATCTGACTTATAAGACTGAGGCTGTGCTATCAATAATACTTACCGAGCTCGTAACTCCGTCAACCAATAAGTTTAATTTGCTCGGTTCAAATGCCTCATGAATTGACGATACTCTAATGGAGGTATTATTCTATTATTCCATTTATATTGGCATTACAATGCAACTGCGAGCAAATCATTTCGTTTGTGAATAGGTACTGTTGATGAACTGAAGACTATTGCAGGGCAATAGTTGAATTGTTTTCAACTCTTTTCATTACAGAACAACTATCATGAACTTAGAAAAATCAAATTATTAAGCACTTCTGTCATCACAAGTCTTCAAATAAATGAAAAAATGAACACTCACGAATCTACTTCAATGAAGTGACGCCTCCTGAAGGCAACGCACTTATGTCGCGTGCAGCCCTCGCCGTACCAGACCTCACCGTCGCGCCGCCACACCCCCTGGTCGTCGTGGCAGCCTAGCGCCCCTCCTGCGACCATACACAATATTCAGGAACATTTCTCTGCGACCATACACAATATTCAGGTTTTCTCTGCGACCATACACAATATTCAGAAACATTTCTCTGCGACCATACACAAAAATATTTAGAAAAATTTATCTGCGACCATACACAATATTCAGGAACATTTCTCTGCGACCATACACAATATTCAGAAACATTTCTCTGCGACCATACACTATATTCAGAAACCTTTCTCCGCAACCATACACAATATTCAGAAATCTTGACACATTCGGGATTTTTTTTCCACCAGCGTTCTTAGCTCCGGTATCTTTACATGTCTCATCGCTATTCTTTACTGTGCAACACAACAGTTCAATTTATCAGTCAGGCTCCGCATCAGTGCCGTGGCGCTTGGCATTTACAGATTATTAATATGGAACAGAGTAATGATTTTATAGCTCTGGGAAAACAAGGAAGCAGATTGCGAGTAGTCCTCGGCATAAATACCAAACAAATTTCCCTCTAATATTCTTTATTGGATTTTATCAAAATAATATGATTCATGGAAGCTCACGACAAGTTATTGGAGTTAAATTCATTGTTACTTGAAATCAAATGTAGAAGCAATGACGCTCGGACGTTTTCTGATATTAAACTATATTTTTTGATCGAAATTACTGGAATTGAAGTCAACTATGTACAAAATGACATCAACAGTAATTGTCTGAATTTACTGTAATTAGTTCTATTGTTTGAGTAAAGCATGATATCATTAAGCTAAACAAGTTTTATTAAACTCACCATTATTTTCGCCCCGTATGTCATCATTAGTGACTGCCCCTAACTTCTTGGTGTGAAGCTCATCATTTCTCCCGCTGTTTAGTGCAGGTCGTGGGAAGCCAAGCCACACGGAGCCTCTCGCAGGCTCGGAGCTACCAGGTCGATGGTAATAAGTAGAAGTGAATATTGGCACGACGTCTTTCTTACCAGCCTCGAAAGATCCGTCCCGCTTAGAACCAAATCGACCGCTGGTTTCTCGATGAAACGGAAGCTTTTCAAACGCATCTGAAACGGGTTTTCTCTCCATGAACTGGCGTAAGATTGATGTCCCACGATTGTCAAGTTTTGAGTGAGACATATGGTCTAGAACTTCATTTGAGAAGGATGAATGTTTCCATCCCATTCTCTGGAACGCAAAGTTTTTTAGCCCGCGTATATTTTGAGGTATGCTAGTTGAGATGAATTCGTTTGAGAATGGCCGGATTGAATTTGAAAAATGACTGGGATCCTCGATTGAGTTAGAATAGGTAGGAGTTCTACTGTACGGCTGGCCCTGTTGAGGTGGAAGCTGAGGTTGCCGCATGGATTTTCTATATGGGGAATCTACTGGCAACGAGGCATCGAATATATCTACGTAAAACGAGCGGGGCACTCGGTTATCCACTTCGTCGTCATCAAGCGCTGTGTCTTGGGCTTGTTCATCGTACGTGATTTCTTCATACGATGGCTCTCCCGTTTTAAAAATATCATGATGCTGTATGTGAGATGAACCTGTGGAAGGTTTGCTCCACACAGCATTCTTTTCCAGCGAGGAAACAGAGCTACCAGGAAATTTAAATTCTTCAAAATTACCTCCAACGTCTTCCCCAAACTTCTGGAACTCTTTTTCAACGTTGAAAGGCGCCTGCGATTGACGTACCCAAGACGTACTTGCCCCTTGAGCGCTACTAGAATATCCAATTAATAATGTGACTAGCATCAACAAATTATAACAACGAAATGAAATTGACATTATATTCAAACTCGTGAAATACGAGAGCCATATTTTTAGAATTCTAAATACATAATCTAATTTTCGATTCGCGCCCACTGCGCACCAAACAACAGTTTGTTCTTCAAACAAGCATATTGTCTTAGGATTTATGTGGGGTCGTTTTTCCGAGTCTGCATAATTCTCTATTCGTTTCTTTATTTTCGTTCTATTCTTCTTCGGATATATGTTAACTTCAGGTGATTTCGAACGTCTTCGAAATTTACGATCTATTTTGCCTGATCGTGCTTGGACATTGTTAAGCATGTTTTTCGCATATCATTTGTTAATCATCTATTTCAAATAACGACTAAGAATCTGAAACAAATTAGATGTGAATCTTAACAAGTTAACAAACATTATATGGGAATTATGTTTGACTTTCTGAATTCAGTGAGCAAGAAAAAAATAAACTTACCATCATCTCCGTAGTTGCACAGAAAAAAATCTCTGAACTATCTTATTCAAGAAATAATTTCAGTTTAGCCTAATATAGTAGGGATACATGCAACACATTAATGTAAATACTGCACGAGATAAGTAAGGAATGAAGACAATGCAGTTAGGCGCTGCAGGGCGCAGTTAGACGCAGTCTCTATCGCCCACTGCATCTCTAATGCTCGCTTTACAGTGAAATATTCTCGGTGCAAGGAAAGGTTGGGCTTGAGCTGTGGTGCTTTCACTTCAACAGACGGTGATACATGTAAGTTTGGTGGTGTCTAGTAAATGAATGTAGTTATTGGTTATATGTGGTTATTAATTTTTGTGTATGAAACGTCGAAAATTCTCTGAAGAATAAAACGAATTTGTTTAAGGATAAAATTCACTACGAAACACCTGAAGGATGATTGTACTGTAGTCATCTAGTGTTTTTTTCTAATTATCAAGACTTTCACTTTGAATTTGCTAATTTTCTCATTGTAGAAAAAGTATCAAGTTTATTTTATTCTTGTAATCGACCATAGACATTCAGATTACTCGTCTTTGAATAATCTCTACTTTAACAGCACTGATCGAGCGCCTTGGGTTCAGGAGCTGTTGGCAGCGTGTCGGCTCCAGTAGCTAAAAGTATTTTCAAGATAATACCACCTTGTTATTTATTTGGTGGGTAACCCTGTAATTCAATAATATATAATAATAATAATGTAATTCATAATAATGGAATAATATTTTAACTTTTTACCGAAACAACAGGTTTTCTTAAATATTGTTTCAAGATTCTCGAAGTGAATTACAAAGAATGAAGTGCAATAACGCACCCCGGCGCGGTCGACGATGTTATCTTGCCCCACACCGGGTAAAAGCTTCGGCGATAATCTGCGTATCGAATTAATGTTGCACAGGCAGCGTAGGCATGTCGTAAAAAACTATGAGCCTCTCAAGGCGAACAATGCAATTCATGGGCTCATCCTGCTCACCAAAATAGGCCATACCTTATATGAGTTAAGGCAGGGAAAGTTGTATGTGCCACTCAGGAAATTGGATGGGTCATCTTATCTAAATATTGGTGAACTTTCTTACCCAGAGCAGGAACAGAGAGCGGGTGTAGCTCTGATACGCCTTGTGCTGTGTCAGCATAATTCATGAAGACGCTAAATGTTCATAGCCATTGGGACAAAGTCTTACACATTTCTCTGAGAATGAGCCGCACTATGAAAGAGACGCAATTCAACGTTTAGATAAGAAAAAAGTAATAGAAAACTCGCTAGATACGAATTTTCAGTCTGTGAATCTGAATAGATAAGTTGTCACTATTATTGACAGCGCTCTAGTTGGAATTTCTCAGGAAAGTACATATATCCTCTATTTAGTTTGCAAACGTTGTGTGGCCACCGAGATTTGAAAAGGACAAAAATTTAACAGAGAATGTTCAAAGACGTGCAAGAAAGATACTTCCAGGCTTGAAGGGTAAGTCCTTTGAAGAAAGATTGAAGATTATGAAGCTTCCAGGCCTCAGGACCTCATTGAAGTTTACAAGTATACTCATGATTTATACAAGGTCCCCGAAGAATTACTAGAATTTGAAACAAGAACCAACACCAGAGGCCATGGCTTTAAACTAAAAAAACTGCGCTGCAACTTCTCCACGCGACAACATTTTTTTCTCGCTTCGAATCACCGACATGTGGAACAGTCTCCCCGATTACATCGTTGTTGCTCCAAGTATGAACGCGTTCAAAAACAAACTAGATAAAGCTATTTAAAAATATTTGTTCAGACTTGAAATGCCTAGCACCATATCGAACCCGGTGGAAGTTTAGAAGCTATTTCAAACTATCGTGTCTTGAAAAAATCCGGTCAAATGAGACACGATTTTAGATCTTCTGTGAACAAGTCACAAAAAGTTCAAGAATCGGCGACATGCCACATCAGGCCTACTCTTTAGCGCCGACATCACTATGTTATGCTAAGTTATAAAATTGAAGGGTGAAAACCTTTCATGGAGAAATTGCAATGAATTTCACAGAGAAGACCCACTCATTTGTTTTTCTTTTGATTTTAAAATTATGGTCTGTTCAGGGAACAGTTATATGATTTTATTGCAAAAACTTCACAGTAAAGATGCCAGGGGCTAACAGTTTCTTCATTTACAAATCTATTCGATATTTTTCAGTGAAGAAACTCGATGCAGATATCGACTATTCGTCGATATATTTCGACGAACATGCGCAATCCGTATATTATAGCCAGCATTGATGTCGGTTCTGAGAACCATAAATTGGCCAGGTTGACATTTTAACAACCACGTATCAATGAAGGCCGGTGATTCGAGTCAATTTACCAGGCACTTCTAAAACTGCGAGCAGCAGTCTCTCATTACTGTTATGCTTTTACTAGGATTATATGCATCGTTTAAGTTCTACGAGGTAACAAGCGAAACCGCTTGGATTAACACGCAGCAATATTTATTATAAGAGAACATAAATATTTTTATTCAATTTCATCCAATTAAAAAAACATTTGACACTTACGATGGCTTTACGAGAGAAATTGAAGTTGTTCAGCTACACGGCCAGGTCTTTAAAAAATATCTTCAATATCTGAACGGAATTCTCCAAAAAATATTTGAAAACTCCTGCCGGTTATACCATTCTTACGCGGTTCTGAAAACTACGAAAGGCCTATTCAAGAGTGAATTCAAACACACGTTTTGAAAAAATTAAAGATACCTGAAATTTTCAACGAACATCTGCTTAGTCGGATTAGAATCTTATAAGCAAGTTTATACATAATTGCTCTCCTGTGATAAAAAAAACTGCTGGATAAAAGTCAGATGATGCGAGTGATACTTAAAAAAAACTTCAATTTATTACTTATGCTGTAAGTTCATCAAGAAAATAAAACTTACAATTATTCCGAATGTTTTCCTTCGCGTCAAAAATAAAGCATATGATTATGTTAAGCTCATATGGGATTTTTGTCTTATTTCCAGGAATAATGAAATAACTAAAACAAGAAAAAGCTACGCACAATTTGTAGTTGAAGAGTAACTTTCCATCGACTAAATAAAAGTTTTCCGCAATGCGTGAAGATTGATCGTCAATTAATGTATCGTCTCGCTTTATCTTGCTCTGATGGCAGCTTATCGTTTAGACCACATCTCACACTCAACCTCATTTAAAAAGCAATCGCTCCATCACTGGCGTCGGACGTGTGATACATAGCACTTGCAATTATTAAGGAGAGAGGTTATAAATATATTATACCCTCTTATACTAATTAAGGTCAGGAGAGAGATTTATATGAGCGAACTGTCAGTCTATGGAGGTGGTCCATATTCGGGTTTGTGGGGTGGAATACCAATTTAAAATTGTAGTTAAATGTCGAGTACTTATTTGTGAAAATATGGAACTATAGCACCAATGTCGGAATGGGAAAAAGATGAAACGAGTGGAACGGTAACTAAAGAAGGGGTATCATCCCATTCAAACCATGTGACAGAGGAAGGCTGATCGATTGAAAGGAAGTCTATTGTTTTCGTTTTTTTTCTAAAACAGCACAAAGAATATCTGCTGGACATGAAAATTTTCCGTGTAAACACCTTGCCCACATGATACCAACACACGCCAAGAGAAAAGTAACTTTTCCATTTTAATTTATTGGACATCAACCACATCATCAGTTAGTAGAAGCTTCAACCCAGAAAGTTTAAGCTACAGGAAACGCCGAGACGACTTGCTAGGAGCAACCGCGTGTAAGCTCTGCACTGAACTGCAAGCGAGTCGTCCGAGGTGCAGTCTACACTCGCAACTTGGGTCCGCGGTCTTCCTTTCTTTCTAGTGCGATCGAGTTGCGTGCAAAATAATAGACGTGAAAGGGTGCATACTGGACCAAATAAAACACGTTACTTGGTATATAGCGTGTTGTATTGCAGACATGAACGGGCTAAGCGCCTGTTAAAAGTTGCGTAGGAGAAGATTTTGGCTCCAAAGTATAGTCGGAAATGCTTCCGAGCTATTGCGTATTGAGTGATTCCATTGCAAAATGTCACTCGATGTCTTGTAGTGGTCAACACATAATGATGAATGTGACGAGTAAGGCAATAGAGCGCTTAAAATGGCAATATAAACTATTAATAACTGTAGCAATTGAGTTGAAATATATCGAGAACTTTCAATTTTCACTTTATTTTTCAACTGCTTGAATGTGAAATTTTCAAATTAATATTGAAAAGGAAACAAGAAACCAAATGCATCTCTTTTTGACCTCAATCCTACGCACGCCGTCAATCTGTCCATGCGTTTTAGCGTACTCGAAACTTTATTAGCGTTCATTAATCGTAACTTTAATAAAGCTCTAAAAAATCACTGAGATGAATTGTAAACATTGAGGAATGAGAATAGCTTGACCATATCTCATGCAAAACATGTACTTGCAAGGTGCCCCCGCCCTCGGGGCTCTACGACTCAACCACTTCTCAGCAGAGGCGCTAATGATCCAGAAGACCTAACCTCCTCCGCGGTGATGGTCGCCAAGATCGACTTCCCACCAAATTACAGAGGGAAAGTGATTGGTTTCTTTGCTTTCGGGTGAGTCAGTGAAAGCAGGACGATAAGCTAAAGCATTAATGAGCATTGGGACGGCAGGCGGTGCTGCTCGGTTAAAGGTACAGTGTTTTTTACCTCTTCTGTGGGCATAGAAAGTATCAAAGACGGATAGCTCCGCTCGAGGCCTGGTGACGTAAAAACAGAGTGCTGCTGTGGGATATAACAGCAGGGATTATTGCACGATGATTCGTCAGAAATAGATCATTAGATGAACATATTATGTTCAAATATTTTTTTAATACTATTAGTTAGTTATTTTACAGTGAAATA